TAGATAAGTAATTTCTTAATTATCTTAATATATTGCAAATGCTTACCGATTGATTCCAGTGCACGCCGCTTATTATAAGGAGTTATTTGTTGATATAAGAATTGAGATGTTGCGTTGTTTAGTGGTTGCAGGTTATTACAGTGCAGTTATTACCATTCTAAAAATTTCAAAAAAAAGTAATTAATTACGGTCCGGTATTATTACATGAATAGTTGTTTTATATCAAATAATTCGATTGTTTGTGCTTACCAATTGTGTGTCCAATATTTCGGATTTGTAGGTATGTTGATACCCCCCTCCTCTCGAGTTGAAACCTCGGCGTTGAGAAGAAATGATGTATTCCAACTTCTGTATAAATAATTAAGTTTTTTGTTACGTTAATAAAAATTCCAATTAAATGAATAATATTTTGAGTAGAACTTGAATATAATAATACTCACCCATAAGGGCTGCAGCCCATTCGTTGATGGGTAAACACATCGGACCCTGACCGATTGTGAGTAGAAGTAAATTATACAATGTTGTCATTTTCCTGTGAACACAAATCAATTCAGAATTAAATTAAACGTTGGATGGAGGTAGATATAAAAGTTTTAAAAATACCTACCATTTTATAATTTGTCAATAATAATGATGAGGATTCTCCAATAATTAAATTCTTCAAATATAGTTTTTGTTAAATTAATTTCCAGGACTTCAATGAATTCCAAAACCATTCAATAACCTACAAAATGAAATAAATCATCAAATAAGACTTAATATATTCGGTTATCACGCGATATGATCAAATAAACATACCATCTCATCAAATTGTGATCATAATGATGAGAATTACATAATAATTAACCATTCCAGCTTTGATTTGGATAAATATCAATATCTTCAAAAGGATTTTCTTCAAATACCTGCAAAACAAATCAATTATTCATCAACTGTTAAAATCAATTAAAATCAACTAAACATACCATTCCATCAAATCTCAGTCATAAATATCTTCATCTTCTTTAAATTATTGCCACAACATTGCAATCAAGTATTCAATGTGCGATAATTTCTTTCCAACCCATTATAAATCGGAGCATACTGATTAAGATTATTATTTCGTGGAATTAATAAATAAAATTAAAAAAATAAAAAGGACTTCCATTAAACTCTACGAACAAACAAGCAGAACAATTTTGTGATTAGTAAAATTCAAGAATAAAACACAAAACAACACAGAACATATCAATGATTGCCGAGCATCCTGGACCCTGCAACATAAATTAAATGATTAATTATCAATTCAAACAAAACGCCCTGAAAACATAGAAGAAATATTTAATTAGTTGCTGAAAGAAAAACATAATTCATTAGTAAGGATTTTTTGGATTTTTGGAACTCATTCACACTCACAATACAAATACATAATAAATCATCAAACAAATATCAATAAAACATACAAAAATACACAAATTGCTGTAAGAAAAAGACATTATTAAGGATAAGGAAGGACCTAAAACCCTGCCTAATGTCAACCAATAGCTAAATCGCGATTATCCTGAAAGCGGAAAAAGATTAGTACACAAATATCTAAAAACAATCATCATTCACACATCTAAGGGGAGTAGGAGACTTAAAACTATTTTAATAAGACCTGCCTTTGGTCCCTACCTAAGTACATGAGATAGCTTTTTGAGCACAGACCGATTATAATAAAAAAATGCCCGCCTAACACCGACGCGTTTGGCGATCTGTGCTCGGGATGCAAAACGGTTTTGCAACGGAAACAAAAGTGACCGACTGCCACATCCCAGCGGCAGCAGCCGGCTTTTGGTTGCCCAAAATTTAACACGACATACACAAATGAAATGAAATACAATACAGTGCAATACAATCATACCAAAAATATCAATAATTCATTCAACAGGCATGCCATTCATACTTATATTGCAAGCAGAGAGCAAATCTCTGCTTCAAAATGCCGCGCGCGGTGCATTGAACGAATTTGTGTTAATTTGTGGTGTTCTGCGTGAACAGAACGTGTAGTGTTGTGTTGAGAATGTAAGGTAAAGAGTGTGCCTAGACACACCAAATACCCAGGAACTCCGCATTCGCCGAAACGAACCGAGCAAAAGTGTAATGTGAGTGTTTATAGTGTGTGTGTGTGTGTGTGTGTTGACCGGTTGATTTTACTCGAATGCAATATTTAAAAGTGTTCGCGATAACACTTAATTGAAACTTTATTAAAAACGCGGTGCAATATTTACGGTAATGCGGTAATACGGTAATACTACAATCAGTCCAAATTCAAATCAAATAAAAGAAAACGCGAATTATTTTATGTCGATATTTCGAAGTCTTCGGATTAAGACGTTAATATTAAATACGTTGAACTATTACGATTCGCGGATAAAAAAAGTTTTCGCGTTAAAGTTTAAAGAATGACTATAGATTTGAACTGATATTTAAATCTCGACCCGGGAACATGCGATAATTCATAAAATTACTCACTACTTATGTACATCCGGCGTTTCTAGCAATGCTGGGTGGATTAGCCGAATGACCAAGTACTGGTTCGACATGCCACCCCCGGATACAAGAGTGACATGTGTGCGCCAGCCTTCTGATCATGGGCATCACCACTACCTACCTTAATCCGCTCCTCGAGATAACTGCTCACATCTCGCAGGAGGATGCGTTGAATTTAGAGGTCCAGCGACGACGGACTGACCCCTCTCTGGACTCAAGACCATCATGTGGGAGTGCCTTGACCTCTCATCATAGATTTGGATTGATCGTTGATTTCCTTTGGATTGGATTGGTCTGTCCGCTGATTGATTGAATGAAGATGTGTTCAGTGATGAAAACCTGAAATAAATTAAAATATTAGTTATTTATATACCATAGATTTAAATTTGAGATAATTAAAGATGATTTTTATTTGAAACTTTAATATTTACCATTGCTGTTGTGTCCTCATTTAAATATTAGATTGGAATGATTTATTGTTTCATGATTGGTGGTTATTTTTGTTGATAAGTATCTGAAACAGATAAAAGAAAATTACTACTATGAACTTTTTAGTCTATTTTATTACTTGATGAGTTATTATTAATTTATTTAGTTGTTTATACTTACGGATTTAGTTGAGTGACCACCATTTTAGTTTAAGTTAATTCTTCATTAAGCTTCAATTAATATGAATCATAAAAAATCTAAAAACAAATTAAAACAAAAAAATTAATTATGCACGTTTATATTTCTTGAAAAGTTATTTTTTAATTATTTTACTGTATTTCTAATACTTACCGATTTATTTCAGTGTACACCGCTCTTAAAATGAGTTATTTGTTGATATTTGGATTGAGATGTGGCTTTCTCAAGTGCTGGTCGGTTGTTATTGTGCAGAAGCATTCTAAAAAAATCAAAGAAAATAATTAATTATGTTCCTGTATTATTAAATAAATAGTTATTATTAAATAATTCAATTGTTTGTGCTTACCAATTGATTTCAATGCACACAGTTACTTGAAGTAAGTTCACTTGTTTACGTTAGCAGTCAAGATGGCTTCTTTTTAACTCTATGACATTTGACATCTTGTCAAAAAGCAAACTTGCGCAAAAAGCGACTCTACTTTAGTTCACAAAAACGCCAGCAGCGCCAAAAACGGCGACACCAACGACACGCACCCAACGAATCTCAAAAACTGAATGAAACATGGCCGTTGGGCGCTCTCTATTTATAGATTCCGAGGTGGAGTGGAGGTGGGGGTAAAAATTTTCAAAAACAGATTTTAAAAAATTTTGATTTAGATCGTTTCTAATCATTCTAACTTTACAGAAACATTCTAGAAATAAAACTAGGAATTATCATACCCTTTTTTCCTTTATTAACCCCGTAAATCAGCCACAATTAATTTTTAAAAATAACCCCAAAATTACAAGGGCTCTTATGGAGCACAAATCCAATTAGAGAAAAATTAACGAAATTCATCGTGAGTGGTATCAACGTGTAGGGCATCGCGCGCTCTTTTCAACGGTGCCTAACACGAGTCGTTTAGTGGAGGGGTTTGGGAGTAATTCACCACGAAAGTTTCAGTCGGTCACGAGTCGTCAACCGAAGAAAATCACATGCTGTCAATTGATATTTTTGTGAATTTCTCTTCAACCGCACATCAGAACCAAAATCTGACCACGGCATCGTGTTCCTTGGGTCCGATTACACCCCAGAAACTGTTATCACTTCGTAAATCGCTTTAATTAATAGTTTTTCACGCGTTTGTAAATATCAAGTGTAAACATTGAGTTTGCAGGAAAATTACGTCTTTCCTGTTGAATAAAATGCCATCACACCTGCGGCAATCGACAAGACAGCTCATAAACTATAGATTTCGATATCTTTGGAGTTGTGATACGTTTTGTGGATGCTGTGATCAACATGAAAACACATCATGTACCAAAACCAACATCAACCACCTGTTTGAGGCCCCCTGGAAGTTTATTTCAAATGCTGGCAAGCCAAACACAACTGGGATTTATTGTTTATAACATTGGCTAAGTGCTCAGTGCATTTGTTGGGATTTTTATGGTGTGTATATGAAAAGCCTGTTCAGTCATGTTCAGGTTCATCGAATGAAAGGTTATCAAGTGCATTGTTTCAGTTTTCCTGTTCTGTTGGATGTAATTTCACCTGGGAAATGTTCTAGGATGGATTAGGAATTGTTAATGAAGGTTTCCCTGCAATGGATTAGAGTATAAACGATTTCATACTTTTTCTAAAGTGTTTACATTGATGAACAGTTAAAATGTCAATTAAAATGTATATTTATTAGTGTAAATCTGTATACATTGAAATAAAACTTCTTGTGTTCCTTGACAATGTGTTATTGTTTATAATAAACATGATTTTACATGCTACAGGTTGTTATCTTTGTTTGTGTGTTGGAAATCCAACTGGACTGGTCAAGCAAACCAGCTGGTGTTCCTATTGGAGGTGATTACAATAAAAGGAGAGAGAAATTTACAATTCTGACTGCTGCAGCTTGTTAGTCTAGACTAGGTACTTCTGTAGATGTAGTTTTGAGTGATTCATAATTACTTTTATTTGTTTTTGCAGATAATTAGTGGAATGGATTAATTGGTTAGGTCAGTTTAGAGATGTTACATATTTTTGGTGATAACTTTGGAATGAGAAGGAATTTTGGAATTCTGATTGCAGACAGATAATCAGCAGGTCCGATTACTGCTATAAACATGTTTTATAAGTGAGATGAGTGGATATTTTATGCTTAAACAGAGGTGGTGCTTGAAGTTAACTGGCTGAGCAGGAATCATAGCAGGATTAGCAAGTAAATCAAAGTCTGCGAACAGTGGAAATGAATATATGAGTTTATGACAACAGAAGCCTCTTCAAGCCTGTTTAATTCTTTTTTATTTGGTATAAAGTTTGTTTAATTTGGATGAAAATTAACAAAGTTATGGGCAGAAGAAGAAACAAAAGCAAAAAATTATATAGGTATTTATTAGTGTAGTCTATTAGTGTAGTGTAGTCTAAGTCTGTATACATTGAAACAAATCTTCTTGTGTTCCTTGACAATGTGATATTGTTTATAATAAACATGATTTTACATGCTACAGGTTGTTATGTTTTGTTTGTGTGTTGGAAATCTAACTGGACTGGTCAAGCAAACCAGCTGGTGTTCCTATTGGAGATGATAACAATGAAAGGAGAGAGAAATTTACAATTCTGACTGCAGCAGCTTGTTAGTCTAGACTAGGTACTTCTGTAGTTGTAGTTCCAAGTGATTCTTAATTAATTTTATTTGTTTTTGCAGAAAATTAGTGGAATGTGGTATTTGATTAGGTCAGCTTAGAGATGTTACATATTATTGGTGATAACTTTGGAATGAGAAGGAATTTTGGAATTCTGATTGCAGACAGATAATCAGCAGGTCCGATTACTGCTATAGACATGTTTTATAAGACAAATGAGTTGATATGTTGTGCTTAAACTGAGGTGGTGCTGGAAGTTAACTTGCAGAGCAGTGATCACAGCAGGGTCAGCAAGTTAATCAGAAACTGAGAACAGGAGGAATGAATATATGAGTTTATGACAACAAAAGCTTCAAGACTGTTTAATTAGCTTTCATTTGATATGAAATTTGTTTAATTTGGATGAAAATTAACAAAGTTATAGGCAGAAGAAGAAACAAAAACAAAAAATTATAAAATTTGTCATTATCCACATCAAGCAGACATTTCAATGGTAGTCTGGTCGTATTAGGATTGAATAGGATGTCTTACAAGAACAAAATCTTCATGATAATTTAATTCTTTTTCATTTGACATAAAATTTGTTTAATTTGGAGGAAAATTAATAAAGTTATGGACAAAACAAGAAACAGAAGCAGTATAAACAAAAATTTGTCATCACTCTCATCAAATAAACATTTCAATGAGTTTCATTCACCAGTAGCATTAAACAAAAAGATTTAGAGGAGCAAAATCTTAAAGCCAAGTTATTTTTCTTTCATCTAACATGAAATTTGTTCAGATTGGATCAAAATTAAAGAAATTATAAGCAAAACAAGTAACAAACACACAACAAGTGTGAATTCATCACTGTATACCTGGAAAAAGTGTAATGCTTAGACAAATATCATAATAACCTTATAAAACCTTATAAAAGGTGATCATAGAGTCTATTTCAGTATGTTTGCTCTGTAAATAGTGTGGTATATAAGTATAAACGGACGGATGTCTTTATTATCTCTAATCCAGCTTATTCAAGTGTCTTCATTGGTTGAATGCTAACACAAAGCCATTGTACTGCTACACAACACCACAACTAAATAGGGGAGCAGAAGGCGTGCCACAAGTTGTAACTCACCCTTATATTAGACCCTTATGGTGATAAAAGGAGGGTGAGCGGCTAAAGTTAAGCAGGTAAACAGGTATAAACCGACTTACAACTAAGATTTACACCTTTTACTACCTAGTAAACTGAAATTGATAGAAAGCATCAAGAAAGAAATAGAGAAACACAGAAAATTAATGAATACTTGGCATTTATTCAGTTAAACAAGAAAGCATTCATGCTACAATGTATAAAATTAGTATAAATTCATCTCATACACAACACACAAACTGAAACGATTTCAAAGCAAAGCAGTATGTTTTGTTTAGAAAAACAAACCAATCAGTTACAACATAAGAAAAGTCAATGAAAGTAAGCGTCTATCAATCAATTTAATACAAAATGTTACAAATATTTTAATATTTTAAGATATTCTGTAAGAAAGGTGAAAAAATCACAAAATTAATAGAATTTCAATGTTTTTCTTTTTCTTGTGACATTTGCACCGTTATTACATAAAATTAATCATTACTTTACATTTATTCAGTTAATCAAGTAAATATTCATGCTACAATGTCTAAAATTAGTATAAATTCAACTCATACACGACATACAAACAATTAAAACGATTTCCAATCAAATATCCAACTTTTGTTTATAAAAAACAAACAAATCAGTAAAATTAAACAAAAAACCAATGAAAGTAAGCGTCTATCAAACAAATCAATATAAAATCCCACAAATCAGTTAAAAACCAAACGTCAGTCGTGATTAAAACGGTTTCTTCTTTCTAATAAATACAAATTTAAATTCCAAATGGCAGCGCCAATTGTGAACGCCGCTATCAAGCGCCTGCTGCCGTTGATGGACCGCATCCTCGTGAAGAAAGCTGATGCATTGAAGCAAACCACCGGAGGAATTGTGCTGCCTGATAAAGCCGTCCAACCTGTGATAGTCGGAACCGTGGTGGCGATTGGGCCCGGCCAGAGGACGAATGCCGGCGCACATATTAAACCAGCCGTGCGTGTGGGCGACGAGGTGTTGTTATCGAAGTATGGTGGCACCATGATAACAATGGATGATGAATCCGAGTTGCATCTCTATCGAGAATCTGATATACTAGCTAAAATTGAAACATAAAATGCAGTTAGAAGAATGGAATGAATGAAAAGAAGAAAATGTGTAAATTACTTGTGTTCATAATGTCTAGATGTTCTACATCTGAATTTCTGTCAATTTTAATGTAAACAATAAAAATAAAATTAATATTGTCTGGTTTAACAATAAAATTTGCGTAAATATTGATGTAAATTGATAATTATTGTGGTTTGACATGAAAAGTGTTATGCTGGTTGTATATCATGCGTATGCAAGTAAAAATTTAGTGTATTTTGGGTTGCATATAGAAAATAATGTGATATCAATTAAATAATCGCAAAAATATCAAGTTTTAGATAAATAAACATTCCTTGGGATGTTCTACGATGTATTTTGACATCTGACAAGTTGCATTTGTTAAAATAATAACAGATTAATCTATAAATACTGAAATTAATACTGTATTATGTAATAATTCAATGAAAAGTTAAAATAACGTATTTATATCTTGATTCTTGCCTTGTTTCTTAGAAAAACTATGTAATATTATGTTTAACACTTGAAATATTCGTTAATTCAATTGTTTATACTCCTTCAATGAAGAATAAACAATATTTTAGTCAAAATTGAATCGTAAAATGCAATGAAAAGGAAAAAAAGCATAAAAATGTGTGAATTATTTGTTTTAACAATATCTAGCTTATTTTCATTTGTAATTCAGTCAAATTCAAATTAAATTAATAAAGATTTAAAGATATTTAATTAAAATAATTTAATTTACTCTAATATTAAGTAAAATATTACATATTTACAATAATTCCTAGATACTTAAGCAAAATTACCTAAATTATCAATTTATCCATCAATAAATTTATTTATTGTTTAACTTAGAATATTGTTGCTATCGTCATACTATCCTGATCATTCTGAGTGTTCTTTTTCGTCGCGAACTGCACAGCGTCGTGAAGCGTGACAAAAATCTTATAAAACTCTTTCTTTTCATCCAGCAAATCACATTTTACCATTGTTTCATACACAGGTTCTATAAACACACAAAAATTAATTAATTTTCATCAATAAATAAAAAAAACAATGAATAATTTATCATTTACCTGAGCATCCAGCGATATAAATCGGAATATTCAACTTTTTATACTCCAAAGACAAAGTTTTCATCATAATAATACCTGAAGGATCAATATAACTCAAAGCTGTGAAGTCGTAGATGATACATTTCACTTCAGTTGGTTTGCTTTTATTTTTCTTGCGGTGCATTAAGTCTGTGGTTGACCCATATTGCGCAGAATCCTAAAAAATTATATTTTAAGTTATTTTTTGATAAAAATTTTAATAATTTTTATTACTGCAACTAATTTCTCCAATTTTCGTTTAATTTTCAGCTCTTCAGCTGGATTCACGCCTGTTTTTTCGTATAATGCCGCACGGAACATTGCTTTCGATGCAAAATTAATACTGCCTTGATAATGGAAGATTTTAATCTCAGGAATTTCTTCAGCCTTAAAAAAAAAAGTTTTTAGTCTGGTTTAACAACAAAATTCAATAAACATTGATGTGAATAAATAATAATTATGGTTGGACATGAAAATAGTTATGCTGGTTGTATATCAAGTGTTTAAAAGAACAAATTGAGTGTTTTTTGGGTTGCATTTTGTAGAAATTGAAGTTTTTTATGATTTTTGCACTACTTACACCTTTATAACGTTTAATATCCAAATACAACTCAGTCCCAGGCACATTTCCGAGTAAACAAGCATAAGGCTTAATTCCTCTGATAAGAATAACCGCTAATGACATGACGATACCAACGCCCAGACCAATATCAATGCTGACGAAAGTAACAGCTAAAAATGTGCCCACCCACACAATACCGTCGAGTTTATTCAGATACCAGAACTTCGGTAGGTCCTTCATTTGGAAAAGAAGACCTTTAAGAGCCACTACGATTATTCCAGCTAGAATAGCCTAAAATAAACAATAAATTATTTATTTGTTGATAAAATAAAAGAAAATGAGTAGATTTTTATACTTTTGGAAGTTGTTCAAAGTACGGCCCGACCCACATGAGGATAATGAACAGAATAGAGCAGGAAACTGCCGAGGTAATGTTGGATTTACAACCCGCATTGGCCTGGATGGAGCTGCGTGATAAGGAAGCCGCAAATGTGATACAGCTGAAGAATGATCCAACCAGATTACCCAAACCCTGAAAAATTGTAATTGTGGTTAATATTTCAGTTAATTTCAGTGATAATTTGGTTTTATATTATAAAAGTTTGTTTGTTACGCTTTCAAGCGAAAACTTCTCAATAAATCTTCATGAAATTTGGTTGACATAATCTTATGAGTATTATAAAGAATTATTTATCAAAAATTTATTAAAAAATTGCAGAATAACTAATAAAATATTAAAAATTAATATTAAAGTGTATTAATTGTAGTTTTAGTTAAATAATTCAATCTCAGATGGCGCTTGACGTGCATTACGAGCATTTTTAATTTTTTTAAAATATAATTGCGAATTTTATGAATAAAATAAAGATATAGTTGGTAATAATTAAGTTTTTTACCTGCGCTAATAATTCCTGATTAGCATCCACTTCATAATTGTATTTCTGTGCGAAAATTAAACCCATTGACAATGAAATGGCATAGGAAACAACAGCAATCATTATACACTGCACCCAGATACCGGAAATGAGGTCTTCAATTGGTGGAACACTCGGTGGTGGTAATCTAAATAAATAAATAGTAAATAACAACAATTTATTTGAATAATATGACTGTATTTGACGTACCCGCTGGGTATTTCTCCAACAACGGTGATTTTGTATTCTTTAGCAAGGTCAAATCCATATGAACACCCTGTACCCACTAAAACAAGCACCAGTTCCAATGGGAAAGGAATCGGACATTTTTTTGCTAATTTTGGCTGAAAATTAAATCAAATTAAACATTTTTACATGTTTTTCATGATTTTTATGACTTACTTTTAAGTATTCATTGTTGGCTATAGACACAATCATGGTAAGAACGGAAATAATGAATGCCATGTAGTTAAAATCACTAATATGTTCAGCAATACTGATTAAAGTCTAAAAATTAAAAAAATTTATAATGTTTTGTTTTATAATGTTATACTATGTGATGCTAGGCAACTTTATTAACACTTACATAAATATTTCCAAAGATACTCTCTTCTTTATCAGGTTTAACACCCAAAACGTCTTTGATCTGTGATACGAGCACATGTACTGCTGCCCCGGTTGTAAAACCGGAAACCAGTGTCTCTGATAACAATGTACTCACAATCCCAAGTCGAAATATGTACATTATTAACTAAAAAATGCAAAAAATTAATTTTTATCATTTTGCGCGACATTTTTTGAGAGATAATTGATTATATACCTGAAAAACACCCGTGACGAGACAAACAGACGATCCAACTCGTATTTTACAATCATTATCGGTGTCATCACAGTTGTCGTTGATTACCACACCGACCATAAGACATGTCACAGCAAAAGTGCCTAAAAATATCAAATTCACGGTTATTACCAAAAATAATTTATCCTATCCGTAACGAATTGTAATTAATGGTGTGATGGTTGCTTAAATATTTATTTTGAGTTGTTTTTGTTTTTTCAAATTTAGTTCAAGTGTTTATGACATATTAAACGTTCAGACTTTGCATTCTGAGTAATTTCACACATTTCCGCTTAGCGTTTAGATTTTTGTGTCATTTCAAGTGTCAACACCTTTATTGTTTTTTTCCATCGATAAGATAATCAGTTTTTATTAAATGTATCACTTACCCATTGAGTTGTGTTTGGCCATTCCGAAAAAAATATAAACTATAACAGGAAAAAACGCCGTGTAGATGCCCACGACGGGTGGAACTTGTGCCAATAAACCATATGCCATTCCTAAATATAAAATAAATATTAATATAAACAAATTAAACACTTTTAAGACTTAAAAATTAAAATTTTTTAAGAAAAAATGATTTAATTGTATTTTTAAGGTATGCAACTTCATTTACACCACTTATTTACTTTGCTAATGAAAAATTTAATATTTTACCTTGTGAAATATGCATAATGGCGACTGTAACACCCGCAATCACATCCGGAGTGAATTCTGCCTTCCAGTTGTACTGTGGCAACCAATCAATGATCGGCAACACACCCTTTATAAACCCTAACCCTACTTCACCTAAACAAAAACAAAAAACACAAAATGTTATGCTACATAACCTTAAATCATACCAATTATAAAAAAACTTACATTTTTTCCTCGCTTTCTCTTCATAGTTATAGTTTTCCCTTAATTCTTTATGTTCGTACAGCGGTCGATCAATCTTAATATTCGCCAGTGGATTTTCCTTCTTCTCCACGCCGCCATTTTGATTCTCACTCAAATGCAACCCGTCCATCTTTTTTTTATTGAAATGACTTAAAATCTAAAACCAATAACCATGCACGTTGTGTTTGCAGGCGTTCACAGCAACTGAATCGAAATCTGTCTGCCTGTGCGCCTGTTAATTATATTATCGAAGTGGATCGATTGTCATTAATCGTTTATCGCACTCAGAATTGGCCGCATTATCAATTTGTTATATTTGTTCGACTTTGATATTTGTAACTTTTGTAACAATCGCATTAAGTACAATCAACAATCATTCTACTGTTCAATTGGATATTAGTGAGTGCACAGATACAATATGGTGGAACATTGACAACGTTGAGCAATCATTGAGCATCATTCAGTGATAACAAGACAAATCGAAGGTAATTCCAAGTCGAGTGCACTTACAAATTATACAATACACACGTGGTTTGTACTTAAATCACTAAATGTTTAGATTTGCAATTTTTAAGTTTTTTTCACGTTTAAACACAACTTAAGTCACTTAAAGTCTGAGATACAACTAATAACTATTTGTTGAATACTTGTAAACACGTGGTTACTACTTAAGTCACTAAATTTTAAAGATTTTTGAGTTTTTTTGGGTTAAAATTTGATTTTTTTGTAAACATGACTTAAGTCACTTACGATGTGAAATAAAATTAATAACCACTTTACAGTACACACGTGGTAACTGTTTAAGTCACAAAAATTTAAGTTTTGGCGATTTTTTGTGTTGAAATTTGATTTAGACACGACTTAAGTCACTTATGACCGGAATCATAATTAATAACTACTTGTACAATACATAATCACACGTAGTTCACACTTAAATCACAAAATTTTAAAGATTTTTGAGTTTTTCGGGTTAAAATTTGTTTTTTTTCGTAAACACGACTTAAGTCACTTACGATGTGAAATTAAATTAATCACTACTTGTATAGTACACACGTGGTAACTGTTTAAGTCCCAAAAATTTAAGTTTTGATGAGTTTTTGCGTTGAAATTTGATTTAAACACGATTTAAGTGACTTAAGTCATTAAAAATAATTAATAACTACTTGTTCAATATTTGTACACACGTAGTTCATACTTAAGTCACTAAATTTTAAAGATTTTCATGTTTTTCGCGTTTAAATCTAATTTTCTCATAAACACGACTTAAGTCACTTAAAATCAAAACCACAATTAATAATTACTTGTACAATACACACATGGTTAACACACAAATCAAAAAATTTAAGATTTTTAATTTTTCTGGGTTGAAATTTAATTTAAAGCAGACTTAAGTCACTTAAGTCATGAAACACAACTAATAACTACTTGTACTGTGACTGTTTGGTGAATATTCATAACAACAACAAGGTGATATGTCTTAAGATTAATTTATCTTGATGATTACTTCATTATCACGCTCGAATGCAAATGGCCGTCCATTGACGCCATGTTATTAACCTATATTTTATGGACGGGCAATTCTCTGCTCTTGACTCACATCCTCACATGCATTCAACTCAATTACTATCTTAATCAGCGTTAAAGGTGAGATTGCAAGCGCTAAACAACACATAATAATAAAATAACAACATACTTACGTAATTTAAACTTGTAAATATCTTGCTTTTACATTCTAACCTTACTTTTTGTTTTCTTTAATTTTTTAGTTTATATTTTATTATATTTGGCACAGCACTAAGCAACTGCACTTAATCAAGGTGTGTTAAACGTGTTTTCTGGTTCACTCCGGTGTGTTTTTTGGGCGCTGTGTGTTTAAGATAACATTCAACACTTTGATATGCGGGAAATTCGTGCACATTTCTAACGGAACATCAAACATGCAAATTTTCCACACATTTTTCTTTCACTTGCACAATATTGTAACGCACACACGTGTGGTTCGAAATGAATTTTTTATATAAGTGATGAATTTTTTGTGATTTATTCGTTGCTTTTTGTTGTGCAAATATTGATATGATGATTACGTTTTTGCTGATTTCGGGTTGACAAATTTATTGGGTTGTGTTTAAACGCGTAGGGAAGCAGTACAAACACATGCGGAGTTCGTGAATAGAAAATTTACTTCCAATTGCTTAATAATTTAATAAAATACTTTGTGTAGCCTCGATTTAACGATAAACTTAGTAAAAAAGCGACATTTTCAACATGGTTATAAAAATTACATTACTAGTCCTATGTTCGGCGTGTATACCACAAGTCCAACATTAGACTCAAAAATTAATACAGAGATGCATCAATTTAACGAAAACCTCAGTAGTAATTGAGTTACCAATAAAGTTTCAATAAAACTAGTATTATTTTTATATGTGATTAAATGTGGGCCGATCCCGGAGGTACTGCAATACCGGGCCAACCCGTGATGTGAGTGGAGCAAGCCCCTAACTCCCATCCATGTCCAAAAATCAGTTTAATATACTGGACCCGCATGCGGGTCGTATCAGATATTAAGCTGATAAGAACAGATACTACACTTTGATCTTAGCCGGAGCCGAGAAGCGATACCTGAAAGTGGTTTACCCTTACCTTTTACGCAGGTAGATCGATTTTATTGCAAGAGAACTTCTTTTACCGACCCCTGTTAGGAAACTATGAAAACATTCAAATTTACCTGTGCAAACTGTCTCCCAGGTGTAAATACAAGTTTTATTGTTATAAATTTACAACAATATTTCCACAGGCAAGAATTTACATTCACTATGTAAATATTACTTATTTCTGCATATTTTCGTTATTTCCTGGCAGAAAACTTTGAATTTTGATATATAAATCGAAATTAAATCAATAATATACAACAAAATAGCTGTTTATTGTTTAAAATTAATAATAAATCAGTTTTCTAACTTCTATCAATGCAATATAATTTTTTACAGATTTTTATGCAAAAGAAGTTGCATAACTTGCAAAAAATCTATAAAAATCAAATTTTTCTGTTGAAATAATTCGTAAAACGTACAATTTTTAACTAAAAACATTAAATCGTTATCAAGAGGCTACACTGTACCTATCTTTGTGTAAAATTAATTTATGCTAAGCTGACATAAGCCTGTTGTGATCTTCTCGTTGACGAATCTCTTTTCTTTTTATCAACGCGCTCTTTGATTTCTTTCACTTCGCGTTTCAACGCTCTGTCTCTGCAAAACAAATAAATAAAATTACCTTAAGGTAAAAAAAACTCGTATCAATATTTCTATTTTAAGAACTTGACATAAAATATAACAACTACTAGTTGATAATTAAGGTTAAGTTCACGCCACAACGTCAACGTCGTTGAAGTAAAGTGCAAATTGTTTCGCGAACCGCGCCTAATCTATAATCACACTTGAGTTAATTTTTGTTTTAAATTAATTCCATGCAATACGCTCGTTATTCACTGCGGTTAAAACTATAAACATAAAATAACTCAGTGGGTACTAACGAACAAGTAAAATCTAATCAATATTTAATCTTTGCTTTTAAACTTATTTCTTTAACGTGCTTATTATTTTTTCAAACTGATTTGCATAGGCAATAGGCATAATATTAAAATGACATTTAACGGTAGTTTCAAGGATTATAAAAATGACATAAAAGGTAGGCAACTCAATATACACTACTTACTTTCTTCGCATGTGAAAACAATGAATTATCACTGCAAATGGACACAGTAATGCGACAGTCATCACGAAAAACCCGGCGATTTTCTGTCCGGTGAAGACCAGGACTGTATTCTTCTCCAATTCACCTTAATTAACACATGAAACATAATTATTTAATTTTTTTAATGTTTTTTTCTACTTCCACTTTTAAATTGCCACTTTTTCCATGGTTTTTAAGCAAAAAAAGTGATATTTTAATCACGGACGCCCAAAGCCGTGACTAAAGTACTTTAGCCATGATTTCGAGCGCATGCGCGAACTCCCATGTGTTTATAACCTTACATTTCGCAGTAATGTGCAAAAAAAGTTCAAAATTTTATAATAAAAACTTCAAAATCAAAAATAAAACGCAGAAATTCAGTGGAAGTAGAAAAGTGCCACTTAGCGCACTTGATACTTAATATATGAACTAATTTTCAACCTTTGTTATCAATTGAAGTCATGGTCATGTTGAGAATCGTCGGCGCGTCATACATCTGCACGCAGCCATTCCGATGACCTTGCCATTCATGAAATCTTAAACAAAACAAACACTTTCACACTTAAAACTTAATACTTGTTGATAAAACAACAACACTGTGTTACATTTGTAAGTTATAAGAGTATTTCAGAGTGTGAAGCACGTTCGTATGCTGTAATACACGCTGAGTAAATATTTAATATCAAGTGCAATTAATTAACGCGTGACCTTGACAGCCACAGTCACGCCGATTAGTTATATTTGTATTGTTACACAATATCAGCGATATTCTTACCTAAATATTTGAAGTATTTGTGATAATCATTGAAATTTATTGATATTAACATGAGTAACATTGATTTCAGTTATTTTTTTTTTATTTTTAGTATTTGCAAATTATTTCGTCAACGGAAATCATGATAAATGTGTTTACGATGAATTTCAGTGGGTTTTCTTATGACTAAGCAGAAAAAATCCCTTTCAAAACAGAAAATATTGTTGTAAGATGCAAGATAAGGTTAGGTTGCATGATGTGATAAGTGCTAACCTCGAAATTCACTTCACTTTATCATAATTTGACGAATTATGTCGGTGCGGTTTATTTTTGTATTGTGAATAATAAATTAGACGTGCAATTTGTGCAAGACGTACAAAGTGTGTGTCAAAGAGGTGATGATAAATTAAGAGCGCCGGTAAAATACCGCGACGCGAAATATTTCGGTGTATCTAGAATCTACATCTTGGCTTATTTATACCAGGACTCCAGAAATATATCATGTGCATCATCGCGTATGATATTCTCATTATAGTTTCTTAAAATGTTTTTCTAGTGTTTGTGCATGTTTATTTAAATGCCAAGCATAGAAATTTTAAGGTTAGAAGACTTTCAAGTGAGGTTATGAATGTTTAATGTGTCAATTTATACATTTTGTGAGATCTAACCTATAATAAGAGAAAATTTATTTATTTTATGCAATTGCAACGTGTTAGAGGTGAAAATACACCGCAAAACATCGCAGGAAATGTTTATTTATCTAAAACTTGTTGATTCTACGAATATTTCATTGAGTTTACATTAATTTTTATATGCAACCCAAAATACACACAATTTTTACTTACACACGTGAGATATATAACCAGTATAACTAATTTTCTGTTTAACCTCATTTTTTATCTAACCACATATATATTTATGTAAATTATGAAAAGTTATGTGAGATATAATTTATAAAAAAGGCAGAATTTATGCAATTGGGAGCTGTATGCAACATGTGATACGATTGATCTTTTCACTGCATAAATTCTTAGTTGCACAACATTTGGCGGTAACATAAAACGCGTAAAACCATCAACATTAAATTAAAACACGCTATATCTTTTAAATTTATAGGTTATGACAGTTACTAACCAAATATTTCATGGCAGGCAACCCACAGTTTCTATTGAATCAACCTTTTATTTATATTTCATTGATAAAAGAAAAAATATAGAATATTGTGTTTAAAAACAAAAAAAACATAAATTTTTAGGTTAAAAGACTCCTTAACCACATTTTCCAATACCTAACCTCAAAATACTATACAAATTTTGTAGTACTCTGTATATAACTGTTAAAATTCAGATTTAGAACAAGATTAATATAGATTAAACTATTTATAATCTAATTTATTACTAAATTTATTCGTTACTATGTAGGGTAAAAGAGGGTAATGGGGGTCACTTAAGGGAAAACTCAAATATAATTTAAATTATAAACAAAATACTTATTGCAATCGCTTATAAGCATTGTTTACTTAAATACCTATTATTTGAAATAATTTTCAGTCACTTTGACAATCAATTTTGGATATTATTAAAGTTTAAAAAAAAAACAGATTTGACTCCCATTACACCGACATGCGGGTAATGGTGGTCACCCTGGGGACAATCGGAATCAAACGAAATCTAGCAGATATCGCAGACATAATATTCCGCAAAGTCTCACCCAGTGCATTTCACATGAGCCCATAGCCCAAATGAAGTGCTATGAACCACATTTAATTGTTTTTTTTTTAATCGTTGCACATTAGACATCAGTTTTCCAAATCTTCATCCATCGCCCTGGCATAAGTCATCAGTGCCAATATAGGAATCATAAGTTTTGTTACTTTCCTGCAGTATCGTTTCTGCATGAAGGCAATTGAAAAATAAGTCACATTGCTTTTTATAGGCCATTTAGAGCGGACTAAAGACAAAAACGTCCATTGGGAGTCGCATGACTCCCATTGCCCACAATTGCACTATTGTGAAAAAAAAAAAATATATTTCTTCAAAACATTAATGTAATCTGAACTGCACATCACGATTTTGAATGTTTAACTAAGACTATATAAAAGTTTCATTCGAATATTGCAAGATATTCGACACTTATTTTCTAATTTGCGTGGACGTAAAATTAGATCAGCGGAGCTCAAAAATAAAATATTGGCGTATCTCAATGATACACGCACCGATTTGCATGATTTTTTGGGGGTGGCACTGGGGGGCCAGAACGGAGGTAGGAACGCCGTTTACGCGGTACTCGTAACTATTGTTTCGTGGATATATGGGTGACTCCCATTACCCGCTGACTCCCATTACCCTACTCTCCCCTAGTCACTAAATTTAAACACAGATTTAATCTTTTTTTGCATTTTACGTTTTTTCATCTTGGCGTCCGTCTGAATTGTTCGAATGTCTTCTGAGACAGCCCAGCGTAAACCCACAGCAACTGTATGAATATTTGATTAATTATGAACATTACAACGTGTGCCAAAACAACGCGTAAATCACAATGCGACGACGAGACGCCACGCCGAATAACTATGACATGGCAGCTTTCCTAAGACTCTCTAAACTACAAAACAACAAACAATAAACATAAAACTATTACTGCCTGTTTTAACAACCGCTAATTTACATAAATATAGAAGTAGATGTATAAAGATTATGAGGTTAGACATAAAAATAGGTTATGCTGGTTGTATATCACGAGTTGTCAAATAAAAATTACGTGTATTTTGGGTTGCATACAAAAATTAATGTAAACTCAATAAAATATTCGCAGAATCATCAAGTTTTAGATAAATAAACATTTCTAGTGATGTTCCCCGATGTATTTTGACATCTGACACGTTGCATTTGCTAAAATAATAATAGATTAATCTGTAAATACTGCAAATTATACTGTGTTATGCAATAATCCAATAAAAAGTTAAAATAACGTATTTATATCGTGATTTTTCGTCGTTTTTCTTAGAAAAACTATTATATAGTATGATTATCACTTGAAATATCCATTAACTCAATTGTTTATACTACAGCAGAGCGTGAAAGCTTTGCGGCTGACTTTTCTGATGAATAAACGGCTCATTAGTGTCTTTCCGTCATGGCGCTTGTGTTTTTCATGGCACCGTGCCTCAAGAAACTCACAAATTGCGAAAAACGTAAATTTTACATTTAAAACAGATAGGCCTTTGTTTTCACTTGTTTCACAATCAACCATTAAGTTATACAAATTATTTTGAAGTAATTTCGATGTAAAAACATTCATAACCTGTATTTTGGTAAAAATTAGGTTAAGTTCTATTAAAATATAGGTTAGGTTAAGTTTTATATTCAATTATTAACGTATATAACTTATTTTGGCTTTAATTTGATGTAAAAAGCATTAAAAACCTCTTTTTAGTAAAAATTAGGTTATGTTTCATTAAATTATAGGTTAGGTTCAGTTTCACAACCAATTATTAACATATACAACTTATTTTGACTCAATTTTAATGTAAAAATAATTAAAAACCTAATTTTTAGTATAAATAAGGTTATGTTACTTAAAATTCTAGGTTATCTACCTGTCACAAGTACATCTTGTAATATTTTCATGATCCGGCGTACAAATCAATCGATGATCATCACATTCCGCAGTAAAATTACAAAATTCTCCCCAACTACTCACTAAAAACAATAAAAAACACAATTACAAACAAATTTAATTTAAAAAATTCCAATAATACGAACCTAAACATAAGTAAGGAACAAATAACGCACAGAATGTGACACAGATAATTAAAAATCTAATTGAACTCATTATTATTACTTGAAATAATTAATGTTCACAATATTTATACAACGCTGGTGAAGTAATGATTAACACATGTTCGAATCACTGAATTTAAACGTTTTAAATTTGTCACCTGTCAACACACTGTCCGTATCAATTTATTCGTATTATTTTACGATTGTTTGAATCGCCGGCGGCTGGCGAACGACACACCGTCGGCGGCGGCGGCGGCGCGACGCTTCTCACGCATCGCGCGAGCTATGCCCGAGCCGATTTTATTTTTAAACTATTAATGTCGGCACGCGCGCCGGTTACCAATGCAGGTGTGCGGGAATTTCATTGAATTAATTAAAAATATTTAATTATTTTAAACTTTTGTCTGAATATTAAATATTGTTGATGTTGTTACGAATGCAGTGTGTGGTCAACTGAGCGTGTTTACAGCAAGTGGAAGAAAAGCACTAACCGCATATATGTGTTTTATATGCGTGGGAGGGTAATAAAGTTACTGCGCGGTCAAGATTGAGCTTTCGTGCGATATTTGCGATTCGTGCGATTCGTGCGAGGTGCGCTAATCAACTAAGAACTAACGATAAAGCCGTAAAAGCCACTTTGGGGCTTTAGGTACTCCCCGAAGTGAAATTATGAGCTTGCATGTGTTTAATATCATTGCATTTTGGTTGTTAATAAGTTTTCAACCCGTGTTACTCAACACATATTAATATGGTTGCATAAAATGCGTTTTTTTATGGTTTTAGGCTAGTTTTAAGTTTTAACTTGATATAAATCATGATGTAAGATTTTATATGTCATAAAAGTAAAATGTTCTATTTATATACGAAATTTTATAGTTTTTTGCCATAAAATAAAGAAAATTTGTAAAAATTCTGTGATTTTTTTGTCTAATTAATGTAATTTATTGTCTGTGGCTTTATAAATGTTAACTTTTTATATTAATATTGTTATTTACAGCTGTCAAACAGTTTACTAAGGTAAATAAATAAAAAATGAAATCTTGATGACTATTTTTTAATTATTATTCTGTGCTACTGTGCCACTGAGCCTGAAACTAAATCGAGGGCAATGAGCTTTATACAAACACATCACTTAGCCACAAAAAACTCATGCTATAAATAAACTATAAAGCTTAAACTATTAAAAAGTCAATTATTTATTTTAAATTGGTTTTTACTCATTTTCAAAGTATTTTAATGAGTTTTTTGTTTATTTATTTTATTTATACGTTAATTATATATTTTTATTGTTATTATTGTTTTTATTGTTTATATATTTATGTCTTTTATGAATATTTGGTTTGAAGAATGGAAGGATGGAAAAATACAAAGTGTGCGTGATTTCTGCGCACATTACTCGCAAGCACGCCACTTTTTTATACTCTTATTTATAAATCAATTGCCGAGGGGCCTGAAAATGGAGAAAACCACAGCGCAAAGGAAGTATCGATTAATATTTTAATTTGAGAGTAATAATTATGCAAAAAGTACGGCAGGAAAAATCCTTGAACAATGTTTTTGCATTATTATCGTTTATCATAATTGAATCATGAATTATGCCTACCTGACGGTGAGCGTATTTTATAGAAGAGAACGTTGTTTCATTGTAGGCAACCAACAATTCGTATGAGGTGAAGTAGTATTAATATTGCATTGATAAGTCCGAAAATTGATTTAAACAATAATAATTATAAACAATAAATACCAATTTTCTAATCTTTCATAATCAGCATTTCGTGGGTTGCTATATCTTTTAGTTTAAGAGATATTAGTTATCAAAAATCGTCGAAAAAAAGTATCAAGCAGATCCTAGAAGTGACTCGTGTTCAGGGCACCGTAGAAGGGTAGCGGTAGAAGTGACTCGTGTTCAGGACACCGTATGAGGGTAGCGGTAGATGTGACTCGTGTTCGGGGCACCGTATGAGGGTAGCGGTAGCCCATTTTTACTAATAATTTAAAATTACATTGCTTAGATTTCCAATGGGAAAGTTAAATTTAACTAGCTTATTTGATACAGTATTTTCCGCAGATGGCCCTGCGATTTGTTCCTTTCTATCTCTTATAGTATACGAGATATTCGCAATTGAAAAAAATCGTCAAAAATTGAAAAATTGCCATTTTTAGCACTTTTAGTCGCGGTTTTTGACCTTTTACAGCATCAAATTAACCTATTTTAAATTTCCATTTGATAGAGAATTTTCCAATCTTCCGTAATCAACAATTCGTTGGTTGCTACGGTTTTTAGTTTAAGAGATATTAATTATCAAAAATCGTCGAAAAAAAGTATCAAGCACACCCCCTTGGCAATTTTTTCTTAAGAATGAAAATTTCATCTCTTAGATTCCCGCTTTAACTAGCCTATCTTATAGAGAATAGTGCGTAGATTAAGACGCTGCGATCGGATCTTAATTATCTCTTTTAGTTTACGAGATATTCGCGATTGAATAAAATGGGCAAAAATTGAAAAATCTCACTTTTTAGCACTTTTAGTCGCGTTTTTCAACCTTTTACTGTAGGAAATATATTTATTTCATATTTTTATCTGATAGAGAATTTTCCAATCTTTCATAATCAGCTATTCGTTGGTTCCTATCGCCTTTCGTTTAAGAGATATTAATTATCAAAAATCGTCGAAAAAAAGTATCAAGCACCCCCCCTTGGCAATTTTTTCTTAAGAATGAAAATTTCATCTCTCAGATTTCCGTTTTAACTATCCTATCTGATAGAGAATAGTCCGTAGATTAAGACGCTGCGATCAGATCTTAATTATCTCTTTTAGTTTACGAGATATTCGCGATTGAATAAAATGGGCAAAAATTGCAAAATGTCACTTTTTAGCACTTTTAGTCGCGTTTTTCGACCTTTTACTGTAGGAAATATAATTATTTTATATTTTTATCTGATAGAGAATTTTCAATCTTTCATAATCAACAATTTGTTGGTAGCTATCGCTTTTAGTTTAAGAGATATTAATTATCAAAAATCGTCGAAAAAAAGTATCAAGCACCCCCCCTTGGCAATTTTTTCTTCAGAATGAAAATTTCATCTCTCAGATTTCCGTTTTAACTATCCTATGTGATGGAGAATAGTCCGTAGATTAAGACGCTGCGGTCAGATCTTAATTATCTCTTTTAGTTTACGAGATATTCGCGACTGGAAAAAATCGTCAAAAATGGACAAATGTCACTTTTTAGTACTTTTGATCGCGTTTTTTGACCTTTGACTGTTGGAAATATAATTATTTTATTTTTTTATATGATAGAGAATTTTCCAATCTTTCATAATCAATAATTTGTTGGTTGCTATTGCTTTTAGTTTAAGAGATATTAATTATCAAAAATCGTCGAAAAAAAGTATCAAGCACCCCCCCTTGGCAATTTTTTCTTCAGAATGAAAATTTCATCTCTCAGATTTCCGTTTTAACTGGCCTTTTCTTATAGAGAATAGTTCGTAGAATAGTCTCGGCGATTTGTACCTATGTATGACTTTTAGTTTACGAGATATTCGCGATTGTCGCGTTTTTTGACCTTTGACTGTTGGAAAATCATACTATCATTCATTTTCTTCTCAAAAAATATTCAAAACTTTGTTTAAACCACAACTAAACTATATTACTAAGTAAAATAATATAAATAGTGCTTTCTTGTCTTCACTTTAATATGCAAGATACTCTCCTTCACAACGAAAAACAAAACAAAAGAACTAGTAACAACAAACAGTCTGTTCGCCGCAATGAGAATATAATAATTAAACATAACAAATTCAATCAAATTCGCTCCGTTACAATATACGCAATAAGAATAAGAATCATAATAGGAAAAACTCAATACTACTAATAATAAATAAGTGAAAAGTTTAAAACTAGCATCATAGTAATAATAAGTAATAAGACGTATTCATTAAATAGATATATAGTATAAGAGATATAAATTTGCAACTCTGCTTCCTTTCTGTACAAATAGAAGCGCCTGGAAATAAATTCGGGGAAATCAAGACCAAGGAAACAAGGATCACAACAAAATGGCCGACCAAATACTTCCGCATGCTATGTTTCCCGCATTACAAGCATTCTCGGCCATTTTGCGCTTCAGTTGTGGAACGCAAGTCACAAAAACAGTCACGGTTAGTGTGTAATCTGTAATTTTTCGTTAATAAGTCGATAGTTTTTCATTCATATAATTAATTATATAATCCATCCATGTGGGGGTGTAATCATCGGTTTTGGTTGCTTTCATGTATGCGCCAAAAAGATTTCAACTAATCGCACTCATAGATTCGGCTGTCTCAGCTTCAAATATTTTGAAATTCGCCAGCTCTGCTGTACCTTCATCATTAATCAACGAATCAATGAATAATAATCAGGGGGATACAAGTAATACAATTAAGTGCACAATATTTCTTCACTTGTTCTCGGTTTTTTTGTTTTGTTTTGTTCAGCTAAGCTCAAGTCCACAAAGTATGAAACGCGCGTCTCGTTTGCATTTTGTATGCCCCTGACTCTCAGAGTGTACGGTGTGTGTGTGTCTGTGAGTGTCCTCAATGCTTTATTTACTTCTCGTTTATTTCATCTTAATAAGGAAAATTTACTAACTAACACCGATAAATATATTAATAGTACATTGTTTGTTTTTTTTTGCTTGCATGATTCTCGCGCCACACGTATGGACGCCTGTTTGGTTGTTATACTTCATTTAGATAATAATTAACACACTAATATATAATCTCATGCCGTCGCAGGATGTGCGCGCGCGCTTGTGGAACTATCATGGCTGCCATGACGTGCACGGCGCGCGCATCATCCACAATTTGAAAAATGATCTAAGTTAATATAATAAATTCATTCAGTTACTCTCGTCTTCACATCGTAATCATAATAAATACGAAAAACGCACAATAGTGTTTAATTTATTTTTTTGTTTAACCCTTGTTGTTGTTGTTGTTGCTTTGTTTTCGTCAATCGGATTATCATTTCTTAAGTACGAAGCAACCGTTTCATACTTTGTGACTTTTACATTACAATACATTTAAGATAGATGTCGCCGGTTGATGCGACCGTCTTTTTTCTTTTGTTTGTTTGTTGCTCTTCCGTGTCGCGGTGGTGAGAGATGGTGGTGGTTGTAGTTGTTGCAAGTCACACGACGGAACATTCAGCAATTAAAATTATTGATTGATTTTTTGTTGTTGTTGTTTTTCAAGTTCTCATTTGTTTCTTGTGTTCTTGTTGTTCATTTTGTTGCACCGTACTATATAAACACTAACCATCGATCGAAACAAATATATTACAAAAATTTACACAATTATCTTTATCATTAATATTTTAATTAATAATTAATTTAATATTATTATTTTAATAATATTTTTTTGTTTTTTTTTTTGCCTTTCCATTACTTACGTTTTTGTTTGCTCTTTAAATTTCTGGTATTTCGTGTTTTTTTTTTGCTATCATTAGTTCATTTTCTCAGTGTGTGTATATCTCATTTGACTATATTTATATATCATTGAAATTTCTTTCGACAAGTTGACAAGTTTGCGTGAAATAAACCTTTCATTTGTTTTTGCTCTTGTATTTCGACAGTACAGTTTGAATATAGTTTCAAGTAAGATGTAACCCAAGTTTTTCTCTCTCTATGAATGTGTTAGAACGTGTTGTAAGTAGAAGTTGTTGATTTTGAGGGCCCGGCAGCCATCTTTGAAAGCGAAAAAGATGTTCTCGTGTGTGTGGGTCTGTAATTCATCAATTGGTTTCTCTGATTTATTATTATTCTCATTTTGGTATCTTGTGACTGCAACATCGGTGTTGGTGATTTGTTTTCGGTTGTTTTTCTTTTCTTTTTAAGACGTCTCGTTTAAATATTAATATATTTTTTGTTTAGTAGTATTATTATAAATGGGCCGGGATGAAATAATGGAAAGCTGAAATGCAGACGGCGCACTCACGCTGGTGGCGCTTCACTTCGAGGTCATCATGGTAACAAACTCTGCAACACACCAAACATATCAAGAAATTAGCCTAAAATGTTTCATCACGCAATTGGAGTAATAAAAAACGTGTGGACAAAAACGAAAAGCATGACAAAGTGTAACACGGAGCAATATCCAAAATGGCCACCCATGCATACGCCATGTTTGCTCCACTTAGTCATCCTTAACCACAATTTGCACAAGAGATCTACAAAGATAATTTGCACATTCGCAAGATAACTTTCATCCAGGGATTTAGATGTAGCGCGCGGATGTTTGCGCAAATCCAAACAGTAAACATGCTCAAAACGTTGTGTTCATACACACCGTACACATACACGAAACAATAACGGTGGTTACGCTTCGTTGCAAGCTCATAAACAATTAGCAAGTATGTAACATAACATAAGTACAAGTAGAGAGATGATTATCAGTGGAATTTATGTGATTGTTTGCGTTTGTTTCCCGCTTATATGTGCAAATGTAAAATGAGCACAGGGGGTGAAGAAAATGAAGCGACTTTCACGAGCAGAACAAAGCGACTGCTTCGGTTGATTCGGGTTTGAGGGGTTGAAAATGACAAAAGAAAAACTACTAAACACAAGAGCTACGAGACTGACCAGCTTGAAGCTCGTGCGGGCGCATAACGACTGAAAACTATCAGAGCAAGCGCGCGGAAATCTGCAAGAGAGCAAACAGAAACCAAAAAAACAACGCAACACTACCAGATACTCTTGATCATCATCATCATGTAAACTATTCTAGAAATTCTATTCTCTCTCTGCGAATAAAGGCCAGCACTATGACTATTACCATAAAAATAAAAACAAACGGTGTACACGCAAATATAAAAAACACGTTGGAAAAGGTCACTAAAAAATATCTAGGATGATATCACACACACATAGGGCACCGAGAGAAGAAAAAAATGCTTTGTGTGTCGGCGCGCGTTTCACATTTTCGCAATTCGAGAAAATTGTGTCATGAAATTTACGGCCCGCTGCAGGAGGGCAGCACGGCGGCGCGCGGCAGCGACGGCGTAATAAGAGGCGGGGGTGGTAGTGGCTGGCTGGCTGGCAAGCAAGCAAGCAGCACAACCAGGACCACACCCTCGTTGCGCCCTTTTCGCCGCGGCTGGCTGGCGTTGCACAACGCGTAGCATTTCGCCACCCCGGAACACACCCCTCTGTGCAAACACAACGCCAACGTCCGCATTACTCCAAGAATGCCAAAATTCGCACAGCTAGGAAATATAAATCTACGAAAAGAAAAAAAATCTCACAGAGGACACTCTGTCGGCGAAAAATCAATGAAATTTCAGCACAGGAGATTAGCAAAAGTTAGCTGTGAGCTGACAGATCGGATAGTGCGGCGCAAAAGTCAAAAGACCAAGGAGAATCAAGGACAATGCGCGCCGCGCGCGCAAAAAATACAAGAGGGTTGCGTTAAGTAGGACGAACGCAAAAAAAAAAACGAACCACTCAAGGACAAAGCGCAAATTTATCGACATCGAAAAAACCCACACACAAAGAAATAAAAAATTTCGTTTTTTTTTCTTGTGGTATATACTGACCTTCATAATTGACCTGGCCATCACCGTCGATGTCGGCCTCCCGGATCATCTCGTCGACCTCCTCGTCGGTGAGCTTCTCGCCGAGGTTGGTCATCACGTGGCGCAGCTCCGCCGCCGAGATGAAGCCGTTGCCGTCCTTGTCGAAGACGCGGAACGCCTCGCGGATCTCCTCCTCGCTGTCGGTGTCCTTCATTTTGCGCGCCATCATCGTCAGGAATTCGGGGAAGTCAATCGTTCCATTACCTAATTAAACACATACAAAATAAACTACTAATTTGTAGCGCTAATCATTATATTATCTAAATCGTCGCGTCGCGAAATAAAATCCTAATCATTTTATTTGATGCCGCACTTGGGGGATGAAAACGCTCGCCGAAATGAAACCGTAAACACGTAAACGTCAGCCACGTTTCCCATTGTAATTATGTTATAAAAGCGTTTACTGCCCGCGCACTAGCGAGAGTACCACCAGAGAGAGAGAAAGCGCGCGCGTAGCATAGCCGCCTCCGGTGCGGGCGGCGGCGGCAGGCGACGATGGCGGCCGAAAAATCAATATCGTTCATTCATGAACACCGCGCGCTCGCTCGCTCAACTTTATTCATCGCAATCGCAATCAATTTATGCATAAACATTCATTACAAACAACACACGCAGAAAATGAAAAAAATAAATAAATACGCATGTAAATTTTCTAGATTTCTAGACCTAGATACAACATTGTTCGGGAAACAATGCCGCGCATCGCCAAAAGAATCGCAATTTGCAATTTTGGCACTTTCTTGGCAATCACAATTACGACCGCTATTAATAAACGTTAAGAGCGTGTTTTTAATGCAATGCCGCGACTTGCGTGGAAATAAGTGCGCGCTGTTTGATGACTGATGCATCGATTATTAGCTAGTGTCCAACATTATTACCCACACTCACACACACACACAGAAATATTGTGTCGCGCTTGAATTGTTTCGACTACGCGCGCCGCACAGATGCTCCGCATGCTTCGGTGACGTTATAAACAAATTAAAAACTAACACCGAAACAATAAACACATCATCTGCGAAGCCGAAAAAAGTGTGCGAACTGTTTTTTCGCGAATAATGCTACAAATTGCTAGAAAAATCAGAGATAAACACAATTCGCAGACAATATTAATAATTTTTTTTATGGGATAATTGCGTGTGTTAAACGTGTACAACGTGAAAACACGACAATACGCCGTATTAAAATTAATTGACTGTGGAAAAACAAGTCGCGCTCGCCTTGAATATCGAAAACTGTCACAATTTCGGTGATTTTTGCGTTATTTCCATGCATATTATTCATGTTTCACACCGCAGCGTGTGACTCGAACGTGTTACACTGCACAAACGTCGAAATTATTACTCATTGTGCATCCTTTTATATCAAATCCGCTATAAATAGTTGCGCGCGTGAGCCTGGCGGCGCGATTTGTTTCCATGCTGCCCACAAACACATTAACAGGGTGCAAACATTCAGAAACCACTTGAAATTGTGTAAAAACTCAAGCTGTTTAATCGGCAAATTATGAAACCGCAATTTTTACGCTGTAATCGGCACGTAAACCACTCGGAATCCACGTCGACAATCAATTACAGCAGCGCACGATAAGAAATTCACACGAATTACCTAATTTCCCCACGTCAAGTGCGTTTTAATGCGATATTTCATCACATCTACATCAATATCTACTTCAAGTGGTGTAGATATTAGAAAAATATCTGAATTCTACAAAAAAAATTACCGTCAGCGTCGACCTCGTTGATCATATCCTGCAGCTCGGCTTCGGTGGGGTTTTGGCCAAGCGACCGCATCACCGTGCCCAACTCTTTCGTGGTGATGGTGCCATCACCGTCCTTGTCGAAGAGCGAGAACGCCTCCTTGAATTCAGCGATTTGTTCCTCGGTCAGTTGATCGGCCTACAAACAAAAAACACAACACAAATGAGTGGTGGAATGCGTTTGATTGCTGTGCATGTCGTTTGGGGGAGAGGCGTCCGCGCGCGTTATCTACGATCCAGATAGGGAAGGTATACACACTGGCGTGTAGAGTATACGGGGAGAGAAGCCGCACAAGGCGGGCGAAAAAGCAACAGAGCAACAGATCAATAATACACGTACATGCACACGGTGTGCGCGCGACCCGAAACGTAAAAATTACGACGTGAACGAACCGATTAGACACCTGAAGATAATAATTACGACTAGTTTTTTTTTTGGCCTTTTATTTTCTTCCTGTGTGTGTTTGGAATTTACTGCGACGCAAAATGATGATTTCGTAAACAAACTCGAGTGTGTAACTGCACCGATATCGATTTTTGACCCCCTAAGGTGAAAATTCATCGTGCGTCGTTTGTTTCCAGATGCACAACGCGTGCGGTGCATGTAACTGTTGATTGGATAGATGTGTAGATGGTGTTGGTGTCTAGGTGTGTGTGTGTGTGTGTACACAAAACGCACGAAACACACGGTGCGCTGCGTGCGAGTTACCGCATTGCGGTAAAAATATGTACGCGCCGCCGGACTGGGAGGGCTTCGCTCGACATTCGACAATACTCAACGCGCACAAACAAATTCCTCCGCCATTTCACCCAATATCGTGTGCCTGAGTCGAATTTCACCCGGTGTTTTCACCGCGACCAATCAACGCGCAGCAAATCGATGTGCCTGTATGTGTGTACGTGTAGGTTGTACACAAATCGGCGGAGCGCGACGAAATTCGATTTTTTTCGTGTTTCCGGCTCCGGTTGCGGGAAAATACGCTTGTGTGACGATGCACTGATAATCGCTGCTTGCGTTGGTAGCGTCGATGGATGCAAAAGAGCGCTCACCATTGCGATTAGTTAGGATTTAGTTTGTGGGATGTCCCTCCGGCGGCTGGTCTTCCTTCTCCTGAGCGGCTCCGTGTATGTGTGTGAGTGTGTGATGTGCTGGATTCGGCTGCACCGCTGATCCTGCACTGACGACGTTCCCGTAATCCCAAGCTCCTGCGGGGGCGGTGGGTAGCGCGTTTATTCGGCAGCGAGTTCACCGAGTGGCGGACAACTACTGTTCTGCAAGAGTGAACTTCTGCGAACTTCGACGGCGGTGTGGTGCGGCGACAGTTGCGATTGCGACGACGTCCAGACAACAACTGACCGTCTGACGAGCGCCGAGCCGCGTCGTTCTTGACAGCCGCAGCGCGCCACGCGTCGGCGGCACTCGGGTTTCTTCGACCTACTGCAAACTGGCGCTAAATTTGAGCTGCTTATGGTGAATGCAATAAGTGTAAGCGAAGGCGAAATAGAATAGGAGAGAGATGGGGTGATCGCCGGTGTGCGACACTGTTCCGCGAATTTCGCAGCGCTGCGCTCCCGGGTTGACTGCGCACTGCGCCGTGACAGCATAACCGAGTAAAATTCCTACGCCGTTCTGCAAACAGTGAATATCCAACACAAAACGCACAAAATCCGCTAAAATATCCACCTATACATTACTTTATATAATAAACTAGATATTACAATAGTTTATACCAAGTTTCTACGTGGTTTTCATAAGAAATTTTCAAATTTTCCGCAGTGATTCTTTTCGATCGCCGTGGCGCAGTCACAGTCCGTATAGTTTTCGCACGTTGGTGGGGGGCCGCTGCGACAGCAGGGTCGGGCGCGGCATGTTTACCGCGCCGGCCGCGGCGTGCCGTAGCGGCGGCTCTGCTCCCCGATTGGTCGGCGCGTACCTGCAATGCGTCAAGCGGGAAAATTTGGTTTTGTCGCGTTTCGGCCGCCGCGGCAGAAGCGCGCCACTCCGCACCGCGTCGCCGACCGGCGAGCGACGCGCGACTCTTTTGCCGCACACCGCACGAGAGCATCCGCAGCGTGTGTGCGACTCGCGCGCGCACAGACCGCACCCGCAGCGTGCTAATAAATCCTACAATTCTTCGAAAATTGCACAATGTGTGCGTCCTGCACACATAGATCCTTAAAAAAATAGGCAGCCAAACAAACAAAAAACTATTTATACCTTCCACCGACAACAAAAGAATGTCGGACGCGACGCCTGTGGAACTATTTTTAGTTAAACTCAACGTCGAAAAGAATTATTTACAATAGACAACACAATTTACACAGCGTTAGTCATAGTTTTTTTACGCAGAAATCGAATTATTCAGAGTTGGCTTGCATGTATAGTGGGTAATCTACATTTGCGACCTTCATCCGGCAATATTTCGCCTTCTGTTTGCGATTGGCGTGTTGTGTTGTGTTCTAAATCGGGATTTACGATTGTCTGCCGCCCCTCGGCGCCTAATAACCTTCACCCTCCTTTCGCGCCCATCGTACATTCGGGTTTTGCGGTATGTCGATATACAATTCGCATGTCGAACGCAAATATTTGCGGCGCGGTGTGTGTGTGTGCGCTACATTCGGCGTCTTTTGTTTTCGGGGCATGCTTTGGAAAGTGGGGTGAAACACGCAGGGGGATCCTGAACGACCTTTGTACTGTCCTCAATGGGTGGTTGCTAGGCAATTTGTACCTGTGTCATAACCTCAATTCTCAGCTATCAGTGACACACTATACCAAATATTATGTGTGCACAAAAAGTAAATTCAATTAAATTTTACGAGTAGGTATATTAGTAATTTAGGTTGTATTTGCTCGGAAATTTATTTTATCTTATCTGTATCTTATCGGAAGGTACAAAATTCAATTAGTTAGTTATTTACAGCAGGATATAGAATATTGTAGGCAATAACTATAAATTTCGAGAGATATTGGTTGCCTATATTAAACTTGACTGTGAATTTATGTAATTTTTGTTTTTGTTTTTTTATAATCGCTAACAAGATTAAAGCCGCCTTCCGTTGTACACTGTACGCTTCCTCGTTTTTCTGTACGCTGTGCAGGACGAAAGGGACGTTAAGCAGGAAGGACCGGCCCCGGCTTAGAGGCGATGTTCGCCCGTTGTTTGAGCTTGATGATCTTTTACGGCTTCACCGCGGGCCCCACAGGCGGAACAAGGGTGTGTCCTTCGTGTTCCTGCTCACAACACAACCAAAAACTCGACGCGAACGGGGAAAATACAGTCGCTGGGCTTAAAAGGGTACAAAACATTATTTTTCGTTTGATATTAAATAACTGCACAGGAAATACCAACGTACTACCTAGGGAAATACCTAAATAACCTTAGAAAGTTATTTTATTATAGGCAACCAACAATACACATGCGGTGTTATGTTTTACATTAAAAAAATATAAATTTTTGATATTTTATAAGATAAATAACGGAAAATAAATTGTCTGTAAGTGTAAATATTTGTTTCGCTTCCGTTTGTGCGTCGTCGTGAATTGAAGAAACGGAGAAAGTAAGTTTCCGCTTTCTACCCAGAGGATTGGATTGCGGATTGTGTTGCCAGTTTGTTTTCTTTCACTGAACGACAACAAACAGCGACGGGATATTCATCGGCTGCGTGAGACGTGACTGCTGGGCGCTGAAGGATTTGATAGATTTGCGATTCCACTTGTTGAGTTTGCTTGTCCTTTTTAGCCGAAAATCGTAGCGTGCTTTGTGTTACACAGCTTGTGAAAGGATGTGCGGTATTGTTACAGTCAATTTGTCAAGTGATTTCACATCCTTTCCTGCATTTTTGAGTGTTTTTACCAGTTTTTACATTTTTAATGTAATATTAATATAGGCAACTTGTATGTGTTGTTTGTTTTGGTGACAGATTGGTTGCATATATTGAATTTTTGATTTTAGATTTAATTATTGTGAAAATTGTAGTTTTTGCGTTTTTGCTGCGTTCATCGACTTATTTACTTACTAGGCGCGTCTGCCCCGCACGTCGACGCGTAATATCTGCATTGTGACGTCGCGACGACGTCGATTATCGCGACGTGCTTCGCTTACGAGGCGCGCGCCGCGACGCTGAAAGCCTTCCAAGGATAACGAGCCGACGAGTGCAAGGACGCGCACGTACGCGCCACCAAATTTAAGCTGGAGATTACAACGAAACTAATATGCATACGAATTAAAACTGTATTTTATTACAATTTAAACCATTGTTACAATTTTTCTGAAATTTGCTTAGCCTTCACAAATAAAGTAAATATTTGCCTCGCATTCACGAACTATCCAACCTTTAAAATCTGGTATCATTGATTGTTGAACACACATTCTGTCAAGTGGCTCTGGATATGATTCATCTTCAGCCCAATTGGTGTAGCTGAATTCTCGGCCGGTACCAACCCATACAAATTTGCCTTTTTGAAGCATGGTAGTACCACCAAGCCACACTGTGTTTTTTTCTCCTATTTAATAGAAAAAATCATATTAAATTTATCACTCTAATCAGCGGCGTAGCGTGCCTTGTCGGGGCCCCGTATAAAATTTTTTTTGGAGGCCCTTATATGGAGGTAAAGGTTTTTCCTTACACACTTTGGGGGCCCCCGTGGCCCGGGGGCCCCGTATAATTGATACGGCAAATGCGGCGGTAGCTACGCCCCTGACTCTAATCCAGGCAAAGCAAATTTTCAAATTTACCAGCAATTGTAAGCAGGGCATTTATTTCTGCCTGATCTGACGAACTCTCAACTGAAGCCAAATTATAACCCAGTCTGTTGCAACGGTCGGAAGCTTGAATCCAGGTTGCCTTCACGAGATATAAAATGTAAAATGTAAATATATAAAACAAATTGAAAATTTAGGTCTAGTTACTTACTCCCTCTTTGAGAAAGTGATAAGTTTTTCCATCAGCTTGCGGAAGAATGGCAACAGCCAGAGTGCATACGACGAAAAGACACAACTTCATGATGATCGGTATGAGTTTACTCATGAATTAATAATATTTCGATTGGTTTATATACATATTATTTTAGATAAAATTTTAATGATTCCGCTAAACTGAAGTGTTTTGATACTTTATTGAAAGTTTTATTGATTACTTCTCAGTAGACTATAACATAAAGTTTTTTTTAAGATAAACTAATTGTTAATTCATTTAATGATATTTATTTCCGTATATTTCAATGTAAATGTTTGAGTATTTGAAAAATTAAGATATTCATCATTAATATTATCAAATTTGAGTAAATCTTAACAAAAATCCGCTTCCGGTTGCTATCTACATAATTACTGCAATTTTTCTTATAAAATCGTACAAAAATAATTTTTTTTAAAATTTCGTTTTCTTTTTCTGGTTTTAGGTCGTGCGAGAAATTTGACCCTTTGCTCTGCCCAGGACGCTTCCCAGGGAGACCCTACTGTCCGTGGCGTGCACATTATACATTAAACATTGACCTAGATTTGCTGATTCAAGTTCAACGCACAGGCTTCCCTCCTCATTTTTTTCCGCTTTGTCTGCGGACATTTTCACAATTTCAGCTTTTTAACCTTTCTTAGGTGATCACATTCAATTTTAAACATTATTTGAAATAAAATAAGGTTTATTGGAGAGATTAAAAGTTTATTCGGCGTTAAGTTGTTTACACTTGCTAGTTTATTGTTTGCGGAGAATTGAAACTGCATGCGAAAGCAAAGTTTTCGGAAATAACAGAATTTTATTGAAATTATTTGTCGGTGGTTCTAAAATGCGCAGTAGGAAGCAAAATAACAGATATTTATCAAGAGTAAGAGAATTAAAACTTGCCAAACACACAAAAAGTCAAAGAATAATCTTAGAAGATTCATAAATAGTATATTATTGTATCAAGTGTACTAAACGGCACTTTAACCACGTTTAGCGATGTGATGCTTACGTATTTTTTACTTCCACATGTACAGGCTCCGCCCCGTCACTAAAACCCATGACTAAAGTACTTTAGTCACGGTTTTGGCAATTCGTGACTAAAATGCCACTTTTCGTGTATAGAAACTGTGAAAAAAGTGTCGCTTTAATGGTGATAGAAGAAAAATATAAATTGAATAATTTTTTACCAAAAAAATTTGGTTATAATTAATTTATCTACATTAATGATCATTCTGCGCGTCTAAGAAATGAATCCACATCAACTTCTTCCACTCACACTTCCAACCAAATTTACAACTGTTAGCGTAATGCGCATGCAATATTGCGATAAAACACGTAACCGTAAATCACTTCATTAATTCGAATCGATTGCCGCCATTGCGCGCGCCCCAGCAATCCGTCCGGCAATCACAACGTGCACAAACAAAATTACACGCATAATGATAATGAAACCAGTCGAAGGCAAACAACACACATCAACGCAAATATTTTCCGAAACATATTAGAATTCATATTTCAACTAAAGCAATCTTAATATTCACGCAGAATTAACTAATAAACAGTTAAATAATACCTAATATTAATAAAAAGCAACGACTTGAAACGTTCTGGATAATGGTGGAATGTTTGTCGGTCGCCGCCATTGTTGAATAATTTACGCCGACGTCAATGTACACGGAATTAAAAATTTAATGAGTATTACAAAGACGCCCCATGCATACACATAGATACATGTAGATAGCGTGCGTTTATAATCTGTTTGAGGAATTAGTATTATATTAATTCGTATAGTTGGTATTTTTACTAATTTTGTTTTGTGTTATATCAGTTGCCTAACAACGAAATGTCGGATATTTGAGTAGAGGAATGTTGAATTATGTGATATTTTTAAGATTATTCAACTACGCAATGGGGTAGTGCGCAGAGGCAAATCGTCTTTGCATTTCAATATTAATAGGATGATGAATACCCTAACATTGTCGTCGGTTCATGGAAACTATCTTTGTTTCTGGGGTCGAAGCGGTTTGATATTGAATTATGGATGGACGCGTTTATGAAACACAAGATGTCGCAGGTAACCAGTTCAATGACTTCAAAACACATTCGAAAAAATGTAAAATTATAAATTATAATAAATTGTTTAAAAAAAAATTTGAAAAGCGTCCCGCCTCGTTCTCGTCTTTCTTTTACGTGTGAAACACTACGTTTATCAAAACCGCTGAAAAACTTGCACTTTAATGGTGAAATTAAAAAAAAGGAAATTAAGGAATATAAAAATAAGGCAAATTTCCAATCAAAACTACATTTTAATACAATTTTAACATGCAATCATTTTTTTGTTAGCTTCGCATATACAATAGTGCCCTGTATGGCATGCAGCTGTTTCCCATCCAGGGACGCCCCAACTGCCTTGCATCGTCATGGTCTGCAGAGCACAGTTAATGTCTGGTTCAGGAGACGGAAAACCATTTGCCCAATTGGTAAAGTTGAAATCGAGGGCCGTGCTAATCCAAACAAAATTATGATTTTGAAGAACATCGAAACCGCCAATCCACACATTTCCTCTTTCATCTATTTTTTCATAAAAATATAAATGTGATATTATTATATAAATATACGATATTGTAATACAAATATAATTACCTGCATAAGTTTTTCCATCAGCTTGCGGAAGAATGGCAACAGCCAGAGTGCATACGACGAAAAGACACAACTTCATGATGATCGGTATGAGTTTACTCATGAATTAATAATATTTCGATTGGTTTATATACATATTATTTTAGATAAAATTTTAATGATTCCGCTAAACTGAAGTGTTTTGATACTTTATTGAAAGTTTTATTGATTACTTCTCAGTAGACTATAACATAAAGTTTTTTTTAAGATAAACTAATTGTTAATTCATTTAATGATATTTATTTCCGTATATTTCAATGTAAATGTTTGAGTATTTGAAAAATTAAGATATTCATCATTAATATTATCAAATTTGAGTAAATCTTAACAAAAATCCGCTTCCGGTTGCTATCTACATAATTACTATTATTTTTTCTTATAAAATCGTACAAAAATAATTTTTTTTAAAATTTCGTTTTCTTTTTCTGGTTTTAGGTCGTGCGAGAAATTTGACCCTTTGCTCTGCCCAGGACGCTTCCCAGGGAGACCCTACTGTCCGTGGCGTGCACATTATACATTAAACATTGACCTAGATTTGCTGATTCAAGTTCAACGCACAGGCTTCCCTCCTCATTTTTTTCCGCTTTGTCTGCGGACATTTTCACAATTTCAGCTTTTTAACCTTTCTTAGGTGATCACATTCAATTTTAAACATTATTTGAAATAAAATAAGGTTTATTGGAGAGATTAAAAGTTTATTCGGCGTTAAGTTGTTTACACTTGCTAGTTTATTGTTTGCGGAGAATTGAAACTGCATGCGAAAGCAAAGTTTTCGGAAATAACAGAATTTTATTGAAATTATTGTCGGTGGTTCTAAAATGCGCAGTAGGAAGCAAAATAACAGATATTTATCAAGAGTAAGAGAATTAAAACTTGCCAAACACACAAAAGTCAAAGAAAAATCTTAGAAGATTCATAAATAGTATATTATTGTATCAAGAGCGCTAAACGGCACTTTAACCACGTTTAGCGATGTGATGCTTACGTATTTTTTACTTCCACATGTACAGGCTCCGCCCCGTCACTAAAACCCATGACTAAAGTACTTTAGTCACGGTTTTGGCAATTCGTGACTAAAATGCCACTTTTCGTGTATAGAAACTGTGAAAAAAGTGTCGCTTTAATGGTGATAGAAGAAAAATATAAATTGAATAATTTTTTACCAAAAAAATTTGGTTATAATTAATTTATCTACATTAATGATCATTCTGCGCGTCTAAGAAATGAATCCACATCAACTTCTTCCACTCACACTTCCAACCAAATTTACAACTGTTAGCGTAATGCGCATGCAATATTGCGATAAAACACGTAACCGTAAATCACTTCATTAATTCGAATCGATTGCCGCCATTGCGCGCGCCCCAGCAATCCGTCCGGCAATCACAACGTGCACAAACAAAATTACACGCATAATGATAATGAAACCAGTCGAAGGCAAACAACACACATCAACGCAAATATTTTCCGAAACATATTAGAATTCATATTTCAACTAAAGCAATCTTAATATTCACGCAGAATTAACTAATAAACAGTTAAATAATACCTAATATTAATAAAAAGCAACGACTTGAAACGTTCTGGATAATGGTGGAATGTTTGTCGGTCGCCGCCATTGTTGAATAATTTACGCCGACGTCAATGTACACGGAATTAAAAATTTAATGAGTATTACAAAGACGCCCCATGCATACACATAGATACATGTAGATAGCGTGCGTTTATAATCTGTTTGAGGAATTAGTATTATATTAATTCGTATAGTTGGTATTTTTACTAATTTTGTTTTGTGTTATATCAGTTGCCTAACAACGAAATGTCGGATATTTGAGTAGAGGAATGTTGAATTATGTGATATTTTTAAGATTATTCAACTACGCAATGGGGTAGTGCGCAGAGGCAAATCGTCTTTGCATTTCAATATTAATAGGATGATGAATACCCTAACATTGTCGTCGGTTCATGGAAACTATCTTTGTTTCTGGGGTCGAAGCGGTTTGATATTGAATTATGGATGGACGCGTTTATGAAACACAAGATGTCGCAGGTAACCAGTTCAATGACTTCAAAACACATTCGAAAAAATGTAAAATTATAAATTATAATAAATTGTTTAAAAAAAACCTTTTAAATAATGAATATTTTGTCTTTCAAGTCGTAAATTGTAGTTTTTTGTGAATTAACATAAAATTTGGGTGGAGAACACCCTGTATTTCTTATATTAATGGAGCAATTAGAGGTTAACCAGTGTCATATAAGGTTTATAAAGTTTTTTTTCAATATTTGTACTTTTTTTATACCGTGCTGCCCTAAAATATCTGTCAAATTGCTCTTTTTCTCAAAGTTTCTAAATAAAAAAGATGAAAAACACCTTGTATCTCCTGAACCATTTGTGATATTCAATATTTTTCAACTTCAGAATGTAGATTTGATAATTCTTCACACTCTGTATGCATTTTCACCTTCCTAAGCTAAGAGAAAGTCCTCCAAAATTCTATTTAAAAGGATAATTTTTAGTGAAATTACACATTTTTCCTAGAAAATACCCTGTATTTCCTAAACCAATAAAGCAATTCCAAATTTCTCAACCTCATATTGTAGATAAAAACACCCTGTATATTATACATATCATTTCATCCATTAAAACCCTCAGAAACTACCATAAAATAACTGATTTTGTACTTCCACCCACCACTACCATTACTCCACGTGTCGGCGAGTAAATGAATGTTAATCCACGTGTGTTATCACGCTGCTTACGTACTCCACGCGTCAATTTCTGCAGAACTAGCTGAATTCGTCACATTACGGCTTCACGCCCGCGCCAAAGTGCTGAAGGGCCACAAGATAAAGCTGTTGATAGGCACATCCCACCTCAGCACAGATTTCTCTCACCGGAAGACAGATCCTACGTCAGTGCGAGTACAACTCGCTACCAAACTGCTTTCCTCTTCCTCTTGCAATATCCTTCGCCTCCATCCCCAAGGAGGGTGAGCCCGGCGTATGTAGCCAACCAGTATAAGTGTTGGAAACTCACCGATCTTGTGTTCAGGTGCGGGCCGGGTCGCGGGGTCGCCTTATCGATTACTCGCGAAATGTAGGTAAAGGCCGCCGCCGCCACCGCTGTCAGGTGCTAGAAATTGCACACCGGACACCAATACGCCGTATCTACGAACTTATTTAACATACGCACGAGTTTCTTATCTCGCAACGTGATTACCATCAATTTCAACCCTTCCCCGGGCTGAAATTTACATCTTTAAACATAAATAACAAATAATCTAACAAAATAAATATTGACTAAACAAATATCAACAGGATTTGACACACAGTGAATAAACTGATATGAGATTTCTATGTTTATCTAAACCTTGTAACATATTTTTTTTCCTGGTGAACAATTCGCTACTGCGTGATATTTTTCTGTGCCGTACCACCTGCGCGCATTGTACCGACAGATAAATGATTATTAAACGACTTTCGACATGACGATCCGCCAAGCCATCCCCGTTCTTGCGCCGCAGGTCTATTTCGGGACACGCTGGCGTGTTTCGCAACATTCGTCCTTCGATACACGTCGAACAGAAGGCGGCAGAAGGGCGAGAAGGACACGACGACGATCGCAATCTATCTGCGCTGCCAGAGCCCCGCACAGCCCTAATACATATTAACAAGATTATTACATTTTTACGTTCGTACGCATCACGTGCGCTCGCATGCACTTTATACATTTTTATACACTGGATATATAGCTCATATTTCATGGGTGTACGCCGGATGTTTTATGCGTTTTAAACTTCGTATTGAAACCTTGAGGATGACGCCGAATTGAAATTGAGTTTTTCTAGGTTCCGGCATTTATTTATATACAGGGCGAGGGAAATATTAGAAGTTTATCTAATAACGCCTTGGTTTAATAGTGTATTAAATATCTAGTGCGCTAAGTGGTATTTTAATAACGTTTAGCTATTTTTTCTACTTCCACTGAATTTTCACGTTTATTTTTGTATTTAAACGTTTTATTTTAAAATTTCGGACTTTTTTCGCACACGATTGAGAAATGTAAGGTTATAAATACATGGGGGTTCGCATACCCCGTGACTAAAGCATTTTAATCATGGTTTTGGCCGTCCGTGATTAAAATACCACTTTTTATGTCTCAAAACCGTGAAAAAAGTGATGGAAGTAAAAAATGTCTTTTCACTTATGTTTCACCCTATATAAAGTTACCTACTCTTGAGATATAGTTTTATAATCTCCCGTAACGACAAGGCAAGAATATGTCGTAATAATCCAAATTAATCATAAAAATATTACTGCAAAATGCAGGAAATAACAAAATCGTAATATCGCAAAGCACAATAAACATAAAACAGCAAACAATCACGTATAGGAATACAACAAACATGAAAATATCGATAAATTACTCACATCTCAATACTTCATTATCATTTCCGCGCAAAATTCGTCTATTTGGAATGTCAGAATATATTAAATCAATAAGAAAGCAATAAACAATTAAACAACGCATGATTCAAAATAATCTCTAGCCTTGAATTTTCATTCACTTATAACTCTGGCTGGTATCACGCGAACGCACATTAACTCAACAGAGAAAAAATTGAATATTTCCATTTTCATTTCCGCTCGGCGCTCACCACAATCAGAAATCCGGCTGGATTTTAATGCGAATGGCGCACGACAACCAGCAATATAACAAGTATATACAATAAATATTACCTAACTGTTAACAATATTAAACAATGCAATGCTGTGGATCGATAATATACAAGGTATTTTCTTTCAAACAACAAGAAAATAATTCAACTAATCATTGAAGTGAGTAAAATAATATTTCATGTTGAAACTACGCGGAAATTACTCAAACACGACACCCCATTACTCCCACGCCCAGAATATCATCAAAGGTTAATTAAGTCTAATTACAACGAATCCTGTTACATTGTCTAGTCGAAGGACAATGGCACCGAAGTAAACGGAAGAATCGGACTCGTTCGTTCCACGGTGAGTGCTGTCGCCATTGATGAACTCGCTGTTTCATATTCCCCCAAGGACTCCAGAACTTTCCCCAAATTATACCTGATAAATCAAAATTTAATAAATTTTTTATTACAACATAACCTATTTAAAAAACTACTAACCAAGTATAGTGATTACTAGGATCAACCTTCGCTGCCTCTCTCAATGTGGTTTCCGCTAACCCCTGCAGACCTAGATAATGATAAACCAAACCCAATTGTTGTAATGATTTCACATGTTGAGGATTAATGGCAACTGCATTCTGGAAGCATAACTTAGCTTCCGACCATTGCTTATTATACATATGGAGTAACCCGCGCATGTGCAGAATATGATGCGACAGAGGGAATATCTGACTAGCTTCCTGTATACACTTCAATACATCATCAGGTTGATCAACGCAGAGATAAATCTCAGCAAGTAACAACCACACTTCTAATAATAAAAGATAAGCGCGTTGTGGGCCTGGGCGTGGATTAAACGAAGAAACCGACGATGCAACCTCACTTAACGCTTGTTCTACACGTGAAGCAGCTATGGATGCAGACAGAGGTTGTGCCTGAAGTGAAGAAGAGTCTTTATCAGACATTTCTGATGTATATAACTGGAAAACTGATCTTGTATCGCTTTTTCTATCACATTCAGGCACATCAGATGAAGTTCCTTCGTACATATTCTTCCATAGTTCCAACATGTTTTTAGCGGTGATCAGCGCACGCGCACCGCCTTTCTCGTGTAATTCAAGATGTGCTTTCACATACATAAGATTTAAACTATCAGGGTATTCTTCAATGGCTGCTTCGATCACTTGTAGAGCTTCTTCATGTTTACCACTCGCAGATAATAACAAACCAAGTAAATGCAGTGAAGATGAATTCTCAGGTTGTAGGTTTAATGCTGCGCCGACATTTGCAAGTGCTTCCGGGATTTTCCCCGTCACGGCGAGTTGTAAACCCATGTAATATTTACAAAGATGATCATTTGGTTCTAATTCAGTCGCCATAGCGAAATTCTCCAATGCTTGCTTGTTTAAATCAACGCGTTCTTGTTTCAACATCAAACATCTCGCTTGTAAGTGAAACCCGATTCCCATGAACATATGACAACGTCCTAGTAGACCTGTCGGATGTTTATGTTCGATGTCTTTCGCTTGAGTGCTGAATTCAGTACCCAAAGTTGGTTGATTGAGGTTTTCGTAGCAGATTTTCGCAGCGAGTAGGCAATTCGTGGCGATTGTGGGTTCCAATTTGATGACTTCTTTTAGTACCACGAGCGCATGATCGTAACGCCCGCATGAGATTAAACACAGCGCGTGTTGACGCCAGAGATGCGGCTCGTTGAAGGAGAATTTCATCGCGCGTTCCAACGACTAATAAAAAAGCTTTTAGTTTTGAATTTATTTTTTATTTATTTTAAAGGATTGGTACTTACTTCTTGTAGGAGGGATACCTGTCCCCATCGGACTGCTGCTAAAGCTAGGAGGTCATAAACAGCGGCGGCGTCTTGATAAGCCGCAAGGCGGATGTCTTTGAAGTCTGGTGATTGGGAGAGGACTGCGGAACGCACCGCCATTGCTTCGGCAACTAGTAGAAGGAGGATTACTTCTTCACAGTCAACTTTAGGAACAAACTGGAAGAATATTTAAAGAATTAACCTATAAATCATCACATTATAACCTATAATATATAAATATTAATTTACTTGATTCATTCCATTGTAGAATTTCGGTTTCCATGCATTTGTAGTTTGTCCATTTGTAGGCGACTCGTATTCCTGTCCTTGTGTAGGTTGTCCATGCATTAAAAACTCAGCAAATTGACACAGCATTTTTAATCGTACATTTCCACATCCCTGGCTTTCAATCGCCCCTAAACTCTGGCGATATCTCTCCATTGCTTCTTTATACTTTCCCTGTGATATTAAAGTTGTAGGTGCTTGTAATAACGCTACCTCTAAACAAGGATTTAATGTTTTGTTCATTGCAGGCGGTTGTGGACTGTGTGTGCCTGATGACAACGTTCCTGTGTTTGAAAATGACGAGTTTTGTTGTTTGTCCACTTCCTGCATGTATAACAACGCCAAATCCGAAGCTATTGCAAAACACTTCGATAATTCTTCTTCTTTTTCTGCTTTTTTGAATTTAGTTGTGGCTGATGTGTCTTTTTGAAGACACAGACCTTTGATTGCATAGGATTCCGCAACCATTTTTAAACTTCTCCTATAAAAACATATTTTATTATACAAATAAACAACTTTTTGTTGATGTAAACTTACAAAGGTAGTTTTTTCTGTGGTAGAGTATGTAACTCTGCCAATTTGAAGCTCTTTATCCCATCTGCATATCCTCCACAAGCATAATGCAGTTTTCCAAGTAATAAATAAGCATCAAGTGCAACTCCAGCTCTTTTCCCATTTTCATTTGATGCCTGTTGCAGATATCTTTTGGCCTCAATCAAACCCAACTTTGCACGGTTTATATTAACATCCACAGGCGGATTTTCCTCCAGATATGATTCCAATCGACCTTCACCAATGAGGAACTCTGCTAAATATTCTGGAAGCACAGGGGAATGGTCTTTTGATGACAATCTTCTAGCTTTTAGCATAGTAAGAATAAGGTCATTGAGGAATAGAATACTGAATAATTAAATGGATATTTACCAAATTCACTTGATTTTTCTTTGAGGGATGTAGCAAGCTCGATGACTTTGGCCCAGTTACCTTCTTCACGATTTTTCTCGATTTCCGTCTCGATGCGCACCGTCTGCGTGGTGTACTTGGAGGAACGACCTGTCATGATGCACAGAGAGATTTATCAGTAGGTTTAGAATTGCATTATTTAATTTTAGCGTAATTTATTTAATGTTGAGTACGATTGTTGTTGGAATCAGGAAACGGAAAATTGACTGGGTCACTTGTCAATAATTTTATACTAGGCAACCAACATTACACACTTTTACAAAATTGTGTTATTTATGCAGTTAATTAACAATAATTAATACTTTTAACTACTATAACAAATATAAATTATATTATATTTAATTTTTTAGTCAAATTTGCGTTTTATTTAAACATTTTATCAAATTTACTAAATTGGTTTGTAAAATTGAGCATAGATGGCGCACGATGTACGATTTCGAAAGTTTCGGAAGTGTTTCACACAGATAACACACATCCGCGGCGTTTCGACGGAATTTATAAATTAAATAATTATGTATCGACGGGAGTCGTGCGAACGAGACCCGCGAGGTGGGGGACACGCTGAGACCGCGACGCGCGTTCGAATCGCCCGAATGGAGTCAGCAAAGCGAACAAGGTGCGCTTCGAAGTCGCGACGATATCGTCGAAAAACAAGTTGATTATTCATTCGCTCTCTTCGCGGTTGCCACACGCTGACGGGCGCGTTCGTAGGCATTCTTTGTCGGCTGTGGTATTGTTTGTTCATACACTCGTACGCGCTTTACATACATAACTACTTCTGCGGCCTCAAAACACCACACAAAACAAGACATTCTCAGCAAAAAAATCGCAGTGAATTCGACGTAAAAATCTGCAGATTTTCATCAGTGCCCAGTGTCCAGTTCTAAAAAAACCTGTTTTTTACAAGTTAAGAGGACTTACATAAACGTAAACAACCTTCTCATTTGTATAGTGCCTTCGGTGCCAACATAAACCAACTACGCACAAACTCCAAATTCCAGAAGCAAACAAATTTCTATTTCTATTAAAACACTGATTATCGCCTAAAAATAATGTGATAACATGTGAAGTGTTGACATTCGATTGCGCATAAGGAAGTGTCGTGTGTAGGCGTCCGCAGTACGCATGCGTATGTGACTAAAAAACGTTAGGAAGAAAAAATTCGGATTTGTTTGGACATCAGTGCGGATTATGTGCGTCGGCTGTTTTTGCGACTGCGTGGCTGTGTGATGCGATGATTCCAATGATTCCGTTTGACGCTCGCCCCGTTAGCCGATAGAGAAGCTAATCGCGTCACGACGAGAGGCACCAAATCCCGCCGAGGAAGGGGCACCGTCGGGGCCGCGCCAATTATTTATCGGTAAATAAAGTAAATATACTCAACGCACACTGAGCGATTCAATACGCGCTTTGTAACATGATAGGAATAATCCTAATCGCCAATATTACATTTAGTGAAAAGAAATAGTAACATAGGCAACCAATTTTACGTATTTTGACATAAAAGCTATAAAATGGCTGCAAAATAGTTATTTTTATTTATTGATACCATATATTTCTTTAAAATTGTATTGAACGATTAAATATGCGTTAATATCATGACAGAATTACTTCTAAACGCAGTAATAGTAATATAGGCAACCAATTTGACATATTATGACCCATAAACTATAAAAATGGCTACAAAACAGCTATTTTTACTTATTTATCGTAAATTACTAATCAGCCCACCACAATTTCGCTCTAGAATCACAATTGAAATAATCCTAATCGCAATTATTATATTGCAAAGTAATATAGGCAACCAATTTTGCATTTTATGACACATAAGCTATTAAAATGGCTGCAAAATAGCTATTTTTACTTATTGATAGCATAGATTTCTTTAAAATTGTATTGAACGAATAAATATGCGTTAATATCATGACAAAATTACTTCTAAACACAGTAATAGTAATATAGGCAACCAATTTTACATATTTTGACGCTTAAACTATAAAAATGGCGACAAAATAGCTATTTTTACTAAATTTTCTTGAATTAATCATCCTAATCTCAAATATTATATTGCAAAGTAATATAGGCAACCAATTTTGCATTTTATGACACATAACCTATAAAAATGACTGCAAACTAGCTATTTTTACTTCTTTATCACAATTTAACAAACAGTAAACCACAATTTCTACGCATTGCGAATTAAATTTCATTTCTGATAACATATATTTGTTTAAACCACAAACAAGCTTTGATTTATACGCTTTATCAATGAAAGATATTAACGCACGACTCAATGTCACTGTTGTGAAATTCCGATACGCGTGTAAAAGCCCAGACCCCAGAGATTCCCCTAATACCCCATTACTACTTCACAAATTCACATTTCGAAATGCAAACTTGATTATTACCGAAGCCTGCGCTTGTCAAGACAGTCCGTCAGTCATTGACCGAGCAACTTTCTCTTCGGTCTATCCGCCATGTTTGTGCTTTTAATATCTTATACAATATCAGCTGGCTTTGGCTTTCGACACCGTGCCGTATAAGTACAAGTTGTTTATTCACTAGCAAAGCGTGTGCAGTGTAATTACACGTTTTTGTTTATAAAATTCAATTTTACGGTGTTTTTAGGTTAGTTTTTTGTTGTTCCACAAAATGGCGACCTAGTGTATTGTTATACAGGTTGCAAACATGTATCCACAGCGTGTTTTTTACTTTTTTCATGCGCGTTGGCTGTTATTACCGTAAATTATACGCGCATTGTTGTTTAATTATTATAAGTTGCTTAACAACTGCTGGAATAATTCAATGTTCGTGGAAATATACATAAATTACAAACAGCCAAACAAGATATAAAAACATCCATAGGAAATAAAAAATTATTGCATAATTATATTTAAATTTACGAATAAAAAAGAAAAAAAGGAAAAAAATCAATAAAATTGTTAAGAATTTTTCTACGAATGTTTTTATCACGTTTATCACGGTTTTAATCATGCGATAAGCATGTGATTCGATACATTAGCATTCATCCAGTAGATATTGACAATTTCAATTGTCCATTGTATCCAGTGTCGAATTTGTGATGCCGTGAAATTACCGCGAGTCAGTTCATAGAAGCGCACTTAGATCATCGGTCAGCAGGCGTTCGCTAAAGTGTTATTATCATGTAGTATGCGTCTAATTAATATAATTGACACGTGACTGCATGGACTACATCTAATTTTACTCGTAATTTTGTGTTGACATATTTAAACCCAATATATTATTAACCTAATCTATTAGGTTAAATATTACATTGTTAATCATGTATGAGTGATAATTCTCAGAAGTTTATCATGTCGAATGTGTATATTAATATAATGCGCAAAAATAGAGATAAAAGTAGAGATATACTATTTTTATAATTATATAGAATATTTATTTATGTATAGGCAACCAGCAATGCTTTGTCTATAAGTAGTGTTTGAGTTGGTTAATAGGTTGTTGTCTATTTGAGTTATTTATAGATGCACAGATCACTTTTTATTGTAAATTGGAAATATGCATACGCGTACTTGGAATTCGTCACTCTGGCGGTATTTCCCGTTGTTTATCAGATTATTTATTGCATTTTCAAATGATTTACAAACACATTGAAAATAATCGAGATATATTTGTTTATAAATCAATTACTAGCTAACTCTCGGTTTAATAATTATTGCACATATAAACTATTTTCTAGGATATGTTTTTTGAGAATAATTGCATCCTAGCGCCACCTAGATTCGAAATATATAACTAAAACTATGATATATTCTCCATATTAACTTTCAACTCTTATTTAACACCCTGTAAGTTAAATTTTAACGATAAAAAGTAGCCTATTTTATTTTCCAAGAACAAAACTATCTCGATATAAAAATTTATCAACATTGGTATAGCGGTTTTGGCGTGAAATAAGAACAAACATACAGCCATGCATATAAATCGTATTTACCAATCGTTCGGTACATCTACCGCAACTCAAACACATTTAAAACATCAATCAATTAAAAATTTCAACATTATGCCCACGTGAATGTAATATTATTACAATATATTCATTATATTAGCAGTTAATATCCAAAGAAGCAAACACAACTCACCATACTTTGTGTTATATGTCAGAAGTAAATCCATGGCTGTTGAATATTGTTCGTAGCTTATAAACATCACAATTTACGACCAGAATTAAATTATCTTCAGAACTCAACAATAAATCAATGCATTACAACATTTTATAGCGTTTAACACACAAGAAAATCCTTACTTCTCATTGTTTCATCAATACATCTCAAATAAAGTAACTTTTTCACTTAAAAACCACAACATTTACAATTTAACACATTTCCATTAACAATTCGCACTCAATTTAAACATAAAAATTACCATCTTTACTATTTCCAACCATACCGCGTAAAATCAACAAAATTGATTCAAATTTATTTAAGTTATTCAACATTCACCTGTTTATGCTTTATTTATACAATACTATGACTATGTTCCGGTACGAGTATTCATGCACGAGTCAAGGAATAAATCAAAATCATCCATTTGTTGAAATTGCTAATTAAGTTAAAATTAAACTAGTTTAGTTAATTAGATGACATTACGTGAACTTTGTCTGGCAAATAAAAGTCAACGTCAACAACACGGTATTTCAGTAGAAATAGGAATCGATGACGTATAACATAAAACAAGATGGCCGCACACGCGTCTCTGGAGAACACATCACTACATCACTAAACACTAAACACTTTACTATGGATTTTTAACGTAAACATTTAAGTAAATTTGAAACTGAATATTTTTATGTTTTGGTAATATGTTGGCGATAACATTTGTAACGATTACGAATTCCACGAAGGCTTGTTAACGACTGCACAGCTGTTTGAGACGCGTCGATGGCCAGTATCGAATTATTGGCCAACCCGTCCATCTATCTATCTACGAGTGTATAATATTATCCAGCTATATGAGTATCTAAACTAAACTTACTGACATACAAGTGCGACAAATAGTAATGCGAATGAATTAGACGCTGTTAGTACACATGTACGATATACGATGAAATTCGTGTCGATTTCACTTATGGTTACGACATTCTCGTAGTAATAAAAAAATTTAATAAATAAACACTAAATTATAGGCTAGAGAAAATATAATGTGTGTGTAGTTCAAATTTCTTATATTTTTGGTTATGGTTGTATGTATTGTAAGAGTAATGTGTATATTTGTATAATAGATGGCGTTTTAGATGGTTTCTAAAGGTTTTAGTTAGGTGTGTAGATGTTATTAACACATGTAATAAGAGATATTGTGCGACTATGTCCACCTTGACAAAAACGTCGATTCGTCGATAATTTATGAGTAAATATTCTATTTTCCGTGCCTAGTTGGGCGCAACTGTTGCGTCCTTCTAATAGTACTCTTTAATTAATTATTTCTAGGTATATAAATTATATACTTGTGATTAGGTGCTTATATAATGATTAAATAAATATAAAAATATCGGAGAAATGTGAAAACATCAAAGAAATTTAAAAATAAATCCAAACATTTTAATATTTGTCCTATGTTCGGTATGTATACCGCAAGTCCAACATTGGACTACAAAATTTAATACAGTGTAGTCTCGATTTAACGACAAATTCGGTATAACAGCGAAATTTGTACAATTTGGTTGGTTTATATTAATTTCCTCGTTATAGTGTTACAGTTTCTCTGTGTAACGACGTAAAATATTTTCATTTCTAGCAATTATGTCCTAGAATATGTTTTCATAGATATGTCATCGATGGTAACATTTGAAATATTGTTGTAATTATGATCCCAACATCCCTACAAATTGCAATGCAAATTTGTATAACTTAAGCACGATTTTTCAGCTAATTTGTTGGGGTGCACGTTACGTTACAACAAAATCATTTAAACATAACACAAGTGAATACAACTGAGTGACGCGGAATTCATATTTAGACTTCAGGAAATATTTACCGGCATTTCTACAAGAGTAATTAAGTTTATAACCAGCGTAACAAACGATTAAACAGATACTAATCCACATAAAATCAAATTATTTTTTTTTTTTTTATCTGATTCTCGATGTTTTTTATTGTTTTTAAATAAATTTTGATTAAGGATATTCCCCTGAACCCTTGTTTATTGGAAAATAACTTAGCACTCAATAAAATTAACGATTACTCATCAAGTCATATTTTGCAATCAATACCAATAACAATTTCGCTTGTTTACAACATAACTACATACTTAAATCACTTGCTCGTTCATTGTCGACCAAATTAACAGAGTGCGAAAATCAGTTCGGTATACATTATGTTATCGCGGCGTTAACCGTCAACGACCACGCAGTCGTCGCCGGCGTTGATAATGAGCGCACAAATTAAAACGCTGCAAATTATCGCAGATTGTTTACGCGTGTTGGCGTTGCCATTTCCGACCGAGGTTCACTTTCAACATTTCCATATTTACCCATTCGTACAATTAATTACTCAAGCAACACTATATAATATATTTAAAATTATTCTTGGTGTAAATAAAACTAAGATGGGTCAATAACCGAAAGATGGAAAACAAATAGTAATCTCATGTGTTTTAAACATTAGCATGCACATTTCCGGCGTTTATTACTTCCTTTCAACACTTTCAACAGTAATATTACATACATTTGGGTTGAAATAATTTGGTTTTCCAAAGTTGCAATAAAATTTAACATTGTAGGTAAGAGGATTATGTGGTTTTTCAAAGTGTTGAACATTTAGGGAAAAATCACCCTTTAGGCAATTAGAGGCGAGGGGTATTTCCTACTTAGTATACCTGTTTGTAGGGGTAGCACCTGCAGCAACATCCCACCACTTCCAAAACCAAAAACCGAAAATTTTAGCTTTATAAATAGTTTACAAGCGCATGAAATCACCAATCGTTGTTGAAATTTCGTAAGTGCAAGTTGCATCCTCGCTAAAGTGAAAAATTATTAACTTTTAAATATTTTCATCAAGGTAAACTAACAACTTCATCAAAAACACCTTTAAATTAATACTAAAATAATTTTTTTCTTATTTTTTTAAACAGATAATCCACAAAAGTCAAAAAATGATCAAAATGCCGCCATATTGGATCAACTGCCTGCTAGCACTCCTGCTGCTCTCTCAACCACCCATCACCCATGGCTCAAAACTCCACTGCAACAACATGACCACATCCACCACCTGTTCGTGCCTAGAAGCCAACGAAAACTCCTTCGAAATGGACTGCGCTAAAACCCTCGGTGTCAAATACATCATCAACAAGACCTTCGACGTCACCTGCAACTGCAAACTCGACCTCGACTTCCCCTTGGAGCCAATCGAACAAACCACGGAAGCCACCAGTTGTGATCCACTCACCCACCTTGCATCAGTGATCATCCAACCAGCGGAAACCCTCTGGGTGCGTTACTGCAACGCATCATCAGGCATCCTACCAATTCAAGAATTGATCAACAAGACTCAACCTACGACGATACGTCTACGAGGAATGGCGTTCGCTAACGATCTCATAGAACCCCAGCAATCCGGACCGGAAATATACAGAGTGTTACAGAATGTAACTAGTCTAGCATTACAAGATAACCAACTCAGAGATGTACCTTATCAAATGTTGAAAGATATGATAGAGTTGAAGGAGTTGACAATGCGTGGGAATGACATCAAAAGAATCACGGGACCTTTCTCTCCGAATCTACTGGTGTTAGAAATGGCGGATAGTAATATCACTTATGTATCACCCGATGCATTTGTTGGTTTGACCAAATTACGTGTCCTAATGCTGTTTGTGAATGATATCAGGACACTAGACGTGAATACCTTTGATGTTTTGAAGATCTCTTATCCCTGGAGTTGATGAATAATAAATTATCCGGATTACAAGGTGAGACATTCTCCAAACTGCAGAAATTGGAACTCATCAACTTGTCATTCAATCAACTCACCGAACTACCCGAGAATTTGTTCTGGAACAACACGGAATTGACCAGTATACGCCTCAAGAGTAACCAATTAACCACTCTACCAGAATTAATCTTCAGAATGAATAAGAAACTGACAAATATCACTCTGGATTCAAATAAGATTAATTACCTTCCTGATGGGGTCTTCCAAGGGTTGGAACAACTCGGAACCTTGGCTCTAGAGAATAATCAACTTGTAACTATAAAAGAAATGTGGTTTCAATCGTTGGGATCTGTCATAGAGGTGACGCTACAACATAACCTTATAAATACCATTGAAGAAAATGCTTTCAACATGATGAGGGACCTCAGAAGATTGGATTTGAGTAAGAATCAATTGCAGGCGTTGAATTTAACTACGTTCCTAAAACAGGAGAAGTTAAGATATCTTAACCTGGCGCATAATTTGCTTGAATATCTGAATGATCACTTTGATAGAAATATGATCCAATTGGAGCATATGGATTTGAGTTTTAATCTTTTGACACATGTGCCTAGTATGTTCACCAAAGTTAATCTGAAGAAGTTGAACATGCGAGGGAATTCACTGACGGCTTTCGATGTAAGTTATAACCTCAAAATTGTTATTCAACATAACCTAACCTCATTCTAATCTTTTTGTTACAGTTTCACGTCCTTGCAAACGCAGTGTCTAATGTATCACTATCCCTGGCTGATAACAAAATCTCAATGATACAAAACATGCGTGAAGTTGAACTGATTGCTGCATTAGAACAAAACTCCGTGATGTTATTGAAGCACCTCAACATCGCCGGGAATCCACTGCGATGTGACTACGCCAACTACGACCTCTTCCGCTACTTCAACTTCGCCATGGATACATCCTTCCGGTTCCAGTATGAGATCGCTTCGGATAACCTCATCTGTGCCTCACCGGAATACCGAGCTGGTCAACCATTCTACGATAAATCTTATCCGGTAAACCCGTGCGGTTTGAATTACACCATCAAAAGCGAGTTGAATTCATCCGTATGTGATTTTTATCATGTGCCAAGAGATAATATGGTCAAAGTGGATTGTTCAGCGCGAAATTTGACAGAAATACCGATTTTGACCATGCCGGATGTGAACTTACATGAAATCTGGGAGTTATGCTACGTGAAGGAAACAACCCCGATAATAATCGACGTTAATTTACGGGAGAATCGGATCAAGCATTTGCAACCAATCAGTTTTGTAAATATCAACGTCACCGTGCTGGATGTAAGTTTTAATAATCTAAGTGCGCTGACATGGATCCCACATGGTTTGAAGACTTTGAATTTGGACCATAATGCTTTCAGTCGCATTAATCAAAGCCTACTGGAACAGTTATCAATTGTGACTTTGAATAACAATCCGTGGATTTGTGACTGCGAAACAGTTCCACTCTGGATCTTCCTTGGTGACTATAAGACCATACCAAACAAGATGGAGGTCAAGTGTGTAAACAGCCAGAAATCCATCCGGAAAGTCACCAGGGATTATCTATGCCCCACCCATGCGAAGTTGATCATTACCTTGGTCAGTATCGGAGCTGCTGTTATTCTTATCCCGGCGATTTTCTTGATTTTCTTCTATAAATACAACCAGGAGATCAAGGTGTGGTTGTTCGCACATAATATGTGTCTGTGGTTCGTGCGGGAAGAGGATTTGGACAAGGATAAAATCTACGACGCGTTTATTTCCTTCTCGCAGAAAGATGAAGACTTCATTGCGGATCACCTCATGCCTAGGTTGGAACAGATTCCGGATCCTTATAAGTTATGTGTGCACATGAGGAATTGGATTCCTGGTGAGGCAATCGCCAAACAAGTAGCGGATTCTGTTTTGAACTCAAAACGTACCATCGTGGTGCTATCACCGTCATTCCTTGAAAGTGTCTGGGGTAAGATGGAGTTCCGATCGGCGCATACAACAGCAATCACTGAAGGTATCGCCAGAGTGATTATCATCATCTACGGTGATTTGGATCTTGATGATGAGCGTATTGATGAAGAGTTAAAGGTTTATCTTAAAACCAACACCTATATCCGATGGGGTGATCCTTGGTTCTGGGATAAATTAAAGTATGCGCTACCACATCGTAAGTGCCTGAATAATGCGGGGTATGTCAATCGGCGCTTTGAAAGTGTGACTGTCAACTTGGATAAAATGGACAAGATTAATCAGAATTTACCTGCGAATGTGATTAATGGTTTAAGTGTGAATCCACCGGTGGATCCGTTGCTGTTGAAGGTGCATCCGTTGGATATAAATACAAGGTGTGTGATTAATACACCGCCAGCGGAGAAGGGGATTGTTTAAGTGTGGAGATTGATTGTTACACGCTCAAATATTTTGTCAGCGGAAGTAATAGAGACTCAGACGGCTGTGTTCCATGCAAATTGTTGCTGTGGAAGACTTTAACTTTAGAATTTACGTGTACCTTTGTGAAAGGAACTATTTGCTTGTATCTATGAGGATATTGCGTTATGGTCAATATCATCAGATGTACTGTTTTATGACTATTGGACTATAATTGTACAGTTTTTATTCTTGCAAGTCATGTCGATATATTATTGCATATCGGTTTTACTTAAATATTGAAATAAATCTATTATTTTACAATTATTGTGTGACTTACCTTTGCGAGGGATTCAGATATGAAGTATTTAACATTTTATGAGTGATTTTGGAGTTCCAGAAGTGGTTTCGATGCACTTTTTTGTGTTTTTCTGGAGAAAAACGTGAATGCGACTTGAAAACAACATGGTTTCTTTAACTGTAGCTTCGTTTAGATTCGTGTAGCACGTGTTGCAGCACGAATGCGCACGCAGGGGGAAGCCACGCTTGCGCATTATGTATTTCCGCTACCATAGTGTACACTGCACAACATTGGAGTACGAGTTAAGTGTGAAACACGCTTTACATCATCGCAAATCACCCAGGCAGTTATGCAACTCATACAGCACCACGCATAATTCTAACACTTTTTTCTAAACTAAGCATGTTTATACGATTTAATTTCACTACAAAATAGTGTAGAACGCTTACTTATTTGACTTTTATCTTATTTATAAATTGTGCATCACTAAAATTTACATATTCCTCATTAAATCTGCTGATCTAACTTTTGTTTTATATTGTAGGCAACTTAAATAACAACAATTGAACATTCTGTAAGTTTCCAATGTTTAAATGCGATAATATTGTTCATCAATAATAACACTGATAATAAATCATGGCAATGTTTTTCTTTCAGTATCTACGACTTTTAATAGGACACAAATCGTCTTGAACACATGGAATGTAATCGTTCTCGCCTGAATCTCATTCTCCTCGCGAATTAAAGTATATTCTAACGCTGCAGTTTAATTTCTGTTTAATTTACATCAACATCAAAACCATTAATAGTTACACATTGAATATTCATATTTGTATGTATATAATTAGTTAGGGTTGCTCATCTCGTCGTTTACTTACGTTTGTTTCAACTTAAGACTGTGTTCATTACTTACATATCGCATTAAGAATTATTTACAACAATCGTTCATCGTTTTGAGTTTACTAAACTGGTTTTATTTGTATCTTGTATATTCATATCATCATATTATGTGGTAATATGCTGTGGTAGCAATTGTTGTGAACCGTTTTCTTGTGTGGGATTGATTACAAATGTCGCCGTCGACGCAACAAACAAAAAATCAACAAAACCAGAAAAAAACATGGCGGCTACATGACTAAACATTTTCTACAAATCTCATCGAACGAAATCAACGTGATATGTCGCCAAAATGTTCACAACGAATGAAACCTACAAGTGTGTGTCTTCCTAAGTTGGTAATCGTAAACATTTTCATTTATAAAATCAATGAATATGCACAAAACATAACCACAATAAACAATTTGTGCTCTAGAGATACGAATTCATCATGTCGTACAATATTGATTGAGTCCTCCTCCACGAGAAACAACTACTGCTGCGTGCCATCAGTAAATACGGTCGCCATTTTGTGTTTTTGGAGTAGAATCGCGTCGCGAATCAGAACACGCGTCCTGTTATTTTCTTCTCTCGTTTATTTATCGTATTTGTTTTTCTCTTCTCTCATTTATACTAATCAAGTATACACTACAATAAGAACTATACAATAATTAATCGAAGTGCGTTGCCACGCGACCTGCGGATGTCACAACGTGTAAGCCAGCCGCGCACGCGCGCTAGCGCAACGCACGTCGGTACATTATGATACAAACATGGTTTCTTTTTAAAGTTTTCCTTTTCCACTTGCGTTTTTTTTTTACATTTAAACATTAAAAACAATTATGTATGTATTTAAAAATCTCTCGCGGTCAGCATGGTTATCATCTCTGCGTGTGTGTCTTGTGTGTATCGTGTACTGTTTTGTTTCGTCTTGATCATTCATCTATATATAATATATTTATTAATAATAGTTTATAATATTCACAGACTAAATAAATTGTAACAGAACAAATAATCAAAAAATCAAACTAAAGAAGAAGAAGACTAAACATGAAAACAGAACGGGTCTTGTCTCTTCAGCTAGAGCGTCATCTCGTCACATATCATCAATTGTTTTACGATTTGTTTAAATTTTTTGGAATTATTCAATTATCATTAGAATTAATTATTAGTAAATTGGAAATACATGTGGCAACTATTTTCATATTATCATTTACACATTACATTTAACGCGATTTTAGTTGACCGGTGTTTGTTGTGTGTGTGTGTGAGTGTAAACAAAATAATTGAATTAATCTAAGAGAAAACAAGGACGGGATGTGCGCGCGCATGTCTATGTAAAAAATGGACCGAATTAATATAAAGAATACGAAGAATAAAATCAACCGAATGTACACGTGTAAAAAGATCGGATGAACAATCGAATAGGGGGTTGCCTAACATGATATATCTATACATACTCGCGTTTTTTTCATTTTTCTTTTTAAATAAGTAGCGCATTTTGTCTCATCTGATCATCTTCGTATAGTAACATGTTTAGTTTTAGTTTCAAGCCGTTTGTATAGCTAGTGTGGGTGTATATGTGGTGGTTTGCAATCGAAAATGAATGTCTGCAACTTGTCGTACAGCTGTCGTACCCTCACTCGTTCGTTTCTTGCTGTTTTTTTGCGGTTGGTGGTGGTTGTAGGTTAATACTACGCTGCTAAAATGAATCGGCAGGAGGTAGGGATGGGGATTCAGGTAAGGGGCATGTAGTCGCGAGCGAATAACTTATTTCGTGTAGAGGTAGATGGCGACGATGAGACCGTAGAGACCCAACACTTCGGCGAAAATGAGGATGAGGATCATGCCGACGAAGAGGCGCGGCTGTTGAGCTGTGCCGCGCACGCCGGCGTCGCCGACGATGCCAATGGCGAAACCAGCCGCCAGACCGGAGAAGCCTACCGATAGACCGGCTCCCAGATGGATAAAACCACTAAAATCAATCGTAATCATCGTTAGTATTATCAAAATGGCGAATTTAACCTAAAATAATTATTTTCTAGTCGCTTACTTATACAGACTGTACTCTGCTGGCTCTCCCAGCGCACCAGCGATGAGGACGGCCACGACCAGACCGTAAATGGCAATGATACCAGCCATGACCACGGGAATGATGGACTTCATGATCAACTCCGGCCGCATCACGGACATTGCCGCGATACCGGTGCCGGACTTGGCTGTGCCATAAGCAGCGCCCAAAGCTACACACAGAAAAAACAAAAAAAAATTTATTACAAAACAAAATTCACACAATCACATGCATCATGTGATTGATGATGGTGTAATAATCGTGACACACGCGCGCATGCGCACGATAAGATAAATTCACCTGACCGGAAACTTTTAATTTCATTCCTACATAATTAATCAGCATGCACAGAATCCGATTTTATCGAAAACGTTTGTACAATCAGCGCGATAAAAGATTTCTTGATATCACCGGATAAAAATTGCTTGTTTGCACGTAAAACTAAACAAGCTGCTTATCAAAAAGCCTCGTGATGTGCGTACATATGACAAAGGTACACAGAAATCATGTGCGATGTATGCACTGCTCATGTGAGCACTAATTATTATCTAATTAGTATCACATAACGACAAAACTCTCACCTTATGCAAATATCTTTCACAAACGCGAACAAATCGTTCGTTTTTTGCTTGCATTTCAACTAAAACTCAACAATATATTGTACAATATAATATTATGTGAATGAATGCTGTAGCAGTCATGTGATCCACGTGATACTAGCAAACATTTATGGATTTTACGCTACGTTTCAAACAATAAGCATGAATCACGAGACCTACAGACATTTTGAATGCACAACTCTGCAACCCACATTACACGCATTGGGAATGTGGTTGAAAATTGCGAAAATCATCAATATAATTTCCAATGGTGGTGTAAATTTGCTGGAGAATTACAAGCGCGCGTGAGCAGTGCTAAGTTATGGCCGCGATGCGCGTGGCCTTGAAGTCACATGTTTCGGCGAATAGAAATTTCTACACCGTTTTGATCACCTGAGTGATCGTTGCGCCTGATTTCCAACCACCTGCAACCGCCATCATCAATGAAATTGCATATTTTTACGTCTTTTCTCTATATGATCGCGTGAGATGGGTTGCAGGCGGCTTGTTTTTAGCCGAGTCGCAAACCGATAAATCTGTTGATGTGGACTATATGAAAAAAAACAGCCAGCGTTATTCATTTGTTTCGCGATTGATTCCCGATGGATTCATTGTTTGGCGAGGGCCCTGTATCATGATACTAGTCGGCTGATAAGTGTGTAGCAAGAGTCATATGAGCGATACGTGTTTTGTGCACGGGCGGTGTCTGGCGAAGCATGTGACCTAACCACTTAAGTGGGTCAGAACGTCGAAAATCACTTGTTTTCGACGTTTTTCAGCTCGAAAATCGGCGCTGGAAGGCCTTTCGAAGCTATTCTCGATTAATTATTCGTATCGATCTGCTCGGAGGGCAAGAGCGGCGGCACGCGCGCAACGCCCTTCCAGATCATCTTGGCGAATTGATCGCTGAATAGAATACAAGCAAACGATGGAGGAATTCGTATGGTGTGTGAATTTGGATTTGGTGATTGGTGTCGATGGCGGTGAGTGACCAAAGTTGCGAACTTATCGCCGCAATGTCTTCCGGAGAGACAAAATCGATAGCAGCGCGCGGGGCGGCGCGCGCGTATGTGTGCGTAGTACTCACCGCTGAATATGATCGCCGACGCGGCGCCCATGACGCCGAAGAACGGGCCGTAGATGGGATGTTCAGCATCAACAGTCATGATGGCGGTGCGTGCGTGTGTGGTTGCTTTTGCGAAGAGAGTTCGTCGGCGGCGCGTGTGCGAACGAGGGAGTATTTACAGGTCCGTGTGGCGAACTGAACGCACTCGACACTCAACCGTAACCGCGAGCCTACTGACAAATATGGCCTACGCGCGACGACCAGCAGGAGTGTGGGTCATATGACGGGTGCGCGCGTCGCCGTGCTGCCGATTGGCTGACGCTCGGCCTTCGCCACCCTCTAGGCCAATCACACACGCAGCGCAGGTTACGTCATGAGCGTAATCCGCTCGCCCCGCATGACCCGACACAAAAATCGCCATTTCGGCACTCGAAATCCATCAAGATTTCTCTTAAAAATCACAAAAACCACATCGCACACGACGCCCGATGAGATTCCAGGTAATTGTCACTGTTTGCGACATGTTTTTCATCACATGACCGAGCCGCACGTCAGTCACACTTCCGGTTCGGATCACAGGTTGTTCGTGACAGCGGGAAAATTCAAATCGCCGCTCGCAAACGAAGAAAATAACAAATTTTATTTCAACACATGACGAAACGTACTGGATACACTTATACAATTTAATGTTTCTCTAAAGCTTTCGCTAGTAGATCGTTCATCGACGTGAGCAGAATGCGAGGATCGTCCACCAAGCCAGCGCCGACCATCGAATTGGTAAACAACTGCACACAACAAATCACAGATAATCAAACATTTAGAGTACAACAATCACCACGGACACCACTTACTTGTTTGGTGAGTAATTCCGCCAGCTGCGGATCGGACTTGGTCAATTTATGTAATTTCTTGACGATTGGATGTCTGAAAATAGATTTTCGAATGTCCAGTCAACATAGGCAACCAACCATACACCAAAACTCAAATTTACCTCGGATTAATTTCTAATTGTGGCTGCAGGAGAGCATACCGCCTCTCTTCGGACAACTGATGACTCTGTGTGCGAATAAAATGTCGTGCAGCAGCCATTTCCTCAACAGTCACCACACACGGATGATTTTCCAGTCGTGTAGTTGCATTCACCGTGGAAGCCTTACCAGCCAACTTGTCTTTCATCCACGCAGTCAATTCATCAATTTCACTACGTTTCAGACTATCATCGCCTAAATTAGTAAGATCTGCGGCCTTTTTATCATCACGCATGTCTTTCTCGACTGACACAACGCGATAACCTTTGAATTGCTGCAGCTGCATCAAAACTAACTCATCATAAGGCTCATAACAGAAGAGGACTTCCTGTTGGCGTGTTTTTAGACTTTCATAGTAAGGAGAAGCTTCGGCAAGTGCACGACTGCATAAAAACAAAATCAAAAGTAGTTATTTGTCGCATTTTCAACGATAAATCTTACCTTGGAGCCGCCAGATAAAAAATAGTCTTGTCATCTCCTTTAACATTAGCCAGGTAATCATCTAAGCTGACTTTTAACCCTCCATCCTTGTGTGAAGACTCAAACCGCAGTAATTTCGCAATATCTTCCTGTAAATAACAAAATTCAGTTTAAATTCAAATTTAAATTTAACTTCACCCGCCATTTTACCAACTTCCAACCGGCGTCGATCATAACCCCAAAAATTTAAAGTACAAACCGCGTTAAAACCACAAACATGTGTTTTACAACAATATTAGAAGGATGTGGAGTGAAACTATCCACAGACGAGGCTGTTCCCCATCGCCTCACACAAGAACTACCCTTAATCCGATGTGAATTACGTGCTAAACTAGCCGATGAAACCGAACGTCATGACTTTATCCAACAAATGAAAGAATATCTGCAAGATGACGAGTCATTCACACTCGCCATCACGAAAACAACGCTGCACAAAGCAAAATGGAGCAGTGAGAAGCTACAGGAAAGTATCATGCACCTATTTCTTACTATTGACCAACTAAAACCCACAGCAATGAGTCTCTTACTAGAAAAGCTCCCACATAAAGTCATCGAGAATGACATAGCATTCGTAAAAACGCGCTGGAGAGTTTATGCAGCTTAAACAACTCAAACAATGAAGATACACTCGCAGAACACCTTCTAGAGAATTTAGACGTAGCTGAAATCGCCATCAAAATGGAACTTTTACACTATTTACCTAGAATTTTATCAAGTGTAAGTGATACAATCGCATCCAGACTTTTGACACTCATAGAAGAGAATGAAGACTTAGCAGAAGCCGCAATAAACTGCCTGAAACCATTCAGATACTCCCAGAAAGTCAAGATGGAGATTCTAATCTTTATTTTCAATCGCCTGCTGACCAGCCGCAGATATTACCCGATATTTCCATCGATTCTCGAATTATTATTCAATTGCTATGATGACATGGCGCAGATTTTCGACAAAACTCGTCCTACGATGGATAAAATCATGTCCAGCGAAATGACAGACTTAAAATTATCACTGCATAACATTTTAAGCATGGAAACAACTCCATGCAGGCAAGTATACGCCGCCATTTTGAAATCAACTACACCCGAAGAAACCAAACCGATTGACATTTATCTTCTGCTTCTAATCTACATAAACGACAAATTAAAGTGTAAAGTGATCGATGTGATCATCAAACGCAAAGTAAAAGGTAAAAACTTTTCAATTGACGTGTGGGAATCACTCTTTGATAAATATTTCGTTGAAAAAAGTTTTATATCTCTACATTCCGCCATTTTGGACGTGGCTATATCACTAATCGAGTCACAATCACCAGCGAATGTTTGTTTCATGGAAGTTGGCATGTTTATATATAAAAACAATTCGCGCATGAATATTGCACTGATCCACTGCGCAAACGCATGCTTTTCAAGGTGCGTGAAGTCCTGACATATTCAAAAAGCAAGAGTATCGATGTTTATTTAAAGATGTTGTTGGATATGTCTAAGGAAGGGATGTTTGAATCATATTGTGATAATATCATGCCATTTATCGGCCTGTATGAAAAGTTATCACCGAGAAACATGAAATTTATCTTCGAAATTGTCTGTGAGAATGTTGTGAAAGACACGAATTACATTGACAACTTACAGCAGGATATCACAAAGATGTTGATGGTTTGGAACAATACACGGACAAAAACCGGTGTTATCGGTGCTGTTTTACTCGCAAAATATCAATCTTTATCAACTGGTACTTCAACGAGTACCCTAAACGAATCATCAATGGAATTAGGTAATAATTCACATCGTCAAGCAATTAGTCTGCTGGATTTCACAAAGAATAAATGCCAGAACAATGCTGCATTCCTCGGACTCTTCTATGATGAATTAGCAATGTCTCTGAATGTAAACACAAGCGACAATGTTTTATCTCATTTAGTTTTTGATGTGCAAATGCAATTCGAAAAAGTCTATGTTTCTATTGAAGTGGAATCAAATCCTGATCAACGTGTACCGTTAAAAGTTCAATTTGATTTGAATGCAGCTCAGGAAGTCGATCAATCTATTTTCATAAACATTGGAGGTTTGCTACAGAAACAAAACTCTTCCCAGATGAAAATATTGATTCTACCAGCGATATTTCGATTCCTGTGGAGTGTAACACGCTTCAGGTATCAAGGAAACATGGAATCTATCGATGCGTTGTTAGGTTGCGGTGTTTTACTGCCTGACATTGAAGAAATCGACAGTTTTGGCCAAGCGGATCTGCCTCTAGTCGCAAATTGTTTGTTTCTTTGCATAAATTGGTTCAGGGAATTAGTCAGCGCATTTGTAACTCAAGCCAATGATGATATAAGACTGAAAGTCATCCAACGAGTGGAACATATCATCCTGTTGGAAGATAAACTCGAAGAAACAATGGCGATGATCCCGGATCATAAACTACCACAGAGTTACTTCTATGATGAAGCAGAAGCACCTAGAAGTGCTTCAACCAGCGCAATAAAACGTCCCAGATATGATACGACGATAAACATGACTGGAGCAAGCGCTTCAGGTAAAAAATCACTGAAAAAACGTTTTTATGATTTTCGTGAGATGGATAATGGCGTGATGCGATTATTAAAGTATCCTGTTATCAGCGCACAGATTTCTACATCACAAGCACAAACATTACGCAGTAAACAATTCCAATTCATACTTAGAGACTCAATATGCAAGTTGGGATCATTAATGAACCTACGACCTAGAGCAGAGACAATGAATGAAGTCACTGCACAGAATCTGCTTCGTGGCATGGAGAAACTCATGCCCTATGTGCATAAACAATTCTGTCTAGTCGCCATGGAGTTATTCACGTTAATCACAAACAACGACGAAGAAGATTCACAAGCTTTCTTTGAACCACACACTGTAGAACTCAAAATATCCTTTGATCTTGTCATTAATCTCTATAAACTCATTTTTTCATGGTCAGGCTTTCAACTGTCAGAAAACCGTGAGTTATTGAACAAATTCCTGAAGTATTTTCATGCAGCTGAGAATTCTTCACTGGCAACCCAACAAACACAAACTCAGATGAGTCTTGATACTTCAACAAGTACAAATGAACAGAAAAAGATGTTTATAGAGAATATGTCGAAGTATAAACAGCGATGTTTAGTGCTTTCGAGTGCTGCAGCTCTCTTAGAACTTTTAATCACCTTAAGAGGTTATATGTCTTATCAATTACAAGAAGCTGATACGATTATAGTGCAAACAGCGAAAGTTTTCCTCAAAAAGTCTTGGTTTTCTTTAACTGGTGCACCTGAACATGGCAGAGAGACAAACGATCACCTTAAATTAATCATCACAGCATATTTGAATAATACAAATGTGAAAACTCTCAATGGAATTGTAAATACACTCACAACTGAAGTAACAGAATTAAAGTCGAAGAAAGATGCATTGCAAACATTCCAAGCCATAGATAAATCAAACATTCACATAATGATGAAATGTGTTTGTTTTGCTTTACAAACTAAACTAAAGAGTGAATTGTCTACACAATTACCAATCGATGAATTATCCCTGTGGAATTATGCAGTGTTAAGCTTAGAAAAGTTGATCGATGTTGCTTTACCACTGAAAAGTCATACTTTTCTGCTTAATTTAGCAAAAACATCACTAGCAATAGTAAACTTATTCCAAAAAAGTGGTTTTACTACAATCGGGAAGGTTCTAAAGAAAAACCTGAAGAAGTGCAGACATTATTCACTAATTGGGAGAGTGTTATGCGATTCCTGCATAGATTGGCATGTGAAGCAGTCACGAAACGAATGAAAGCTTTCCTATCACTTGTTCCTGCTGTCCGAGCAACTTTAGAAAAATTCGTTTTGAATGTCAAGAAAGTTATGGTCAACTTCAAATGCTCCGTTGCGTTTTACGAAGGCATTTTAACCAATAAAAACCTTGAAGGTGAACAAATCCTAACACAAAACAGCAGTACGACTGATCTGGATGATGAAGAAGATGAATTGGATCTGTTTGATGTTGATACTAATTTGATAAGTGATGCTGGTGAACAATCAGCCAGCGAAATTTTTTGACTAATTGAAAAAACAAGCAGAATTACTTACTTTTTCAGTTTGATTGTGATTTGTTATAATGCCTTCCTTCAAAAAGAGTCCGTAATCCGCGTAGAACTTCAAATATTCCTCGGGACTCTTCTTGGATTGGTCGTGCAGGAATTTTAAGATACGACTTGTTAGAACTGAGCCTAGTTTTCTAAAAATTTAAGTTTTTCATTACAACTTTATAAAATCTTTCATTAATATATAAATTTTTGTAAATTTTAACACTTACTGAATTAATGCGCTGTTTTGTAGTAACTCCCTGGATAAATTCAGCGGAATATCATCGGAATCCACGACGCCTTTGACAAATCGCAGCCATTTTGGTAAAATGTTATCCACGCGGCTTTTTATCAACACTTTTCTAGTGTATAAAGCAACACCAGTTTCAGTTTCTCTTGATAATTCGAATAAACCAGGTTTACCATCGGGTATATACAGTAAAGCGTGGATACTGATGGGTACATCAGTGTTGTAATGCAATGTGAATCTTGGTAAGTCATATGCGCCGCTTATATACCGATAAAACTCGCTGTGTTGTTGCGGAGTGATGGATTTCGGGTCCATTAACCATAATGGCTGAACAGTATTCACTTTTTTACCGTTTAAGATGATTGGACTGCCGACAAAGTTGCTGTATTTGTTGATAACAGCGTTAATTGTCTCCTCATCGCAGAATTCACGACAATCCATCTTTAATTGCATTACTATTTTGGTTCCTGGTTGTAAACCATTGACTTCTTGGATTTCATAGGAGCCAGTGCCATCTGACGACCATTTATGCCCGATTTGTTCGCTGGATGAACGTGAGAAGACTTCCACTTTGTCTGCGACCATGAAAGCGCTGTAGAAACCCACGCCGAATTGTCCGATGATATTCCCGGCATTATCAGAACCTTGTTTATCTTTTAATTGTTCCAGAAAAGCCTAGATTTATATTAATTTTAGTGTTTTGTTATGTTTTTAGATATTTTGATGATTTTTATGTTACCTTTGAACCAGACCGTGCAATCACACCCAAATTCGAGATTAACTCTTCTTTGCTCATGCCAATACCACTGTCAGCAATAGTCAGAGTCCTCGCCTGTTTATCAGTGGAGATCTGAATCTCCAGCGACCTGTCAGGTTCAACAAAACTCTCCCTGGCTGTGGAATCTGAGAGTAAAGTGTATCTGAATTTCTCCAGAGCATCGCTAGCGTTGGAAATCAATTCACGAATGAAGACTTCCTTCTCAGAATACAAACTCCTGGCTACTATGTCGAGTAACATGCGAGTTTCAGCCTGAAATTCATGTTTTGTGCTCTGGCCAACTGGTGTCTCAGGTGTGGAAGTTGTATCTTTGGCTACTTTCGCAGCTGCTTCAGCTGTATAGTATCTAGTGGGATTGGCATGCGTATTTACTGAAATAATCATTGATTATTAATTATCTGAATGCATGTTGGATGGATGATAACCTATTGTACCTAAATTTGTTGTGGGGAGAAATCGCATCCGGTTGACGGAGAATTTATGTAATGCACGGTTTTGGATTAGACATGTGGACAAGCGCAAGGTGCGAAAGAGTCTTAGGCTTGCCATTTTTGATTCAATTTGTTATTCGAAACGTAAAATTCACTTTACAACACCGACAAAACGCACTTTAGTGTTGAAGTTTGATATTTTGACGACAGATGTCACTTAGAAACATATCGCGATAGTTTGCTGTGAATAATTGTTTAAAAAACGTCAGAAAACTGCGTATTTTTAAGTTTTATTAAACAATTATTACTTATAAATAATATATATTAGTATTAGAAGATGTTTAGTCCATATAAACATAATATATTTGTCGTAAATTATAAATTTGTGGAAAATCAATAGTTTTTGATTAATCTGAATCTGATGATGAAGATGCAGAAGATGATGATGACGAACTTGATGATGAAGAGCTTGAGGATGAACTGCTCGAGGAATCACTGCTGTCTGAGTCGGAATCAGAATCATCTGATGAGGAATCATTACTCTTTTTGGTTTTGAATTTCTTTTTCTGTGCTTCAGCCATTTCTTGTTGTGCTCTGTAAATTTTAGTATTTTAATGATTTTTTTGTATTTTTGAGGGGATTTAAGCTTACTCTTCTTGTTTTTGTTCAATAACCTTCAGTCTCTTCTTTAGTACTTTGGTGCGTGAAGATCTATGTACGTATTTGCGTTTTCCTTTGCATTCATAGGACCAGTGGCCGAATTCGAGACATTTTTGGCAGCGCACGCCTTGTGGTGGGGCAGTCTCTTGTTTTCTAAACAAATAACAATTGTTTAATTCTTTTATCACACTGTATTTAATTTATTATGTAAGAAATAGATGAGATATGCTTACTTTTTGCCGAAATATCCATGCGTACTTAATTTTAGACTCATTTTTAATTCGTTTTGTGTAATAAAAATCTCAGACAAAACAATAAACGTATTTTGTTAGGTTAGAATTTCGCCCTCTGTGATTTTTGCATGTCTTTACATGTGATGCAAGAATTATCCGCAAGAGGGCAGTTGTGATTGTATCAGTAATTTGATCATAAAAACAAAACTTGTAATTAAACCAGTTTATTATAAACAAACACTAGTGTTTGATTCTTTTACATTAAAATGTAATTACTGCGGACATATGAAGTTATAATATACTACATTAGATTGATAATCATAGGGTTTATGTCAATTTGTCTGAAAGGACGGTCAGTCGGTCACACGCACACGCATGTCACACACACGCATGCGGACGCAAACAAGCGAGTCTAAACGTCAGTGTCAAAACAGAGTGAGCAATGTTAATAACAAATTAATTTCGCGCACACGGCTCGACGACGCGAGTATAAACAAAAATCGCAAGTGACGGTCGTCGAGACACGCGTTGCCGGACGGTGTGTGCGGTCGGTGGTTGTTGTTTGCGTGCGTGTTGTGCACTTTCGGTCCTAATCGTAATCGCTCCAATTATTTTCGATTCCCAGCCGGGGCACAAGCAGTGAAAGTGTTAGAAAGGCGCTCCGCATCTCTTTACGCAATGATGTTGTGCACACAATTCGGTAAGCACTGAAATCCAGCGTGAATCATGCAGAAAACCGAAATTCGCACGTCATTTGTTTTTGTTTGCTTGTAGAATCAAACCGACGACGACGATAAATGAGAGATTATGTCTCACATTGAGGCGAATTTAAGGGCGCAAGCCCGGCTCGACTATAAATGGATCAAGACTGACCTGCAGACTACATTCCAGTCCCCGGAGGCCCTGCAGACAGCGTGGAACTCACTCATCACTGATGGTGAGCTCACTGGGCACTTCTGTGATGGTTTGCTGAATTGTGCTGGGGTTTTGGCTCGCAAGGGGCACAATGGGAAGTATTATTGTGGCTTGAGGGTAAGACATCATGAATTTAGGTTATTTTGAATGAAATTTTTATTGTTTGTGGTATATTTTTAGGTTTTAACATGCACGTGCTGCGATACGATTTGCGGGCCGAATTCGGGGTGTAATTGTGGTGCGTGTCAGAAATTGGACACTGAGGAGACCATCACGAATGCTAACACCGAGAAAGTTGACGATGCGCTTACGCCACAGAATATTTTAAATTCATGGACATGGGGACCTAAACCAAGTAAGTTTTAGGTTAATATCTATTTTATTGGTTGTTTTTGTTTCAAATTTACATAAAAACAAAGATAACCTATAAAAAGTTACGATTTATATGACAAAGCATTAGTAGTAATGACGTCACGGTGCACCCGTCAATTTGGGTTGCCTATATACGAAGCAAACACCCAAAACAAAATGGAGAGCGAAGAGAGGAAGCAAGAGAACTGCGACTGGACTGGACACATTGCGCCCCCTTTTATACCTGCGCCTGACCCGCAAAAAGTGGTGGGGGTAAACGCGCAGCTACCTGATTGGTCAACCACAGTCCAGCGGCAGGTTTCTCTTCCCCCTCTTTTCCCTCATCATCACTCTCCGGTTTTTTAGTCACGCTGGATAAATCCATGTACAATTTATTTTAGAACAAGATGATCTAGTAACCCTCATCGAAAGCCTAAACAACGAGCAACGCAAACTATGCCTGGACTCATCCAACACATCCCTCTCCGCAATCCGCCTCCATCAACGCTTAGTAATATTCAAGCGTTACTACGTCGCCATCAGTCGCGACAACAAAGCCCAACTCTTGGATCAAGAACAAAAACACCTCAACTCGAACTACACAGGCAGCGAAACCGCATTACCATCACTACTCCCACAAACCCAAACATCTTCCACCAACGTAACCGCCAGCATAGTCTCATCCATCACCAAAATAAAACGCAATGCAAGTATAGGAAGTGCACAATGCACAGACCCAACCATGGGATTAGCCAGAGTAGGATCCCGAGCAGCTCTTAATTTTTCCTTCGCTTTTCTAAGAAGAGCATGGCGTATGGGTGAAGACACAGAACTATGCAGTGAATTACTAACAGAAAGCCTCGAAGCATTACAAATGCTACCAGTAGGAACCCTGTTTGAAGATTCAAGCATGTCACCCATATGGATGGAAGTAGTTGAGAGAAGTGTCAAATTCTTGCGACAGGTTGTCACAGGCGAGATAAACGCCGGACGTGTCCCACAAGAAGACCAACACACATCATTAAACCTCCTACTGGAATTATCCCTGCAGAAAGCAAGGTTAAGTAACATGCTTGACATGTCCTTACTTTTACTTACCATGTGGGAAAAACGCACGAAAAGTGATGATAACCGCTCACATCCACAAACAGCAACAGCCCCATTGAGTCTATTTATGAAACGCTTTGAATCCATCCCATGCACGCGTATATCCCCTTCCCCTGAGGATTCCGACCCCACATGCACACAGATGTATTTAAGGTACACGCAGTTACCGGATGATGATTCCATGGAGGTAGACATGCGTCAGGCTTCGGTGTTTCTCATGTCGCATCTGGATCGACTTGCACGTCCACATATTCCTCCACAATCTTTTAACAAGAGTGTAACTAATTACAACGTGCAGCAATTCATGGCTTGGGGGTACCTCGCGTGGAATACCGGTACCAGCCCGCAGGTTATCGACGCTTTGTCCAATATAAACATCTGTCAACTATGTTGTGGGTATAGATGTCTCCTAGCGTTGTCCTTGACAGGCCTAGTGTATATTATACAGCTATGCACGGAATCACCATGTCTGCAGCTGGTGGAAGGGTTGAAGGATAAGACTGTGATTAAAATCGCCACGCATCCGGAGGGGAAACACATGATGGCGCTGACGATGACTCAAGAGGTGTATTCATGGGGTGTGGGTGATGGCGGACGTTTGGGACATGGTGATACGTTGAGTAAGGATGAACCCACTTTGATTGAGGTGTTGAGTGATAAGGATGTGGTGGATATACGCTGTGGGGGATCCTACAGTGCGGTGATTACCACTGGTGGTGTGTTATACACTTGGGGAAGGGGTAATTATGGTAGACTTGGGCATGGTACCTCGGAGGATTGTCTGGTACCCACTGTGGTGCAGGCCCTGCAAGGGCAGATTGTTGTTGCGGTTGCCTGTGGGTCAGGGGATGCGCATACGTTGTGTGTGACATCTCAGGGTAAGGTCTACTCATGGGGTGATGGTGATTATGGTAAACTAGGACGTGGTGGTTCAGATGGTTCTAAACTACCTAAACTTGTGGATCGTCTTCAGAATACTGATATTGTTAATGTCTATTGCGGGTGTCACTTTAGTATGGCACTATCTCGATGTGGGAAGGTTTATTCCTGGGGTAAAGGTGAAGGATGGAGACTGGGACATGAAACTGATGAACATGTGAGGTTTCCCCAGTTTGTGCAAACCCTGGAAGGGAAAAGAATCGCCAGTTTAAGTTTGGGTACTGAGCATGTTTTTGCGTTAACGGATAATGGGGAGGTTTACGGATGGGGCAAGAATCACTACAAGCAGATTTGTGATAGTAATGATAGTATCATCAGCACGCCGAGGAGGTTGGATGCGTTGCAGGGGCAGGAAGTGGTTGGGATCTGTTGTGGGCCGACGCAGAGTTTTGTCTGGGCGGATTTCAGCGCGTGGATACCGAATGTGAAGGTGCCGTTTGTTATTGATTTGTGTGAGGCGACTTTTCGGCAGTTGGATCAACTTCTGGAGGTTGTGTGTGAGAATAGTAAGCAGGGGACGTTCACGCAGGAAAAAGAGTGTATTGCTATCGCTACGCTCAGTTTATTGCTATTACAGGTAATTTAACCTCACATTTTATGGATTTTTGAGTTTATTTTAAACATAACCTCAAATTTTAACGTTTTTTGGTTTTATTTTAAACATAACCTCAAATTTTAGCGTTTATTGACTTTATTTGAAACTTAACCTCAAATTTTAAGGTTTTTTATGTCATTTTAAACATAACCTTAAATTCTAAGGTTTTTTGATTATATTTTAAATGTAACCTTAATTTTTAACTGTTTTTTACTTAATTTTCATTATATTTATTTACAGTTGCATTGTATGATTACAAATCAAGTCGATGCGAAGACCCTGGGTTTGGCCCCCTGGGTCTAAATTATTATTATCGCTAAAATCTCGCGTTGTTTACCTGGCGAGTTCAACTGGTATCCTACAAACCGTGCAGAATGCAGCACAGAGTACACTTCAAGCCGGATGGATTGTCATGCTTCCCACAGCGAATGAACGCGCGAATACTTTGTCAGCTTTACTTCCCAACACTGGTTTTGAACCTGGTGCGCTTTCCTGTGGTCATCGCTTCATGACAGATCTCTTGGTATGGAGTTTAATGTCCGACGGAGGGTTGGAAACTGCTTTAATGGAAGCAATGCGTGCGGAGAGTGAACTTGTTGATACTCTTGATGAAAACTATGATGAACAATCCACTTCGACCGGAAATACCATAACCATACCTCTCTTACACCTTGTAAAACAACTTTTAAAGAATAATAGCTATATGACACAGATTCGCCTGCAGGATTTTGCGAAAACTTGTAAATTGGTCCCCGTGGAGAAGATTGACAAAGATTCACCGAGTTTGAATTTATTACTGAGGTTCCAGCGGCAAATTATTGGGAAAATCTTTAAAGATAAAGAAGGAGAAGCGGCCATGTCATTGTTAAAGAAGTATCTCTATCAGGTTGCGGAGCATATTACACAGACATTGAATTTGGCGTATGAAACAGCGTCACAGAATCCAAAACATTATCTTTATGTGATGCAGATACTCAAAGGAGACATTACTGGTAGTATAACTACACCGCCATTTTGTATTTGTATGTTAAAATTTTATATTTTGTGTTTAGATATAATTTTACCCGAGTTAATTGTGTCGGTGATACTCCTAGAGCAGGAAATCGACCATTTTTTGTTCAACATGGACTGGTTGGCTGTCTTTGACTCGTTGTTATCAGCGCTTGATAAATTGTGTAAATTATCACCGAATATCGAAGCGATGGATTCGGATGACATTAGTTGGCCGGGGATTTTTCATCCGCAACCACCTAGACACTCACATAAAATCGAAGATTTACCTCTGATAAGAAAGTCGGATATGGACAATCATAACCTAGATGGTGGCCTATGGGTAATCATCAATGGAAAAGTATACGATATTCAAGATTATAGGTTAGTTCAATCATCAATCATTATTTTAACAATATTTTATATATTTTTTAATGTTTTCTTTGTGTTTAGGTGTGAAAATTCCACGCTTTTGGAAATCCTGCAGAAATACGCTGGCAAAGATGCTTCCCATGTGTTTAACAGCATGCCGCATAGTTTATCAACACTACAAATGATGGAATCCTACGTTGTTGGGACGTATTCCCAGAATGAAAGCGAGAAATTAACGCATGTGCCCTATGACAGTGTGCATGTTTCCTTAAATTTGTTAGACAGCGAGCGCCATCTGGGATACTTACTTGGTTTACACGCCTATCACATGCGGCAGAGTTTGAAACTACATGAGTCTGAAATAACTGCTAAAAACTGGTTGAATGCTTCGTTCCTCAGCGGAGGATTGCAGGTTCTACAACCGCCGAATCCCTACGAGGAGGAAAAAGGTGATGATAGAAGTACGAATTCTACAGCTGGGAATACGCCAACCGAGCCGAAGGTTACGCATAATAAACTTATACGGACCACAACCACTAGTCAGCTACCAATAAATAGGATTAATTCGTTTATCAATGCGTTGGCGGAGAGTCGACTCTCGGTACGTACAATATTTATTTATGTACAATATTTGAATGTTGTGTATTGGGTAGAATAAGTTAGAGTTTTCGTTTTTAGGATTCGTTTGTAATAGCGTTCTTGGCGATAGTCGAACAGCATTCGAAACAGAACAATTATCTCAGTCGCGTGGACTTTAGCTTCGAGCATCCGTTAGAAGAGATCAGTAGAGTCCTGTTTGCCGTGCTCCTGAAGCATCTAGGCTTTGGCTACATTCTGCTACCCATTTTAGATGCATGTAAGTCAACCGCCATATTGTTTTTCATACAAATCATGATAGGCAACTTTTTATGCACGCAGATTCCACTCAACCCAACGTGAAACTTCCCAAAGCACTCGCTGAAATGTTGAAACTAGTCTACCAAACCAAATGGAACCTGATTAAACTACGACAGGAATTGAACAGATCCTATAAAGAAATCTGCATTCCTATTCTAGAACGTTGTCGTTTTTGTTGTACGAAATCAAACCTGCGATCAGTGTCGAAATGGAAGCTTTTCGCAATGTAAACGTCCTGTATAAAGAACCACGTGTTAAGACCTTGGTTAGGAAAGTCATCAAAGACTTAAAATGTGGCCGCCATACTTCTGACATACAAAACCGGAAGACATCGTCAACGCAACTATACAATCACAATCCATAGAAAAACACAAATCATGCGAGGATTTAGCTAAGAACGCGATTAAAAAATGCGCGTCCGATGGAAAAATCGCCGAGAGTAAAAGCGACACGGATGACGTCAACAACGAAATCAAAAATGGCGGCATGGATAAGTCAACAGCGGAACGCGTCATGTCCGAGAGTTACAATCAAAATTCCAGCAAACGTAATGATTTCCTGGATGATTCCGAGAAAGAAAAACTAGAGAAAGATAAAGCCAAGGTCAAAGATCCTGTCAAGGTCAAAAAGTACGAAAATGATGCTGCGTTAGCAGGATTGCTACAGAAACTCACCGAAAAGAAAATGAAAAAGATCTCGAATGACAATATCGAATTGATGATGAAAATCTTAGATTTTGTTCTTGCCGGCAGCAAAAATGAGTCATCGAATGCCACAATCGTGAAAGACAACAGTGGGGATGTTGATGTATTAAGAAGAGCTATGTATTCACAAGTTATGCGGTGTAAAGTGAGAAAAGAAGGTTTAGAGTTAATATTTAAGTTATTAACGAAGACTTATCTTTTGACTTCGACAAAGTACGCCATTGTGAATGGATATCTAGGATGTACGAATCTCTCGAAACAAGGTAAAGTCGCGCATTGTTTGGATGATGTCCAACTTATCACACCAACGAGTAAAACTGAATTATTACTCGGTCAACTCAAAGTCACAGAATGGTGTATCGATACACTGCGGAATTACGTCCTAAGGGATTTACCAAGTCGACATGTGAAGAAAGGTCAACCCAAGGTCAACATGAACATCAACCTTGGCACCTACACCCTGTTAAGAGACGTCCCGAGAGCTAGAATGTTATTGTCTATTCTAGGAATGTTAGCTTCCAATCATTACCTACCAATGGAGTTGTCCCCGTTGATTAACAGCGGGATGATAAGTTCAGTCTTGGCGTTACTGCGTCAAACCGGCGGGGATCAGAGTATCGTACGTAAAGTTTCTGAGTTTTATGTGGTTTATGCTGATATTATATCACAGACACGTCCGAAGCGTGGTGCGTTGACAATGGCGGAAATAGCCGCCATGATGAAATTGGGTGTGAGGGTTGTACGCGGTCCGGATTGGAAATGGGGCGATCAAGATGTCGGCATATGTCGCGAGGGGCGCGTGATTGGTGAATTGGGAGATGATGGCTGGGTGCGTGTGGAATGGGCCAATGGCACTACGAATAGTTATAGAATGGGTAAAGAGGGGAAGTATGATCTGGCGTTGGCCACGCCCCCTAGCCCGATCACATCCGATACGGATAGTGAGGATTTGACAGATCAGGGACTTGGAAGTCAGATTGTAGTGCGTGATAATCAACTTATAAAGTTTTACGTGAATCAAGTATTAATTTCCTGCGTGTTATAACTGTCAGTGGTGGTTTGGCAAAGAGTAATCTAGATCCTTCCACAATGCATGGATTATCTAGCTTATTCTGCAGTACGTTGAACTCTGGTAATCAAGAGTGGTGTAGTCTGACACTCATGCACTCTATTGCGCAGACTCCACAACATTGCACTGCGCTTAGCACCAAACCATGGATCAATATGTTGTTGGGTTTCATTTCTACACAACCAAATGCATGTGGGAATGTTGTAAATCTCCCTAAACAGATTTTATCTGTAAGACTACTCAAAGAAGTTTTACAAACATGGGACTTAGATAATGGCGACATTCATAATGTCCTTGAAAAAATCCTCGGGATCCTAGGCAGGATAATATTGACATGTTGTTATGATACCAGCAATAAACCTGTGAGCGAGAATAAATCGCTCATGTTATTGACACAATCACACAGCGCTACACTCGCCGCGGAAATTGTGGGTCTACTGAGACATTTGCATGGTTTTGTTGGGTGGAACCAAGTGTTGAATTCTATACTAGCACAGAAGTTGCAGTTGGCTGCGTATTACCTTCAGAGTGATTGTAATATGTTTCATGTGTTTGATGATAGCACCAATGATCAATACATGGTGATTGCCACGTTGAATGTTTTGGGATCGTGGGATGCAAGACCACGAATCGGGTCTTATGTAGAAGTGGATAATCAAGAGGGTACTGTGACGAGGGTATCGCAAAAGGGGAAGATTTGTGTGCAGTTGCACAAAACCGGCGAGACGAATAAGTATTACATCGAGGATTTGAAGTTGCAAGCACCGCAGAATTTCAATTTGGATAAGATGCTCATGGGTGATGGGTTGGTTAAGGTCTGGGCCACGTTGTTGATCAATCGGCAGACGTCTAGTAATAGTTACGAGAGAAAGACCACGTATGGTAAGTTATATTCGACATTTTTTAGTTTTAATATTTAACTTTGAGGTTATGTTTTTTTTGTATCACAGGATTGGTTAATACTTCATATTTACGCTCGCAAATCAACATGCTCTCTGTGTTGAACGCCACAAAAGTCCTTCAATTCAACCAATCAAAACTCCGCCGTATTCTTAAACATCCCTGTCGACTCTGGAACAATCCACTGAACAGATGTCTTCCTACGAAGAAGAACCCTGCGCACCAGTTCTCCTCATTCAAAAGATTCTCATGAAAGCAACGCAGCCGTCCCCTTTGAAACCCATCTATTCCATGGAAGAACTCCAATTGGCCGCTCTCAACCTCTCTCAATACCTGGCAGCTGAAGCCTCCAATGATAAACCCTCCCCGACCACTATATCCAATGATAAATTCAAAAACATTCCTCCTCCTAGTTTAATCACAGGTATTAATCAAGCTGTGAGTGAACTCCCGACGCCCAACAGCGAGTGTTCCGTCAAGTCTATGTTTAGCGATAGTAATACCAACACAAACACGAATACCAACACAAACAAGAGTAATACCAAGAAGAAGAAGGATACAGGTGAGCAGTTACCTTCGAATCCAATTGTACAACAGATTGTCGAGATGGGTTTCACTAAGAAATGCGTGGAGAACGCGATGAAGACCATAGGTGTCGCTGCTGACGCTTTAATCACACCGGAAATAATTGTTTCATGGTTATTGGAACACCCGGATGTGGTCACATCAGATACAGAAAGTATCAGTAGTTATTACAGTTCAGACACAGAGAGTGTTTCGGATCAAGTGGAGTTGGGTATGCATGGGTACGGAGAATGTCCAGGGTTGGAAGCTGTGGGGGTTGCTGGTGCGTCTGGTACCACAGCTGTGACATCAATAGCATACAGTCAACGCACTGATTTTTTGTCCAATGATGAATATGCTATGTACATCAGGGATAACATCGAGGTGGGGATGTTGGTGAGGTGTTGTAGGAGTTATGAAGAGGTCCACGTGGGTGATATTGGCAAGGTTTTCAAAATAGACAAGGAAGGTTTGCACGATTTGAACGTGCAAGTCAACTGGCAGCACAGGATCAATACATATTGGGTGCGGTTTATTCATATTGAGTTACTGGGTTTTCCTCCGGCCCTACCAGCACCTACTAGTATTAAAGTGGGGGATAAAGTGAGGGTGAAGTCATCAGTGGCGACACCTAGATATAAATGGGGTTATGTTACGCATGACAGCGTTGGTGTTGTCACTTGTAAGTATTTTTATGCTTTTTAAGGTTAAATTTGAGGTTATATTTTGTTTTATGTATGTAGTGATTGCTGAAAACGGCCATGATGTAACCGTGGACTTTCCGAAGCAATCCGGATGGACGGGACTCATCTCTGAGATGGAGATAGTCCCCTGTAATCATGAAGGTATCGCTTGTAATGGCTGCGGGGTGAATCCCATCAAAGGTCCACGGTATAAATGTAAAACCTGTGAGAATTACGATTACTGCGAGAATTGTTTCTATACCAGGAAGAATCACAGGCATTCTTTCAATCGTATAATGGTGATTGGCGCACCGGAAGTCTACGTTGGTAAACCTGGTAAATACTATCGTAATGATTATGTAGATACAGAGGGTTTGACTATTTCGGAATGGTCAAAGTGTGTGAAGAATGTTCAGGTCTCTTCGAAAGCTAATCCTAGTCTGAGATATGATTGGCCACATTGTGTATGGCAAAGTTGTGGTAAACAAGGTGAGCATTGGATCCGTCTAGAGATACACAAAGATATTGTCATCAAAAATCTACAAATGGGAGTTGATCAAGCTGATAATTCCTACATGCCATCGGTGATTATAGTTAGTGGGGGCGCCACACCACGATCCATGGCTGAGTTGAATGTTGCCTATGTTAGAAACACGGATACCACTGTGATGGTCCTGGCCAATCAGGAAGTGCACTATCCGTTTATAGAGATTTCTATTATTAAATGCAAAAACCGCGGGATAGACTGCAAAATACACGGGTTGCGTATACAGGGTGTAAAGAAACCGACGATACATGAACTGAAAACATCTGTGTCTTTCCTGGCGAATGATTGGGACGTAGGGCAGGAGATTGGTATTGGTATGCCGTATGTCACTCAGGAGGTATCCTATGACCGTAGTGATAGGATGATTAGCGAATCTACATCAAGCACACCTTGTAAAGTCTTCGTTTGGGGATTGAATGATAAGGATCAACTTGGTGGTATGAAGGGTTCCAAGGTGAAGATACCCATGCAGTCGGACATCTTGAGTCAGTTCCGGCCGATTCACATTGCTGGCGGGTCAAAGTCATTGTTTATTGTTTCACAGGAAGGAAAAGTAAGTTGTTTTTGTATTTTAGGTTAGAAATTTATGACGCCATTTTGTTTTTTTTTGTTTCTCTATAGTTGTACGCATGTGGTGAGGGTACCAATGGTCGTCTTGGACTTGGTCACAACAGCAACGTGCCCTACCCTCGACAAATACCATTTTTATCACACTATGTGATCAAAAAGGTCGCGGTTCATTCAGGAGGTAAACACGCGATGGCTCTCACTCTAGATGGTAAGGTATTCTCATGGGGGGAAGGTGAAGATGGTAAGCTAGGCCATGGCAATCGTCTGAATCTAGACAAACCAAAAATGATTGATAAACTGCGCTCGAAACGAATTCGTGACATTGCCTGTGGTAGTTCTCATTCAGCTGCTATCAGCTCCAACGGGGAGTTGTATACTTGGGGATTAGGAGAATACGGAAGATTCGGTCACGGTGATAACATAACCCAACTTACGCCAAGACTAGTAAAATCCCTAATAGGACACAGAATCGTACAAGTTGCATGTGGTAGCCGTGATGCGCAGACCCTGGCTCTGAGTGATGAAGGTATGGTCTTCTCATGGGGAGATGGTGACTTTGGTAAACTAGGCCGAGGTGGATCCGAAGGCTGCAACACCCCACAAAATATTGAAAGATTAAATTCTTTGGGAGTCATACAGATTGAATGCGGCGCGCAGTTTTCTCTTGCTTTGACCAGAGCTGGTGAAGTATGGACATGGGGTAAAGGAGACTACTTCCGGCTAGGTCATGGCGCTGATCAACACGTGAGGAAACCCACAATCATCGAAACCTTCCGCGAGAAAAAAATCGTCCATGTTGCTGTTGGTGCCCTTCATTGTTTGGCTGTAACCTGTACAGGACAAGTCTACGCATGGGGTGATAATGATCATGGACAACAGGGTAATGGTACCACAACAGTCAATCGTAAACCCGCGTTGGTTCATGGCCTGGAAGATGTTTCCGTTAATCGTGTTGCATGCGGTAGTTCACATTCAATCGCATGGATGATGTCTGATTTACGCATGGTGAACAAACAGGAACCTGTAATTTTCTCCGCACCGAAAGATCCGCTAGGTGCGTCTATGCTTGGATTATACGATGGGGAAAAAACAACTACAACTGATTATGAAAAAGAAACAAGTTTAGGGATTATTGTCATGTCTCTGGAGAGTAATACAGCTAAACAACAAGCGCTGCAACATATTCTCAACGCGATACACATTCAACAATTAAGACAGAGTATTGTAAAAGCTCTGAGGAGTCATACCAACATGATGAGTACTTCTACAAACTCAAAAGCCACTATGGAAGATACTTCTGAATGTGTACCTATTGTAGAAGTTTTGAAAAAAGACAGCGATACTATAGTCTTAGGCGGAGGAGAAGCCCCGGTTTCTTTAACAGAACTAACCTCAATCAACAGCCATCACTCTACACCTGACAGTGATGAAAATCCTTTAGCGTTGTTGCAGAGTATGACTGCTAGCAGTTGTTCAGCGTCAGCTTCCGCTAGTATATCATCAAAACATTCCAAGATGTCTACCAGCGCCATGTCTGTCATCGCAGCAACTCTAACCTCACATGCAGAAGTTTGTGGAAATCATGATGCATCACAACTGGATGAATTTACATCACTTTTGAGTGAATCTGATGCAAGATTACTGGTAGATCTGTTAAAATTAGCTGTTCAGGAAAGGATTGAAGATGATCAAGCAAAGGAAATCTTATCCACTGCTTTAATCAACATGGGAAGCGCTAATAAACAAATTGGTGGTATGTTACTGGAGTTATGCATCACGGAATTGGAAGATACAACGAGTAATACAACCATGTTGTCTTGTACCCCGCATCCTGTTGTTCAGGAATCATCACATCCTTATATAGATGATGTCACACTTCGTGGACATGTGAGGATACCAGGTGCGGATTCCCTTCGTGTAGAGTTTGATAGAAGGTGTTCCACTGAAAGGAGACATGACCCTCTTCAGATTATCGACGGGAGTGGAAAGGTGGTTGCTACTAGATCAGGTAGAGAATGGACTGATTGGTCCACAGAGGTAAGGATACCAGGAGATGAGCTCCGGTGGAATTTCGTATCGGATTCATCTGTGAATGGCTGGGGATGGAGGTTTACCGTGTATCCAGTTGTTTCCAATCATAATCCACGGGAGATTGGTTCGGATAGGTCTATTTTGAGTCAACCTTCAGTTGATATGGTCATGTGTCTCTTGGATCCCAAGTTGTATAAATCTGTGGATGCCAGTTTGATGTCCCGATTAGCTGCGTCACTTGCCGCATGCTCCCAGTTGAGTTACCTGGCTGCTTCGCAACGTATGTGGTGTTTACAACGTCTACATCGTTTGTTGGTACATGAAGCTGACCGGAATGGTCTTGCGAATCAACTGCAACAACTGAAAGCTCATGAAAATGCGCTGGGAGGGTTGTTGGAAGCTCTTCCACAGGCACTTCTGAGACAATATGAATATGAAGATATTTCTGTGCGTGCTGGGTTACACCTGATGCACTCTGACTTCTTTAAAGTCCTTGCAGCGCTTGCATGTGATTTGGAACTGGTTAAAATCATTGGGTCCTTGTCAGATAACCACAAATGGTCTTGGTTTAGGAGGTATTGTAACGCCGCGAGGGTTGCAAAGGCGTTGATTAACCGTCAGCAGTTGCCTTTGTCTTTCTGTCATGAAGTGAGGAAGAAATCATCGGATATGACGCAGGAGATGACTGCTGATGTCTGGGACCATGAAAATCATAAGATTTTCAAGAAGGAGCATGATGAGCAACTGTTGCAGTGGTTGAGTAGAAGACCTGAAGACTGGACGTTATCCTGGGGTGGATCTGGGACCATTTATGGTTGGGGACATAACCATCGTGGGCAGCTAGGAGGAATTGAAGGGACGAAGATTAAAATGCCTACAGTTTGTGAAGCCCTGTCAAGTTTAAGACCTGTGCAGTTAGTGGGCGGGGAGCAGACATTGATTGCTGTGACAGCTGATGGTAAAGTCTATGCGACTGGGTATGGCGCTGGAGGTAGGTTAGGTATAGGAGGGATTGATTCCGTGTTGGTTCCTACTCTTTTGGAGTCCATTCAACATATTTTCATCAAAAAGGTTGCTGTTAATAGCGGTGGGAAACATTGTTTGGCTTTGTCAGCTGATAATGAGGTTTATTCATGGGGTGAGGGAGATGATGGTAAACTAGGACACAATAATAAAAAGTAAGTGGTTATATTTTGTGTAGATAGGCAACTTATTATACATTTTGTTGTAATTTTCAGCACTTGTGATCGTCCCAAACTAGTCGAAGCTCTTCAAGGCTATGAAATAATAGACATAGCTTGTGGTGGGGCACATTCCGCTGCGATTGACGCCAATGGGCAGTTATTCACATGGGGTAAAGGCCGTTATGGCCGATTGGGTCACGGAGACTCCGAAGACCAACTAAAACCTAAATTAGTCGAATGTTTACTTGGATACAGAGTAATAGACGTAGCATGCGGGTCAGGCGATGCCCAAACACTCTGCATTACCGACGATGACAACGTCTGGTCATGGGGTGATGGTGACTATGGTAAACTAGGTCGTGGTGGGTCAGATGGTTGTAAACTCCCGCAGAAAATTGAATCCCTTGCCGGATTGGGAATCATCAAAGTAGAATGTGGTTCACAGTTTTCCGTAGCTCTTACTAAATCAGGCGCTGTGTATACATGGGGTAAAGGTGACTACCATCGTCTGGGACATGGTCCAGATGATCATGTAAGAAGACCTCGAAAAGTAGCCACTCTCCAAGGGAAAAAGATCATTTCCATAGCGACTGGATCACTGCATTGTGTAGCATGTTCAGATGAAGGTGAAGTCTACACTTGGGGTGATAATGACGAAGGTCAACTTGGAGATGGCAGCACTAATGCTATACAAAGACCTAGATTAGTCACTGCGTTGCAAGGAAAAAGAATAACACACGTTGCGTGTGGTTCCGCGCATACTCTAGCTTGGTCAACGAATAATCACACTGCGTGTGCACGGTTACCAGCAGCCGCACCAATGGAATTTGATTTACTGAAAGATATCCCCATGGCGGTCCTGCATAGAAGATTGGTTATGTTGCATCATTTTGCAGAGTTGATTTGTCCGTGTATTACGATGTTCCCGATCACAGGAAGTGGTTCTCTGAGTGAATTAAGGAATATTTTGGTTTATTCTATAAAAGAAGCTACATTCCGAAAGGTTAGTAATGAAAAAAATGTAAATTTTTATATTTTAAGGTTATAAATGTCTCAGGTGATACAAGCAACGATGGTTCGTGATAAACAACATGGTCCCGTGATAGAACTGAATAGAATCCAGGTAAAACGGTCAAGATCTCGTGGTGGTTTAGCTGGCGTCGACGGAATGAAGTCAGTTTTTGGTCAAATGGTCAGTAAGTTAACTCTGTTAACATCTGAAGCACTTTCTTTACCCCATCGCGTGTGGAAGGTGAAATTCGTCGGTGAATCCGTCGATGATTGTGGTGGAGGTTACAGTGAATCCATTGCTGAGATGTGTGATGAGTTACAAAATGGCTCCCTGCCTTTACTCATACCCACACCTAATGGCAGAGATGAAGCCGGGACAAGTCGTGATTGTTTTCTGTTGAATCCACTTGCAAAATCATGTTTACACCTGAATATGATGCGGTTCTTGGGTGTTCTCATGGGTATAGCCATCAGGACTGGTTCTCCATTGAGTATTAACCTCGCTGAGTGTGTTTGGAAGCAATTGGCAGGCATGGAAATGACTCCAGCGGATTTAACAGAAGTTGATCGGGATTATGTTCCGGGATTGCTGTGTATTCGTGATATGAACCCCGATGAGAGGTTGTTTCAAAATTTGGAGATGCCGTTTTCTACTCCGTCGACTGCAGGAGTTGATGTACCGTTGAGTACGAAGTATAAGAACATCACGCATGAGAATCGATTGGAATATGTGCGATTAGCGCTTAATTTTAGGTAAAAATTTGATTTTTATAGGAAATAATTGTAAATTATGTTTTATTTTGTAAATTTTATGTTTAGGTTACATGAATTTGACGAACAAGTTAAGGCTGTGCGTGATGGCATGTCGAAAGTGATTCCGGTGCCGCTTCTTTCGTTATTCAGCGCCTATGAACTGGAAACCATGGTTTGTGGGTCTCCGGATATTCCTTTGTCTTTGTTGAAGTCTGTGGCTTCATATAAAGGTAAAATTGGTTTAATTATTGATATTTTAAGTAGTTTTATTTGGAAATGTTGTTTTTAGGTATTGATTGCACCGCCCCGTTGATTCAATGGTTCTGGGAGGTTATGGAAGAGTTCTCCAATCAGGAGCGTTCGCTGTTTCTACGTTTCGTGTGGGGACGGACACGCCTACCGCGCACGATCGCCGATTTCCGTGGGCGCGACTTTGTCATTCAAATTTTGGATAAATACAACCCTCCTGACCACTTCCTGCCCGAAAGTTATACATGTTTCTTCCTCTTGAAGATGCCACGATATTCTTGCAAGGTAAACAATTATTTTAAGCATGATTTTTCTTTTTACTTAAGAATTATTTAATTTTTAGCCTGTCCTACAAGAAAAATTAAAATATGCCATCCACTTCTGTAAGTCAATCGACACGGACGAATACGCGCGGGTAGCAATGGCCGGAGATTTAGCGGTGAGCAGCTCATCGGATGCCGATAGTGATCCGGAGATGGACAGTGACCATGAGCAGCTGATAGCGCCACCTACCACAGTTGTTTAAGGAGACTGCCAACTAAAAAAAAAGCATATATTGCCTACGAGATAGGCAACCAACAGTGCATGCACACATGCACACTAATCATTTCACATACACAATCAATTTTATTCACTTTATTCACCAGTTTTGAGGCGTTTCTTTACACACATTTTTGCTGGGAGAGTATTATTTTGCCGCTATTTATCATTTTTATATTCGAACTTCTTGAATTGCGTCGGATTTCTAGGGAGATGATAAATTCTAGTAGCTGACTATGTGGCGCACGAAAAACTCGATACACACCTTGTATACAAAAAAGAATCCTAACTATTTTGCTTACGACAAATTGAAACATTGTACATACACTATGCTGGATATGTGTTTACGTGTACGCCGAGGCAGGAGGGACAGTAAGATGTGATTTGTGTTCATATTCTATTTAAAGTTTTGTTAATTTGTTTTTTTTGCGTCGAAGTGATTGTCGAGATGTGCAGAGGCAATTTCATCGCATATTATATACATATATTATCATTAATGCCTAGTCAAATTACAAAGAGATATTAAAGTAACATAATTTGTCAGTGAAGATGACAATTTGTCAAATTATTTCGATGATTTAGTGTCATTTTTGTTGTTGAGTGTAATTTAAAGCTGTTGAACTGAAAAACGCCGCCATGTCTAAAAACGAACCGTACGATGACCCAAAACTGAAAGGATTTCAAAGATATTTCAATAACTACACGATTCGTGGTCGTTCAAATGTAAGAAAAAGAAATTTACGTCTTTTAAGATTATAATTTGGTGTGTTTTAGGTGGCAATTGCTACATTTTCAGGTTTGGCATTGATTTTTGTCTACAGAAAGCTTTTCAAGAAGAAACCCATTGACCCAAGTGATTTTTAAAGATTCGTGTAGAGTGGGTTGCCTATCATGGAACACCATCGACTAAATTTGACAGTTTTTACATAACAACTCTACGCACTACAGTTTTATGTTTTGTCTCTTTCTTACACATTGTTAAATTTATCATTGATCGCACACGTTTGTTCACATTGCATCCATTCCTGCGCACCCTGAGCACATTATACGCTCAATCGCAAAATCATTTTGTTCGTAAAACAACAAATTTCCAAAGAACGTAAGTGCATTCTATGATGTAATTCCCGGATTAGTGTTAATATTGTGTTTTATTATAGAAAATGGCTGGTGGTGATGATGCTGCAGCAGCTAAGGACTTGAAGGGTCTGAGCAAAATCTTTAATGGAGCCACTACCAGAGGAAGGGCGCATGTAAGATAATATTATATTATTTAATATAATATAAACAATTAGGAGTAAGATGTTAATTATAATCATAAATTTCAGGTTGCAATGGCCACCTATGCAAGTGTAGGACTTTTGGTAGCTTATTTCACCCTTAAACCCAAATCCAAGAAGTAATCATGTATCTAATTGTGTGTAGATTAATAAATATTTGTTAGAAATATCAATTTATGAGGTTTTGTTCATGTACTTCTTTTGTTTTTGAAGTTTTTAAGAAATTGAGGTTATAAAATGCAAAAGTAAAGAAATAACATTAAAAGAAGAGTTTATTACGTGTAGCCACTCATAAAACGTGTTATATTGGGAAGAATTTGCATTTCTACAAAATTTTGGTGTCATTTTTACCCTAAAATACGGTTTTAATTCATTAAAAAATTATATACATTGCATAACATCTGTAACATGTAAGTATTAATAAACACCACCAGGTGGCGCTGTTGTATGTTTTGAAATTGCTACAGCTGTAAACCATCTGGTTGCCTATATAAAACCACCGTTCAAATTATTTCCAACTTCACGTTGATTAATTTCTGTGCTTTATCACTGTGACTGCAATAAAACGAAGTATCCCTTAAGTAAAACGTCCTTCGAGGAATATTCAAGCATTTATTCTTGTGCGTTCGACCTTTGTGGACCTCATACCAACTAAAATAACCATAAAAGTAAGAACTTTTCATTTTGCGCGCTGTGCGTCTGCAATATCCGTTCACCATGTCAATATTAATGTAATACGACCCCGTTGTGAGGGTGCGAAAGGTACAGCACATTGTAAAAGAGATTTTCTACCTGCCGCACACAATCGCTACATGAAAGCATTACTTACTTTCGAATGGTGCGGCCTTAAGCAAAGTGCACGCATGAGTACTGGAAATAAAAGACGCCAAAGAAACGAAACGAAAAAAAGGTTGGCGTACACCTGGTCCGGGCGTCCTTAAAAGAGAACAAGCCAGGAAATTTCTTGCGTGAATCGCACCGAACTGTTCGTAAAGTACAGTAAACAAAACGTCTCTATTTATCGAGGTGTCACTGCGTATCCTGCAGCTACCGGGTAGCAGCAATAATGGCAGTAATTAATCGGCGGCGCGCAGTCACGTAAAAAAAAACGCGTAGAAGAGAAAAAAAAGTCCCGTTGTGCGTTGAACCTGCTGCCTGTAGAGTCCTACATTCACACAACATAGAGCGTTCCCGTTAATTTCGTCTCCCAGATTTATTCGGCGCGGATATATAATGCGTGGAAACGAGCGCTCCAAGCGCTCGGTGTGGCTCATGCGTACGCGCAGTTAGGAGCAAACAGAAACAAAAGAAGGCGCCGAAGAGCGGCGAAGAGAGACGAAGCGGACAGGGTCGTCCGCGAGAGCTGGCTCGCTCGCCAGACGGCCGCCATCTTGACGAGCAGCGCCATTGCCTGTGCGTGCGTGCATATACGTCGCACACACGCGCACCGCTCCCCAGTGTGTGGTAGTTGGACTGCGGAGGCAGTGCAAACCTCTCTCAGCCTGAGTAAAACAAACTCACATCATTCAACACGAATCGCCCTTTGGAAATTCAGCAAAGCATCAATTTTCAATCACCGCACAGTCCGTGTATCGCGAGTGCGCGCCTTGTACAGTTAGAAAACAATTAATTCGCGTGTTGTGAAACTGTTATTGCCCCGCATCTGGCCGCACGGGCGTGCGCGCGACTGTGTTGGTGTGCTGCTGGCGCGTAAGGACAAGGGATATATTCCGATATTTACCCGTGTGCGGAGTGTGAGTGCGTACGTACGTATTCGATCGCGACTTTGAGCCGAGGACGGACGTTCGCCTATTGTGGCCCGGGGTCGGCGGGGCCCCGCACGCGCACCTCCATGGCGTGTTTACACACGCTCAAGCAGGAGATTCGCACGCTCGAGGAGATCTTCCCGAAGCACCACGACCGCTTTCAGATTGTCTCAGCGAGCGTCGACGAGCTCAGCTGTCGTTTCATCGGCAAGAATGGCAAGAAATACGAAATACACGCCAATATCACCGTAAGTTCAACACTTCCAATATTCTAGAATGATTTATTTGTATTTTATTTTGTCTATGTGTGCGCGCATGATGTGTTTTGTGTTTACACAGCATGTTATTGTTAGCGTTTGCACTGTTAGAATCAACAACTAAACAATTGACGCACGATATGCAGCGCCATACTGAAATAAACTAACAAATTTTGTGGTTTTTGCGTTGCCAGGAGACATACCCATCAGTGCCGCCCGTATGGTTTGCTGACTCAGAGGAAACCAGCATAACGAACGCCGTGCAGATTCTATCCAACACCGAAGGGCTGGATAACCACGTCCTGCACCAGGTGTCAATACTGCTCAGAGAATTATGTCGGCTGCACGCGGTGCCCGAACCGCCTGACGTCAACCGACTGGTGATACAACATCCACAGATTACGAATAGTCGGTAAGCATACACACATTCACTCCACACTCCCAAGGTTACCAAATATAATGCAGCATAATATTTTTCTCAATATTTTGTAGATTAAGTGGTGTGGAACAAATGGAAGATGAAGGACTAGACAGTGAGCAAGATGCTGAAATGGTTGATTCAGAAGCGGAGGCTGAGGATAGTGACGCTGAAGAGGATCTAGGAATGGAAATGGATGATGGGCGGTCGAAGAATGAAGAGATGGGCGTGGAGAATCTCGCGACACTCGAACGCCTGCGGCAGAATCAGCGCAAAGATTACCTCAAGGGCAGTGTTTCCGGGTCGGTGCAGGCGACCGATCGTCTGATGAAGGAGCTGCGCGATATCTTCCGCTCGGAGTCGTTTAAGGCGAAGATGTACGAGATTGAGCTGGTGAATGAGTCGCTCTACGAGTGGAACGTTCGTCTCATGGCGGTGGACCCCGACAGTCCGCTATCGCACGATCTCGCGTTGTTGAAGGAGAAGGAGGGCAAGGATAGCATTCTGCTGAATATGCTCTTCAAGGACACGTATCCTTTTGAACCGCCGTTCGTACGCGTCGTATATCCAATCATATCAGGTAATTTTTGTGTAAATTTTAGTATAAAAGTGTTTTTTTAATGTTTTTATAAATATTTTAGGTGGTTATGTATTGGTGGGCGGCGCAATCTGCATGGAACTGCTCACGAAGCAGGGCTGGTCGTCTGCGTACACGGTGGAGGCGGTAATCATGCAGATATCGGCGACGTTGGTCAAGGGCAAGGCGCGGATACAGTTCGGCGCGCCCAAGGTCTGCTCACAGGGACAGTATAGCTTGGCGCGAGCGCAACAGAGTTTTAAATCACTCGTACAGATACACGAAAAGAACGGTAAGTAAATTTTTCATTTCAAAAATTTATTCCACTTTAAAAACACCCTGTATAATATTTTAAACAATTTCTAGGTTGGTTTACACCACCGAAGGAAGACGGCTAAGAAGACTGCATCATTATCATCCACACCTTTCCCAAAACACACACACCAACACACAAACACACCCACTACTATAATAAATAAATAATTTACGCGATTAGGTCGGAAAATCCAAAACGAGCGTGATTTATTCGAATGCATATTGTCGGCGCGGCCAATCAGAGGCATGTCGAAACACATTCACATTCGTCGCGATAATATTTACACAATTCTAGTGCCTGAGTATAGCGCACAATCGAATGCCGCCGCCAAACACTGCTCAGGTGATCATGATGATGATGATGATATGCTGGTGGAAATTAATCTAAATGCGTTATTTTGTAAAACGTAGCCGTAGCATTAACGATCTAGCGTAAAAAAAAACTATGAAAAACATTAACAATGGCATGATAGCATGGTGTATCTGTGATTTATATCTATACAATTAATATTAGTTGATAGTTATCGTACACGTGTAAGTTAATCATTTACGCTTAGTTGTACTTTTAAGTTTAGACGGCCGCCGCGGAGTGTTTGGTGGCGTTTAACGAAAGCAATGCGGACGCAACGAAGAAAATTGGAGATTTTCTTTCTTTTTGATTTTAAATGAATTTACACAGGATTTTGTGAATGCTTGACTCTGATTGGTGCGCAATAATTGAATTGAGATTTCGGAAGGGTTAACTATACTTGTGATGTTTATATTGATACTAATTTAACGATTTTACTTAGAGAATGATTACGATTCTTTCAGTCGCGCGACTTATTTCTTATCGTATAGTAATAATGGCATAATCGTGAGTATCGTATCGAATTAATTTACGTTTTTTTATTTAGATTTTTTCGTTTTTTCTTTGTGCGCTTTGTTCTGTTCTCTGCTCGCAAGCAAATCGATGCAATAATGATGTAACAAGATATGATTGAGGAGTATACACACACATAACACACCTGCGCCCACTAAACATGATGAGAACCTAATCGTAAAGACAAGAATAGACTTAATTTTGTAAATATGTATCTTAACTAGTAAGCGACAAGAGTAGGCGGGTGTACTCGATAGGGTACGTGCATAATACACACACTGACACTCACCACCAACACACACACACTCTGCAGACTTTTACCGATGTTCATCGATTCATTGTAGTCTTACGATTTAATAATTGCGGCCGTTTCGACTGGTTTTTTGCTCGGTTTGCGTTCGGTGTGGTTGTTTTCCACATGAATATCGAATCTCTCTCTCGCGCTGGACATGCAGCCAACAACTTAGCCGCCGCCACCCCCCTCTCTACCCTTCTCTACCCGTTTATCCGACGAGTTTAAATATTATTCTTTCGTACGAGGATTACTTATTCTAATATAAATACTATTATATATGATATATGATTGGAAATATGAAAAACATTGCTGTAAATATTACTTATAAATAATACGATGTGAGTATGTGGCTTTTAAGTTTAATAAATTACACATTAATTCAATTTTGGCTCGCAAATGCAAGATTTTCTTTAAAAATACAAAGAAAAATTGTTTTTTGTTGAGTATTGTTGTGATGTGTATATTGGGTTGCCTATAGTCAAACATCGAAATGTATTTTATTGTTGATAGTAATATTTTATCTATTATTTTCATTTTCTTGATAAAAACATAAACAAACTTTAGTATTGTGTGTATTTTTAATAAAAATACAACAAAACACTATAAAAAATTGATATCTATCATTATTTTTCATATATAATAAGTATTTATATTGTTTTTATTTATAAATTCTAAAAAATTAGCAATATTTTAACTCAAACTACGTATTTAATGTAAAATATAATTGTTATTTTACTTATTTAATAAGTTTACACTGTAATACTCGCAATTTTCCATGAGTTTATTGTTATTTCTCCTAATTTCTAGATGTTTCTAGTGTGACATCTGGTAACATTTGTTCGCTTGTGGTTGGCAGCGCCGCTCGCACTGTCGCACAGCTCGCAGCTCTCGCGGTCTCTGTGCAACCTCCTGACGTATTTTTTGTATGGCGAAAATTCGTGTACCAAGTGGTGGCAGTTTATCGCGTCGCATCGCCGGCCAGCACCTCGTCGCTTATCTATCGGACAAACGACGGCATTCACCCGAGGCGTAGATGAAGGTATTTATCTCCATAGCGGACGCGGGCGCCGATAGTGGTCGCACCGCGTACGCGCTCTTTGCATGTCCAGCAAGTTAGTCTTATTTCTATTCGCGTATCTCACACTGCGTGCGCTTGCAATTCCGCGAATTCATTTGATACACACAATAAGACTCTCATTTTACATCTAATTACTGCATAATAAACCGAGTGCGATCACTCGCAGGTTCATTGTCTCTACGTGTTTCTCTCCTTGCGCGCGTGCGTGTGTATGTGTGTTGTGCGTGTGTGCGGTCTGCATTTTTCTTGTTTACCATCCACTGCGCGTCGCGATGGCGAAATACTACAATCAGCACCAATCCTATCACTACTATAGTAAATATCACCGGTTAAATACTGATTCTTCAGGATTTTATTAAATTAACCGTGGTGTAAATGGTGGTAATACTAACGTGATATTTGTTTGGTGTTTGTGTTGTGGTTGGTGTATGTATGCAACTTGTTATACACCAAATTCTAACCTGGTATGTTTCTATGTTTTGTAGGTTATATTATGCCGAGGAATTCAAAAGAGATCAGTAAATATGAGAACAACGGTTCGGCGCGGCGCACGCAGACGTTCATGTCGGCGGAGGACCTCGCGTCGGGCAAGAAGTCCCTCTGGACGGAGATGGAGATAACAGGCACGATACGCAATCTCAGTCCTAACTTGTTCCGGCTGTCGCATCTGACCGCTCTCTACCTCAAGAACAACATGCTGTCGCGCATCTCGCCCGACATTGCTCAGCTGATCAACTTGCGCACGCTTGACTTGTCGTACAATAAACTGCGCTCGCTGCCTGCTGAAATCGGGGATCTTATTAATCTCAGGTAAATATTTCATAATTTTTAATTATTTTTAAAATTTTTACCTAAAATACCTAAAATTTATTGATTTACATTTATCCAATATTTTTCTTTAAATAGATTATCCTATTATCCCATAATCCTGTTGAACTCAGTTGTAAGTGTTGTGCTTGAACAGCCTGAATGGTCTTTAATGGATGGAATTTCATTTTTAGGGAGCTGCAGCTAAGCCATAACAACCTGCGTATCTTACCCTATGAGCTGGGCAAGTTGTTCAATCTGATTGTGCTGGGACTGCAGGGAAATCTGCTGAATAAGGATATCATGTCCATCTACAGCGAGCCGAATGGTACCCACAAGCTGCTCACGAACATGCTCGACAATCTTCAAGGTAAGTTCCTCTTTTTATCCCACATTTTATTCTGTTTATTATTTAAATTTATTTTTTCTACGTACAACTTGTATATTCACATCGAGTATATTGGGTTGCATATAGTTTGTACATTTTTGACATTAATAGGTTGTTGTGTTGTTTAAAATTCTTGGTACTTGAATAATGTTTAGGTTTTTAGTATAAAAATCTCTAAAATGTTATGGAAATCGACACGTTTCGCGTTGGGGTAATCACGCATTGCCCGCACGTAGATCGTATTTAAAATCACGTACACACGATTTAATAACGTACGTTTCCGAGTAAACAAAGTTGGTTTTTTCTTGCGATGGTCGTTTATGAGTTTTACCTCGGTTGCCTCGAACGAATGTTTTGTCTGCTGGACGCAGGGTTTCATTTATGGTTTACACTTAGTGTTTTTTGTATCCTGAAATATACAAAGTGATTTAAATCATTCCCATTTTGAAAATATAAACAAATTTGGTAAAATATTCAACTATTTAGTTAATTATTTTGTTACAATTTATATAATTAACTTAATTTTTATATCATTTACTTTTATTTTTATCATTTTAATGTTTTAGTTAATTTTATCGCTGTTTCTTTACGAGTTTTCTTGTTTACTTGTTCTTGTGATAGTTAAATTCGACGTATTTGTGTACCCATCTTATCTCTAGTTGTAAGTCGTGATTGAGTCATTCGGCGCGCACCGAAAAAAGACGACTGCTGCAAATTGCGCTCGTAAAAAGCGCGCGCATTTTTTTCTTCTCTTCTCTCGCTGCTCTCGATGTGGTCATGCGTGGGAACCGCGAATCGCAGGTCGAGCTTCCGATGATCCCGAACCGAAATTAAGTTGTTTAAATAAATTACCAACGGTTAATCAGCGCTCATAATTAAACACAGTCACATTAGCAGTATAATAACTTTAGTTGCTTGTAGGTTTTTTATATTGTAGTACTTGTTGAATTTGTCACTCTTGATCGCACGCGATTGTTGCTGGCTGCGGCGTGCACAGACGCCTGGCGGTGTGTAAACCAGGCCAAATGATTTCTACACGGATTTTATTCTTGTATTATATTTGGGTTGGTAACAATCGAATTATTCGGCGGCCTAACACGATTCACACATTCACAAACGCAGCGAAGAGAAGTGAAGGAATTGTGTGTTTTCTTAGGTAGATAATTTGAATATTTATATTTAATCATAATTGCCTCAACGCTGGCAGGCTTTAATTAGGATGTGTGCGAGTGTGACAACCAGCGACATTGTTTACAAATTTTTACTGAAAACTAGCGAATATTAACACAGAAACCTCTATTTTAGAATTATTTTCTTGTAATTTTAATAGAAATTTAAATTTTAATGCGTTTTGGTTTGAAAATTGTGTTTAAACACAACTAATTTTAATTATTTTTGGTATTTTGATAGATTTTACGTTTAAAAACAACATTAGTACATTTTTTTCGTGAAAATGTCACTCAAAAGACTTTTTACGATCAAAGTATAAATTACTTATATATAGTTATATTTTGCTATACTAGATGGCACTAGGATGCACTTATTTGCATTAAATATGATTTGTATGTGGTAGTGAGTGCACATCGTGTCGGTGTAAGATCATGCGATTTCGTGCAAGAGATAAACTTGTTTACATACAAAAATCAAAAATCGTATCTTCGTTCGACGTTCTTGAGTTCTTTCTCTGAAATACGCAATATTTTTATTTACAATTTCATAGCTTTAAATAAATGCAAATTATACATAAATAGTAAAAGTTATTATTAAAATTATTATTTGTTATTAGAAGAAATATTTCTATAAAAGGTTAACGCATAACATAAATCTTTTTATTTATTAATTGTATTCTTAATTATTGCAATTATGTTTAAATATTGCAAACAGTGACATTATTTTCATGCCAGCAGTGAGAAAATGTAGTTTTTGTTGATGTCAGGAGTTTTTACACTCTCTTTGGTAATCCATGCAATGCAACTTGTTTATTTATGTAAATAACTTTATAGTTTGTGCATAGATGTCGCTAGGATGCAGTTAAATGCAATAAATGCGGTTTGCAGGTGTGAATTAAGTTAACTTAACGCGCAGTGTCCATGTGAGGCACATCTTTATGTCAATACTTAAATTTATCTTCATTTAAGTCAATATCTAAGTTTTTTCTTCAAAATATTTACAATTTTTCGCAATTTTACAAAAATTATTATTTTCTTCTGTGAATCTTTAGTTTCAAACACATTTTGCAACATAATCTAAGATTAAGCACCACGTTTGTCTTGCCCAGTGCTCACATTAATTACGTATAATAAAGTATTTCGATTAGCGCAGTCATCGAGTAATTTACGAGCGATGCGTGTTTATCTGCGTGCGCGCACCGCGCGTCCAGTTGTTAATCTCCACTGCGATCGTTTTCCGCGCGAATCCTCGGCGCGCTTTGCGTGCGTACATCGATATCGACGATTTAATTATCGATAGGCATTTCCAGGAATCCGGCGGCAACAATCGCCGCTGCTCATTATTCTCATAATGCAATGGTAATTGTAATTGCGGCACATCTCGACACCGACCGCGGCGGGCCGATATTTATTATTATTAAACGCCGATATCGATAAGGATCACCTGCAACGCACTGCGCGAGAGAGATCGTTACGGCGGGAATTTATTGCCGCGTCAAAACTATACGTTTACGAAAATTTTACACGCGAAAAATTACATTTTTATATTTAAAAATAATAAAATTTATTTTTTGGTTGAATTTTAATTTAAAACGTTTAAAATTTACATAAAAATTTATTATTTTTTATTTTTTGGTTTATAATAATTGTTTTTATTTGTTTTTCCGCCTGTATGATGCATTTATTGGCTTTGGCTCTGATAAAAGAGCGATAAAACGCACAATCGGCTTTCGCTTTTGTTGCCCTTGTGTCTTCTTTCTCTCCGCGGCTCTCCTCCGGAGTTATATTTATTGCGCAATTACGTGGTGCATGTTCACCGGCATTAGACAATACACCACGCGAATAATATACCGATTATTTCGCAACCGACTGCTCTCTGGCCGCGTTGTTTAATTAGGGAAAAATTTCCACAGAATGTGCCAACATGCAGTATGCATAACTTTGCTGAACTAATATCGCGCTTGCTTTTGTTTCGGACGCTGGCCGCAGATATCTGCGTGATAACACTGTGAACATGCTTTTGTTTACTTTAGTTTTAGTTTTTATTTTTTTCTGGTTGTTGTTTTCATGTTGCTTGGTAAGTTTGTAATAATTTTTACATTGTTATGTAGTACTCTTGGGTATTTATTGCGCGCGCGCACAGCGTAAGCTAAGCAGCTTCATTTTGCTCGGAGGCTCTGGCTCTCTGTGTGTTGTGCTCTGCGGTTTATTACGTAGGACACTTTGTGGACTTATTATATTGTTCCATTGTGTTGGCGAAACAGGATCGAAATCGGAAATTTCGTATTGTCGATTGTTGTAACGGGCGAATTTTAAACAATCGAAGCACTTAGTAAATCAAATTGGAGGTTTGCAGGATATAAATTAATATTAGATTGTTGCATTGTTGTTGATGTTTTTTATTTCATGAAAAATGTGTCAATATTATACATTTGCATGTAGAGCAACCAGAGAATTTCATTATTAGGTAAATCGCGATCGTAATTTATCAATTACTCGAAAACTAGTGAAGAAAAATGGATTATTTCTTCAAATATTTGTTTAGTATTCAATTATTTATCTAAATCAGTAATAATTTTAATTATAACCATTTTTAATCAAAAGTTATAGGCATTTTTCTGTAAGTTTTAATTTTTTTAATGAAAATTCAACTTTAAGTGTTTATAACTTTTATTGCAAAATTTTAATTAACAATATTTTTGTATAGGTAAACATAGAATTTAATTACGAATCTACTTCTAAAACAATCATACCTTGAGCATGAATAATTTTCGAATAATTGCGCTTTGAACTTTAAATTTTCTTTGTTTTTCAAAAGTGCATCCATGTAAAGAGCACCGATATCCATCTCTTTATATTCTCTGTTTGCACAGCGTCTAAGGTGAAAGTTGCGATTTGTAATTTATAATCGCGCAAAAATTCTATTTCTATCCACTACTCTACATCGATGTGCAATGCAACGCGCCGCGCTGCGAATTATTCCCAACGCGTCGGCGAGCAAAAAAAACCCATTAGTTGTATTTATTTTCCTACTAATTGTAGCGAGATACTCTGCTCTAGTGTAATTATGTCCAAGTGGCAATTCGATTGGTAGATTTCGGTTTCTTCAACATTTACTCCTCTCTCTAGCGAGGAGAGGCCCAGTTTCGTATAATTACACTCGACGAATACAATTACAGTGGTGCAGAGCAGAGAGTCAAAGGTGTAATCGAAATCGGCCACAACGATCCGATGCGGAAACGACAGAGGCGATTCTTTTATGGGATCGTCTCTTGGTTTCGGCTCTTGACTTAGTTGGTCATGTAATGAGCAAAACGTTCTCTCATTGCTTTCGAAACGTAAACGTAACGTGCAAATGTATAGTTTGGTGTGGTATTTGCCTCCTGCGATGTAAATGTTCCTCCTAAATGCCAAAGTATGGCCTAATGTAATACGCGACGGAATTGCTTCTTATTGGGACGTAGGTAGACATCGTTTGTATGTAAAAATTATTTAATTTAAATCTTGCGCAAAAGAAAGCGCGCAATGATTGTTTTTTAAATGTCTAATGATGATTACACCTGAATAAGGAATTTTATTCAATTTTATTTGTCAAGTTGGAATTATTTTATCGATGCTAAGTGTAATCACAGATGATTGCTATGCTCAATGTCTTGGATTGCTTCACTGCTTCATGGTCTTTGCGCATTATTATACGCGCGGCGCGTACGTTCTCCGCTGCTGCCTGCTGCAAAGAAGCGAATTTGCAACTTTTCTTTCGCTATGCTATGCTATGCGAGGAGAGGAGTAAGCGCTTCTCGGTTTCGCGATTGTCTCGATTATAAAATTCAATAATTTATCATCGCGCCGGGCGAAATGTAGGTTGCCTGATTGGTGTTATTGGTACATTACATATTGAGTATCACCTACGTGTTTTGCTGTTGGTGTGATGGCTGCGATTTCCTTTCTAAATTCAATGACTGCGACTTGAATGCGCACATCAGCTTATCGCGAAAGATGTGCTTAATTTTGATTAAATTGGAGAATACTGCGTATTGTATTTCGATAATAAAGTAATTCATCAATTGTCGTGTTTATGGGTGGTGATCAGTTTAAATGAAAAGCGATAAGATGCAATTAATACGCTCAATATAACTTTTAAATTGAAATATTTACAGTGGTTTATTTTATCACGTTTTAACGAGGTGACAATACGCAATACTTTTATATCGACGAATAAAAATTATCAAATATTGTGATTTTACGCTGATTGGCATCTGTTTAATCTTTTATTGCGCCGGTTATAAATTCAATTATTGTCGTATAAATGCCGGTAAATATTTCCTGAAGTCTAAATATGGATTTCGCGTCGTTCAGTTGTATTCACTTGTGTTATGTTTAAATGATTTTGTTGTAACGTAACGTGCATCCCAAGAAATTAGCTGAAAAATCGTGCTTAAGTTATAGAAATTTGCATTGCAATTTATAGGGATGTTGGGATCATAATTACAACAATATTTCAAATGTTACCATTGATGTCATGTCATTTGAAAAAATATTCTAAGACATAATTGCTAGAAATGAAAATATTTTTCGTCGTTACACAGAGAAACTGTAACACTATAACGAGAAAATTAATATAAATCAACTAAATTGTACAAATTTCATCGTTATACTCAGTTTTTCGTTAAATCGAGGCTACACTGTATTAAATTTTGTTGTCCAATGTTGGACTTGCTGTATACACACCGAACATAGGCCTCCCAATGTAATTTTCGTAACCACTTTGAACAAATTTCGCATTTATACGATTTTTTTCATTTAATCGGGTTCTGTAGATAGATTAACATTCATATAACACATTTTAAACGCAAACAGAACGAGCACAACGGAAGTGGCAGCCATAATACGCGCCTGAATTCGAATCGGTAGCGCGGCGAGATTAATCTGTGTGAAGTTTGATGAATCCGATTGTGCCTAATGAGCCCAACATTGGTGAAATTGACCCAATTTTCTCTTCGCCGTTCGCGTTTCGAGCGAGAGTAATAACACCGTTTGCAGCCGCCGCAGCAGCCAGCCAGACAAGACATTGAAACGACGCCGTGTCTGTCTGTCTCTGCATCGCGGCGACGACATTGAAATATCTTGTCCGAGTGGCAACTTGTTGTTGCTATTTGCTAGTTATTGCTACTTATTGTGCGCGCACATGTGCCACTCGGCCAGGTGCCTCGGCAGCATTCATTAAACACACACACATACACACGAATGTAAAAGTACTCTTGAGGTGGCTGCGATGATTAGCACATTAGTTTCCAGTAGGAAAGCCAACATCCGAGCTTTCTCACCGCGTGTGTTTGCAGATTATGTATTAATTACTTTTGCGGCAGGCTGCAGCCACAGCCACATATTCAACATGTCAATGTTGGATGTGTAAATGTGTGCATGATGATTGCGGCATCTGTGAAGACATAAGTAGCATGTCTTACATTCGCGTGGAATTGGCAATGTTGCAAATATGGTCTTCTTCTTTTTCGCGCAACGCTGCGTTGAGTTACGCCGCACATTTATTAAGGAAGTAGAACAAACCAAATACGCTTTAAGCGTCCAAATATACTTAGAAAAACATATAAATAGTTAGTTATGTTACATTTTATTTAAAAAAAAAATTTTTTACTGCACTTCTGATTAACATAACGCGAAAAATGCAATATGTTCATAATTGGAGAGTAAAAGGCAATTGCCAAGTTATATTACGCATTGGTGAATCGCCTTTTACAACGCACCGCAGTGTATTAAAAATGTTTTGCGTTTTGAAAAAAAATTAACTGGATATATCTACGTATTTAGGTAGCAGCGCGCGGCCGCATTGCTAATGGTGATTACGATTAGCATTAGACGCTCCGACCTAGATAATTAAACAGTGAGTAATGCGCATGCGGACAATTAGATTTTACGCCTGTCCGAGGGGGTAATTAGCGGCGAAAAAGGCTGAAAAATAACGCCGCAATTATATACGTGCGCTCGCGCTGCGCCAAACACTTTTACTTAGTTTACTACGCGTCTATTATTTTGTTTTTGCGCGCGTGTGTGGATTTTCTTTTGATTGCGTTTTCTTTTGACTTAACAACTGCGCGCGTTGCGAAGACTTTCTTTCGACTCGCTCGCGCGCGCGCGCGGTTTTGTAATTTTACGATTGACGAGGCGATTTTATTGCTTATTGATTCAAATTGCTTGTTTCCGCGCTATCAAGTAAATGCCATTTTAAGAAGCTGCGCAGCACGAGAGAAAAATTAACTTACAGAGTGTCCAATGGAAATTTTAATGAAGAATTTTGTTTGTTTAACAAAATAAACACTTTGTATAATCGTAGACATCACACATTGAAACGGAAATTAATAATATTCCCAAACGACTGCTTCCTGAAATTATCACAGTTTTTATTTTTATTTTTTATTTTTCGGTTTATTTGGTTTTATACCGCGTTTTCAAGGTTTAACAGAGTTTATAATAAATTGCTTATTAGTTTAATGATTTTAATACAGTTTCTACTCGTCCTAGTCGCCGGCTTGTTATGTTGATTAGCTGTCTAGTTGTTTTATTTTTATTGCGCATGCGCGCGAAAAATTTCTACGTTATTTTCTCGACAATCTAGTTAACTTTTTCTCTTTATTGCTTGCGGTTGATATTAAAAAGTTGTAATTGTTAAATTTTTATTTTGACCGAATTGTTTCTTGATTCTTTTTAACTTTGTTTTTGCGCATTGCTTGTTCAAACATATTTAATGCTGCTGTGCTTTTATTTCGCTTACTTTATATCTACTTGGCATCGAATGAATGGGATGCTAAGCTTAAGATACCGTTTATTTTGATCAATTTACAGTTAATGACTGTTTTTGAAACTTTATGCGCGCACGAGGCGCGTATGGAACACATACGCCCGACGAGACTGGCAAAAACAGAGCGCAGAGCTCGCTGGTGAATTTTTGGTCGTGCAGCGATCGAGTTTTCAATTTGAGTTATTTGCACGGCTAGAAATTGTACATTGTTTTATCGTGCGCCATTGATCTCGAAACATAACAGTATCGAGTGTGTGATTGACGGGAATGTTGAATATTCAAGTTGAGAGTTGATGCAATTTTTTTTTCGCTGGGATTTTACATTTCTCTTGAATATGAAATTTTCTTGTACGCTGTGTAGTGCAGTGCAACTTTCTAGCTATTTCACGATCATGATCGTGTTTTTGCTCCTCTTGCTCGCCACTTTCTATATGGATTTTATAGGTACTAGAATCATTACAGTTGTAAGATTTATTTCACTCGGAATGTTTTAATTAATGCGCGCGGCGAGCGGCACAAAAAATATTAGCGTTATAGATTAATTGCCCAAATCCTTTTATTTGCGCTCATCAAACGCTATTATCGTTTCTAATATTCATTTTTACACCGTTAAGAGTAACGCTGCTTTTTCTTCTTTTTCTTTCTGCTAAACACATTACCTCAGTGTGTGTGTGTGTGTGTAACTGTGTTACAAATATTAATTTTCGACTGAGTTTTGTATTGATATTTATACAATGTGTAGTAAAATTGATGGTGACCCCGACCTAGAAAATGAAACCGCCGCCGCCGACGCGCGCGTTGTGGCCCGTTCCCAAAAAATCTCTTTGCTTCCTCGGCTCGGCTTTCTTCTTTGTGCCCACTTGATTCTTGTTTTTTTTTGTTCTTTTCTCCTGGTCGTTAACTTGCGCGGCTTCTTCTTCTTCTTCTTGGGTCGTAAAGTGTGCATGACGACGCGTAACATTAAACCCATCAATTCGAAGAAAGCGCCTGCTTTTTTTCTTCTTCTGCGCCTCCTCTATCTTGATTCTCTACTCTTCTCGGCGTGAATCATTCGGCGCAGGGCTAACCGGGTCATCGCACGTTGTGGCCTACCTATAAACTTTCTTCTTGTTGTTCATCATCACATGTGAAGTTATCATTTATTCATTGTTTGCACCTGTTGGTGTGGTGTCACTCTTTTGATTTTTCTGTTTTTATTCTTGGTTGTTTTGTTGTCGATAGAAAATAAGCATTGAAAGGAGAGTGACCCAGTTGTGTGGGCGGCTGGAAACGAGTCTTTTTTCTGTAAGATGCATCAACTTGAGTGCGTGTCGGCTGCGTGCTTAAGTCAAGCTGCTGCGGGTCTTCTTGAGACCCCTGCGACGACGCATCCGACGAGACTCGGTCTCTCGGTCGGCCGAACGCGCACCAAGAATAAGAAGACTCTTGTTGTGTGAGAGCTGGTGCTGCCGATGGCGTGTTTACTACGTGTCGGTGTGTGCCGGCTCTCCGAGAAGTAGGTTACTGCAGTCCTCCTCAGCGCACACGCATACACAATGTTGAAATAATTTTAAAAACTAAATTTTTTAAATTTTAATACAATTTTCTTATAAATAATCAAAATATTTTAATTAATTTAAAGAATTTTTGAGTAAAAATTTGATTTAAATGTGTAATGTGAGATTTTAAAGTGACTTAAGTTAAGTCTTGAGCATTTTCACTGGTTGTGTATAAATGTATAGAGCCCCACTGCTCTTTATTCATGCATCCACACAAGTCTCGATTGCGCCGCGCGCCGGGCTGCTGGGTCTCCTCGCGACGTGCCGGCCCGCCACCATTCGTTACTACTTCCATTTGGAGAGCGGCGCGCCGTCGACGGTGGCGTGCGCACAACACACAACTTGCGGTTGTGTGTACGCGCGGTGTGTTTGTTGGTGGTGTGCCGCGCGTCGAATGCTCGAAAGCGAGTCAGTCTGGCGCTGACCGCACGACGCACTCGCACGACGCTCAGCGCGGATATTCTTACGCAACCTGCGGCGGCCCAGTTTCGACAAATCGGTTGAGTTTCGTACGTTGCCAACATTCAAGCATTCGGATATAATGAGCCCCGCGTCGTCGGGACCCTTGGAAGTCGAACGCTACATTGGTGCCTGTTTGATTTCCTCGCAACAATCGCGGCATAAGAAGAACTATCATCAGCACCACCATCAGGGAGGAGGACACCATCATCAACCACAACACCACCAGCAGCATCAACATCATCAAAATGGTTTAGTACATCATCCGGATAATCTGTACAATTATCACCGGTTGCAGAGATGTAATTCCGATGGGCATTGGGCACCCAATGGTGGTGTACCTTTGCTGTATAACCACCATTATAACCCGCATGTGACCAATGAAAATCTATCGCGTCTGGCTGTACAGACACAGGGTATCCCGTTGATTTTGAGTAATAAGTATCACAATCGACGAAATAAGCATCGAAATGGAAACTTTGGTAATCCAGGTACCACAGGGACGCTTCAAACATCCACTCAACAAGGTGGTAGTAGTGGAGGTGTGCAAGTGAATGTGAAGGACCTCAAAGACGTTGGGCCCGTCAAGGGTACCACGCAGTGCACCGACACCGTGTCAATTGCAAGCGACGAAAGTTGCGCTTCCAATGCCTCGGACACCTGCCTACCACGAATTATCAAGCCTCGTAAACGCCGGAAAAAGACCGCAAACCCCAACACCACCTTAGAACCCTTCAGGTTGGTGCAGGAGGTGATTCAGCGTATTCTTCCGCACAGGACACCTGTAGCAGTAATGGTTCTGCCACATCAAGTCCAGATATAGATTATTTCGTCGCACCTTTAAATAATTACTATGGGTTTAATTATCAACATCAACAACGGCAGCATAAGATGTTGCAGGAGGAGAAGAACGAGACGCCAAAGTTGAGTCATCTCTTTGAGGATGTCCTCGAGGACCTGGACGCGAAGGATCTCAATGGTAACGAGACCTCGTGTCAGTGTCGGTATTGTGACCCCAGCGGGCAGATTTGGGACATGGATGTGGATTACCTCTCGCCGTCGTCGTTGAATTTTGGTTCCACTGGGTATTCAGACAATACACCTTCAAACCAGGCGGATTTTAATCGAGCACCTTCGAGGCCTTATCTCCGGAGGCATTCATCGGACCCGCAGAGTTTGCTGGAGAGCTTATCGACGATAAGTTTGGATGATGATTGTACATCATCTTCGTTATCTTCAGCATCCTCATCGACGTCATCGGTGCCCACAACGTTGTTGAGTGCGCCGAACTCGCCCAATCTGGAGGTGTCCACCGAGATTGTCACGTCGCACAATGGACATCGTGATTTGGAGATTAAATTCTTTAGTATTTTCTCGGGCAGTGACATCAGGGTTGATCGGAGTGTGTTTGGTGGTCAATGGTTAAGAGACACGAAGGATACTAAGTTAAGTGATGTCGAGGATGATCGAGTGGAGGAGGATAATCAGTGCACGAAATGACGAAATGCAGACGTGATCATTGTGTGATCTCATTTCTTTCTTTGCTGTTGTTGTTGTTTTTTTGTTTCGTGTGTGTGAGTTTGGTGCTGGCGAGACCAGACCAGACGCGAAACGGTTGTTTGATGGTGTTGCGAGATTAATTAGTGGGGCGCTGTGGAAACAATCGATGGACCTAATTTCCAGCCGGCGTGAATTTTTGACTGTTGTTGTGGTGTGTGCTGCGCTGGTGAAGAGTAGGTCTTGTTTGCGCACTCGAGGATGCAGTAAAACAAACGCGGATAATTGAGGAAAAGAAAGTGTGCTTTGAGCGCGTCATGCTCGGCCTGCGTGCACGACTCAAGTCAAGCCACATGCTAAGCTCTCTTCTTTCTTCTTTGGCATGAGGGGACGCGCAGAGTGCGCAAGCGCCTTTCTAAGCAAAGCGTGGCATTAGCGTTCCGTTCCGTACCGTTTCGTCGTGTAACGTCTTAAATGGTCTAACCAACCCAACGGGGCAATTGATAAACAGTATTTAAAATAAACTGTTAATCAATCAATATTTTTAAATTTTTTGGAGTCAATTGAAAATTTAGTAGATTACTATTGATTGAGTTGTTAAAATATTTTATTTCTCGTGTTGGGTTTTGAAAAGTTGGTTAGGAAGCAAATAAACGAACGATGACGGACGCGGCTCGCTGGAATTGGGTTAACAGACGTCTCACGACGAGCCGGAGTCTCGCGCATCTGCATATACACTGTGTGTTGATGATGAAGCGCTTGAAGAACGAAGAAGAAGAAGCACTGCTTTTCTCTCTGCTCTAGTGAGCGCGCTGCGCGCACATTGTGCGTGGAAAACAAAGACGCGTTAACGAATCGACTTATTAGACCTCCTCAGACCTGCTGCGCGGCGAAGAAGATTGAAGATACCGGTCAATTCGTTGAAGCAGCAAACGCATGCGCCGCGCTGCGCGCGCGTTGACTTAGTTTGGTTTCGGTGACCCACATAATCTTCTCACAAGATTTTGTCGTTTTTTTTCTCTTCGTTCATTCGTTCGGTGTGACTTTATTCTTTTACGCTTACACACACGCGTCTTGTTTATTATTCATCATTAAATTAAATTTAATGTTTTGAGTTTTTGGTTCAATTAATTAGGCGTAGATAAAGAAATGCTACGTGGTTAAATAGAAATTGGTATTTATTGTATTGGATTTATATTATTTTTGGAGTTTTTGGCTTTGGCGCACATTGCAGGGATTAATTTATTAGGTTTAAAATAAATTATTTTTTTATTGGTAGCATTTTATTGGAAATTTTTTAAACGACTGCAAATATTATGTGTGTGTCTGTGGTTTTATTTTTTTAAATTTTTTGTTATGTTTTTATTTTCCATTTTTATTTTATTTTTTAACAATTAATTTGCGTGTCTCATTATGTTCTAATTTATTTATTACGTTTATTTTCGTCATGTGTGCACGATTGTGAGTGTGCACTATATTTGTCTATAAATAAATATGTGTGTTGTCTGTCTATCTCTATCACTGATGAACGGACATCAATTTTATTTTATTTTATGTGTATTTAATTAATAATAATCTCGATTGCGTGCTTATCATTCGCAATTCATCGTAAGTTTAAAATGTTACAGGTTTTGCTTGATGACACGCAGCCTCGTAAACGTTTTCTTTGTTTGCAATTACGTGTCATCTAATTCTACATACAGATTTTACATTACGCAGATTGAACCTGTTAATGTTGTCTGGAATAATTATATCTTCATTTCTAGCGCGAATGGCACTCACTGGTGTGTCTTCATCATTGGTGCAATTTACATGTAGGTACATTGAATTTCGTTTCGTTTTTCTTTCCCGCGTGTTTCTCAATGGGACTTGTTGATTGCTTGGCCATTTTTCTTGTTTTTAATAATAGTTAATCCCGGTACACATGTCGCTGCGTGCGGACGTCGCCGGAAACGCAATGCAAATGCGTTTCAATTGCTCCACACACTCACTCCAATTAGCTCTCCTCGTTTCGTTCGTTCCTTCGTGCAGGAGGCGTATAATGCCACCACATAATACAAATCAACATATTTCATTTCCATCCACTGACCAATCCAACAAACTAAACCTCTATTTTTCTTGCATGTTACCAATGTGTAAACAATACAACACGATTTTTTCGATGTTGTGTTGTTGTTGGTGTTGTGTGCTTTGTTGCGTTTAACATTTTCCCGGCGTGTTTTATGCGTTGTTTGCGCGCATATTTCTCCACGCCAATGTCTGTCATTCTCATTGTTGTTGTCGCGCACCCGCTGCGCAGAAGAAGCGCGAGATCCTCGCCACGGAGTAGTTTACTGCGTGCCGACGTCTAGTCGCTGCGCTAGTGGTAGTGAATAGTCGTAGAATGGCGATCAAACGCAGAAAGATTTTATTCAACATGCGATGTATGCGTATTTGAATGTGTGTGTGTGAGGCGCAAGTGAAACGCAACAAGTTACAAGCTACATGCGGTTGCCGTAAAGTTTCACCGGTGGCATTGCGGCGGCACCTTGGAGCTGACACAGCTAATGCTAAGTAAGCGGCGCGCTGCAAATCAGGTGAAATTTACGTCGACCCGGCTAGATTTTCCTACTTCAGCGCGAATATACCGCATGCACACGTAAAAACACTTTAAAAACGATATTCTAGTATTGCCATCTGGTGGTGAGTAGCTATAAACACACACAGCGCCACCTATAGTGTTTATTTTCAGCTATTTTTGTTGAAATAATTATTTTTTGTGTTTTTGTTATTATAAAGTTGTGTTTTTGCGTTGGCGACGGTGGAAAGGAATGGAAAGTGACACTTTTAAATTGTCCCGTCGCCGTGCGCATAAATATTAGATTCGGACCCGGCAGGTCTCTAGGCCTTCGCCGTCGACGCCGCATGAATAAAGAAATAACTCGCATGGCGTCGACTTGGACTGTTTTCCTTTGCTATGGGACACGCCGTGCGCATATGAAGCTCTCCGCGTACTCGCACACACAACTAGTACACCTAGATATAGCGATTTTTATTTTTATTTATTGTCTTTATTATGTTTATTATTTTGTTCGTTTTGCGCTGTTTTTCGTAGTCGATTAACATTTTGATGGTTGTCCTCGCTGGATTTTTACGGTTTCATTAATATTTTGATCAAACATTAATTTACGAGACATGCTTCGCTTTAAATTCAAGCGTTTTATCGCTTTTCTTGGCTTCCTCTTGTAAAGCTGTTGTTGTTTATGGATTAGGCCTTGTTTGTACATGGTAATATGGTGATACAAATCGTTGTCGGGACCTTGAGACCCGCAGAAGTTGACAATAAATGATTGAAACAGCGCAAAGTGAAGCGATTGGATATAATCCAAGTATAAAATATTTATTTTTTGTTTTGTGGTTTTAACAAGTTGATTTACATTATTTTTTATGCGCGAATAAAGGTAATAAATTGATATTTTTATCGCCACGGCGAATTGCTTCATTAATGACTGAGGGGCTGGAATGGCAGTAATTCCGTGTCTCCAGTTGAGTTGAATTGCGCGCGGCGCGCGGAATTTGTTTGCTTCGGCTTGAATGAAATTTATTTCCCTTGCGAATTCTCAATGACATTCCCGAACTATTATTTTAATTTGCGGCCGGGTCTATGTAATCAGTGCGGTGTGCAGAATGTTTGAAATTATCGCTTGTTTGCTTTCATTCATCATTACTTTGGTATTTTTTGCGCATGCGTGATAAGAAACGGAATTTAACAATAACATATTTCTAAGTAATATTTTTTCAAGTCGAGGTTATAATTACGTTAAATATTGTAATTTATTTATATTTGCAACAAATTGTGTCGATTTTTCGAAAAATCCTAATGACCTATATATTTATGGAGTGTATCGTGATTTATTCGCCACACCAAATTTGTCTATCTTTATGTTTTGTTGTATTTTTCGATGGTCCTGAATTGGTATCGCCGTCAACCTGCCTTATAAATATTTCGCCCGCCCGCAACAACGCAATGTCATTGTTGTTACTTGCTGTTTTTTTTTATGAGCGCGCGCAGCGAATTATTTTTTTAAATTCGACGCATTTATAACGCTTTCATAGTCGTCCTCAAAGTCAAAGTCAAGTACACCTTAAAGTCAACTCTCGACGCAAACAAATTGGTTAGCTATGGCACATGAAGCAGGTACGTGTCGGAAAAATAGCAAATATGGCAATCGACATTAATAACAATCGTCACGAGGTGAGCGTTTTGCGATTTGTTTATTTTGTGTACCGCCGCGGCGCGTGTGTAGGTAATTATTTACGAGCACATCACTATTCATCATGTGCACGTTTTTGGACATCGATATAGGCACCCACTAGATAGATATTAATACAGTTTAATTGATTTATTTGAGAGAAATATGACGAACACATTGTATGTTTTTATACATTGTCATTTAATGATACTCTGTACGTCGCGCGGCGTTCGAGTCTCGAGGTTCAAGGTAATGTCAACAACAAATTATTATGATTAGTATTCGTATGCGCACTTGTTGTTTTCTTATATTTTTGTTGCGATTTTAATCGCTGCTTTATTCGGGAACAACTTGCGTGAGAAATATTTTATTTACGTCTTGTAAAAAATTTAGAATTATTTTTTGTTGCTTTTAAAAATACATTTTACCCATTTTGAAAATGTTCGGATACATAATATCTAAATGTCGATCGCGAAACGTTTTAATCGGCCATTATCCCGCCCCATAATATGTCCATTACGGCATTACGATTAGCATTTTCATTACCGCGACGACGACAACGGCTCGTGAAATACACGAATTGAATGAAAACCACTGCGCGCTGAGATAAAACCACGACGACGTCGTATAATGCTTTGAAAAGTATGGATAATGGCATTTTCCATTGACCATTGTCTAGTGTACATGTGTGTGTGTGCTTTTATCACGTCGCGCCGTCCGCGACGGCTCGTACTTTACTCGAAATAATGTATTTTTATGTGTGATACAAAGTGTTGCGTCTTTTATTTGTATTGTCTGCGTTGATTATTGAAACAATCGGTTATCTGCCGACGCCATGTTGTTTTCGAGCGTATACAGCGCCCTCATTTGCGGCTTTGATTGTAATCACGCGCATTTAATACGCGTATTAATATATGTATATCTATATCTGACGCGTCTCTCGCGCACTTGATTGATCAATCTTAATAACTCTGGTGTTTCTTTTTGTGTTGCAGGTAAGCGTTGCTTCGGCCACTTTAGATTCTTATCACGACTGATTGCTTCGGTGCAATAAATAAATGAGGCGATGCTCATCACAGGTATGATTTCTCATCAAAGACGCGCGCGATAAATATTACACAGACGTATTTTTACAATGTGTTTAATGTTTGTTGAAAATTTGGTTAAAATCGGACGATAATTGCGTGTTTTATACGGGAAAAATTAAATTTGTGCTCCGCCTACTTTGGTAATACGCATGCGCGACAAGCTCAATGCGAGAATTTTTCATTGTTTCGAAAATTTGGTTAAAATCAGACTAAAAATTCGTGTTTTATGCCTCAAAAACTAAATTTGTGCTCCGCCTACTTTACTAATGCGCATGCGCGACACACTCAATGCTTTTCTTCGTGAAACACACGCGTATTTTTGTGTTTTTACTACATTCATTATTGACCCAGATATTATCTATGCTTTTCGGTACTTTGTCTAAAGCACAGTTGAAACTGTCGAATTGAACACACGATGATTGCGTGCAATTGATAAAACGCAAACGGGCGAAATTACCAAATGATAAATTACGCATCGATGACGGCGGCGGCGGCGTCACGCCGAGTAATAACTCAATCTAATTGTGCCGCGCTTGATGATGCACCGTTAGCGCAGCGCAGCGCTCTTCTCTTTTACATTCAACAAACACAGCGAGTTTTGACGTTGTGATGCGCTTTCGATTAGCCTATACTTAAAATATCGCTGCGCCGCGGTGCGAAAAAGTGCGAAATTTCCGTCGATGGCGATTTGAGTTACGACCGAAACGCGCGAATGCGCGATGATGATCGCTGGCGCAGCTCTTTTCAAACGTCGCGTTTATTGAATATAATATTTCCCACGGCTCTGGCATCTCCAGCTGATGGTTTTGTTCATTTTGCGCGTGCGCACGCTATAAAAATATTCAAATTTGCATATTTTATATATATATTTCCACATTGAGCATCGAGAGGCATCAAGCACGCAGAGTTTATAAAGTTTAGCGCGTTGCATAAGTCACCAGATAAGTACGTATTAAGTAAGATTTACGTTGGATTTATAGATTACGTAAACGTAAAAAGTGTGGATGGAGTGTAATAGACACTAATATCGGTATTGGATATATTGATGATCGTTGGTGATTTCTATGATCAAGTTGAAGGAGGTGACTTGTGACTAAACTTGATTTACAACTGGCATTTAAACACGTGAATGCTATGCGTAATGTGCATAATAAAGTGTCGTAATGCGGAACACGTGAAATACTACGAATCGAGTTAAAAAATGAAAAATTTTGATCACAAAAAAATAA